CTGCAAGGGAGCACCACCGCCTGATTGATGTAATTTCCTGTTTCCCGGCGGCATCAGCGGAGGGAGCAGTGCTAGAACAGCACTTAAGTCAGTGCTCCCTCGCATCCACACCCCCTCACAGCAGCGGGAAGGAATCGGATCCACCAGGTAGGGCGCCTGGGTGTACTTCAAACCACCAACCGCACCAAAAATAACACATTTTTTATGTGCTGGTAGGGAGAGGGGGATATGCTGGGGTAGTGAGGGGAAGATGCTGCAGGGAAAGAAGGGGGATATACTGGGGGAGAAAAGAGTAGATGCTGGGGGGAGAAAGGAGGAGATGTTGGGGAGAGGAGGAGGAGATGCTGGGGGGGGGGAGAAAAGAGGAGATACTGGGGGAGAGGAAGAGGATAATCTGGGAGAAAGGAAGAGGACAACCTGATGGAGAAGAGGGGAGATTCTGGGGAAGGATGGGAGAGAATATGGGGGAGAGGAAGAGAAGAATCTGGGGGAGAGGAGGAGGAGAATCTCGGGTGGAGAAGGAGAATCTGGGGGAGAAGGGGAGAGGAGAAGGAGATGTTGGGGGGAGAAGAGGAGAGGAGGAGGAGGAGGAGATGTTCGGGGGAGAGGAGGATATGCTGTGGGTAGAGAAGCGAAGATGCTGGAGGGAGAGGAGAATTAGCTCAGACAACTGTATGAGTTGTTTTTATTCTAAACTTAAACTTAGTATTCAGGTTTAATTGCCGTGTTGGCACTTTGAGGAAAAAAAGTTGGTAGGTATTGCAATTTGGGCCCTCGGGCTCAAAAAGGTTCGCCATCACTGTGCAAGAGGGAGTGGGGTAAAATGACACAAAAAGGTGGATAGTATTAGACTAGTGACAGTTGCAGAAGAGGAATCAGTCTGGAGCTATTAACAGTTTAATTGCTACGCTTTTAAGAAGAAGTGGGTTTTTAAGGATTTTTTGAAGGAGTGGAGACTGGGTAGGCATCTAACGGAGGAGGGAAGCGAGTTCCACAGGAACGGTGCACTCCTCGAGAAATTTTGAAGGCGAGCGTCAAAGGTGGGAGTATGGACAGAAGATAAACGTAAGTCTTCAGCAGATCGTAAGGGCCTAGACGGGACATACTTGTGTATAAGGGAAGATAGATATGTGGGAGCAGCATTATGTAGAGATTTAAAAGCAAGAACCAGAATTTTAAATTGAGCTCTATATTTTATAGGAAGCCAATGTAGGGACTGACAGAAGGGTGAGGCATGGGAGGTGCGGGCGGACAGGAAGATGAGCCTCGCCCCCGCATTCCTTATGGACTGTAACGGCGCAAGTTGGGAGCACATTAGACCACTGAAAAGCGAATTACAGTAGTCAAGGCGAGCAAGGACAGTGGAATGGACCAACACCTTAGTCGCATCTGGCGTTAAGTAGGGGCAGATGCGCGCAATGTTTTTGAGATGGAAATTACAGGATTTGGCGATAGACTGAACATGAGGCTTGAAGGAGAGGTCGGAGTCAAAGAGAACACATAGGCAGCGAGCCTGCGTGGTGGAGCTGTTGGTAGCACCGTTGAATTGGAGGGAGGGAGACACAGGAGTAACAACACTTGAGGGAGGAAAGACCGGAATTTCAGTTTTGGTCAAGTTTAGTTTAAGGAAGTGGGCAACTATCCAGTTAGAAATAGCAGAGAGGCAGTCAGAGACACTAGTCAAGAGGGACCAGGAGAGATCAGGAGAGGACAGGTAGATTTGCATGTCATCTGCATAGAAATTATATTGGAAGCCAAATGAGCTAACAAATTTACCAAGGGAGGCAGTATAGAAGGAGAACAGTAGGGGACCAAGGACTGAACCTTGGGGGACACCAACAGAGAGGAGTTGGGGAGAAGAAGCTGATGTTTGCGTATACCAGAGTTATAATCCCTGCTTCACTATGGGACCTGGGAGAATCTACAGCTGAGGTACCACTCTGGGTACAGGTGCCCCGTTAAATGCATAGCTCCCATTTTGTACCTGTATACAGTGCTAGCAGTCTGAAACATCTGATGCTGGAAGTCCTCATGCAGAGGTCCGTTTCAATTAAGGAAGTTCATCTAGTGGCTTTCTGGTAGACAGTGACTAGAGGTGGAGTTAACACTCAGCCGTAATTATTACAGTATCTCAGAAACTGCAACCACTGTAGGGTTAAGGGACATGGGACATTGCACACAGACAACTTCAATGAGTTGAAGTGGTCTGGGTGCCTACAGTGTCCCTTTAAGTGAGTTTTTGCTCATATCAGCCGCAGATGAGGAGTTCAACATTATTGTATTTGGAGCCTTGTGTGCACCTTTGAATTGAGGAAGATCTGGATTAGGACTACCTGGGCATTAGTTGTATATTGCCTGAGTCCCATTCTCTCCCCCCGGACCAGTGGAAATTATATTGATTTCCAACAAAGTTGTTTTCTCAATTTTACCTAGTCTCAGGGCACTGATTTCCTTAAAGGCTTATAACAGCTTGGATAATCTAAGATGGCCACCTAACAAAAATAAATGCTGCTAATGGTGAAGAAGACACTTTGGAAATGAGAAGATTTCATTTGATGAAATATGTACACAATTCTGGAAACATCTCAGTGAGCGGATGCCCAAACGCCATCTGATGAAGCTCTTTGCCAAGGCCATGAACCATGAGAGCTTTTAACTCTAGACACCGTCCACAACTTCAGAAAGCTCACTGCTATAAGGAACTTTATCTGGGCACGTGGTGCAGAAAGGTCAGTGGACATTGGGTGCTGATTTATACTGATGCCTGGGGCTGGAGACATGGATTAAAGGGGCATAATTGTGAGCACTTTGCTGAAACATGCCAAATCCTTAATCCTTTAGGATACAATCAGAAAGTCTTCCCAAGCCTAAGCTAAATTTGGCTAAATTCAAGTAGTCTCCTGTCTGGGATCTGCCATTTATGTATGTGTTTCTGACATCTCACAGAGTACATCTGTCTAAATAGTTGTATATTGTTCCTTCTTTATATTTGTATTACTGTGCCTAATGAGTCGCTCAGTGTAATTTCTTGATTCACAGTAATTGCCTATGTAATGGGCTAATATTTTCTCACTAAGCATAATTGTAACATAAAAAAAATACATGTAAAGTACTCCCCATAGCTTACAAAAGGATAAATGTGGTAAACAAGTAAAAATACATGCCAAAAAGAACAAGACCAGCGATCAAATATAAGTTCTTAAAAACCTGAACAGGCAATATAACTTCCTCACTTTTGACGCAAAAAAAAATTGCTAACTAAAAGCTAGCTATTTATTGTGCTAAAGATTATTTTTATTTTAAACAAGGCACTGTGGAGTGACTTAGTTTCTGAAACGGAAAGTGGAGCAGATGTTAAGTTTTTACTTACCTCTGCTGCTCTTTTATTGGTTATGGTACTAGAGTAATCCTTTAATCCAAGTACCTGGAGTGCCATGGACCACTGTCCTTATTATAATATAGGCAAACAGTTTTAGATTGGTTTTACTTCTTACCTGGGGTCTACTCCTCATCTCCATTTCTTCAGTCAGAGAGCAAGAAGCTTCTGCTTAGGAACTTCCATTAGCTCTCCTGAGCTAGGTGCTGCAGTGCAGGGCTAGCTCATTGGCAGTGACAGCTGATCTCTCTCAGCCAATAAACTAAGCTCTACACTAACAGGCTTATGTCAGACAGAGCTTTTAGCTCTCTGGCTGAGAAAGTGGAGATGGTGAGCAGCACAGCACCAGGTGAGAAGTGAAACCTCTGTCAGGGCACCATAACTACTACAACACCTCAGTGTAGGGAATGGCAAACTAAACTTTTTGATGGCATGCCATAAGGAATCATAATACTACTCTGATGATTACACTGGCATTGCAAGGAACAGCAGAGAGATCTAAAGATTTCCCTGACTGGTTTAACACCACCTCAATGCTATGATGTAGTTAATATTGTGTTTCTCAAAACACTCTCGAGGCCCCTTAACAAAAGGAGTCTTTACAGTGATCTGCACCTTCCCCAGGTGCAAACTACAACCTAGGGATGAGATCCACCCCCTGTAAGGAAGCAAAAAATCACTTGAACCCCCCCTTCCCACATTTACAGTTACCCACAAAATATGGGCATCCCACACACGCATCTAACACAATGTTTACACATACTGCAGCTCCTCTACCCCATTAACTTAGTATGAACAAGAGTAATGAAAAGGTGAAAGAAACAGCAAGTAAGAGAATGCTGATGGGGAGGAGAATTTGATTTTATTTTGCTTAGAGTAGCGTAAACCCTAGCACTGGCTGTGGAAGCAATTGCAGTGTAGCTGGCCGTGGAAAGGTGTTCTTCGTGCATGAGGAGCGAGACATTAACCAGATTCTTTCAGGCTGTATTACAAAACCCAGTGCTGGCCAGCTGCTAGCAAGTAAATGAAAACCTTAAATGTAAATGTGCTTTAAAAAAAAAAACTACATGTTTGTGTTATTTGGTCCTGGGAGTGTTTTTTAAAAATAATTTTTATAACGAAGATCACATATTGGTAATTAACTGAACCAATTCACTGAATGAGGCTTCTAACTCTGGATATGTCCAGGATTGAAGATATCACTTCATCAGCTAATCCTAGCCCACTTCCCTTTCATTAATTTATTTTGTTGGCGTTCAGTCTCCACTTCCTTATTTATTTGCTTTCATATCTTTATTTAATTTTCTCTCTTCTGTCTCTCCTATTAAATATTTGGGTGCTTAGTTTATCTGATGCAGAAATTCCTCTACATATGTACCACCATAACTAGTTGTAACTGCATTATTTCATTGTTGATATGCTCTGTGTAACTGCCACCCTGCTAGTGGAGGGGTTTCCACCGCCAGAGATGTGCTTTCCCCCTACAGTAGAGAGCGCTGAAGTATTCCCAACCATCAATCCAAGCAGTGAAGAGTAAGTATAGCTTTGAAGCTCTTATAAGTGCTAGTGGTTATAGCTTGTATAGCAGGTCCCTACAAACACAACACAAGGCTCTATGTTGCGAGTAAAGCAGGTCTGGTTTAATGGTAGCCACACTGGCCTTATATGACAATATCCCTGCAAGGGGTACGCCCACAGGGAGCTTGTGGGTGACTGAGTTACAATATTATAAACCAATAACAACAGGGTTACCAGACAGGACACCCCCACATACAGAACACAATCCCTCACCTCTGCCTGGGAGATAATTGAGTCAGATATTTTGTTGTGTACCAAATTATCTCCAGGCAAAAAAACTAATTTTTACAAAGTCTCCAAAGTACCCCAAAACACATAATATCCCCACAAATGTCACATTCCCTGATCTGGGTGACCAACATATCCAAAAATCACCCAGATCAGTTTAGGGGTTCAGGATTTTCCTGGAAATCACATTTTGACCGACCGCATGCATGGTCCCATGCCCAAAACAGTTCCAGAGAATTTGGCTGTGCGGTCGGTCTACTTCGTAAATTTTAAGTAAAACACAAATTATTGAACATACAGCTTCGGAAGTGATCTTAGGTTATGTCCATCGTTCGGGTGTTTATTTTCACCAAACGCCGTTTGACTCCCGTTCAAATAGTCTAACATCCATGGAAGGTGAATGTTAGTATACACGACGACCAAACACCGCTCATGGTGCTTGTGGCTTAAGATGGCCACCGCCACGTGGTCTAATGTCGACCACTTCGAACTGTTTCGACAGTTCGGGAGTTCGAAGTGTACTAGGTACATAATGTTAATAGGTGGCACACTTCTTGTACAGGTGGTTTGTTCAGTAAGAGAATTATAGGGAGAAATAAAATAAAGGGGAATGCAATGTCCTGAGCACATAGCTGAATGAAGAAAAAGAGAATGGTAGTCCATGATTATAGTGAGCCGTCACACTCTGTATTGGATGTACTGCTTTATTTGTAATAAATAATAATTTTAAATAAAGGCCCATTTCTCCACATAGGTAAACCAAGTTAAGTTTCGATAAAATGTTTGTTAAAAGGCCTGGCATGTACCAATCCATACAACAGAAAGAAAGAGAAAATTATCTCTGTGTTGTACAGTCTATCTTGCTAAGTAATTACATGATTTTGCTATTACATGACAAAAAGTCATGATTTTATTAAAGTCAGGGAGGCAAGTATTGCATATCCCTTCCTTTACTGTCCACCAATAGCAGCAAAGAATAAAAAAACAGTAAGAAAAACATGGTATGCATAGTAATATAAGCCACTCCCAGACCAAGTCCCAATATAATATTCAGCACCTCCCTTAACTCCTCTTTTTTTCAAGATGCAAACACAATAAAACAAACAAGAAACAGGAATTGATGAATCAGTACAACATTGCAATTAAATCCAGTCGGAGTAAAACCAGGCAACAATCCTGCAAGTTGGAACTAATCCATAACAGGAACAGGAATTCGCCAACCGAAAAGATCCCGTCAAAGGATAAACATCAGGAATCCATGGAACGAATCTGGGTGTGAAAACATAAATGAAACAGGAGCCACACGGTTACTTTGGTCCTTGCAACTGAGTGTAAACTTAAGCCATAAACAGACCCTTATCTTTAAATCAATCATGAAAATAAAATTCACGAAAAGTAGAATCCAGTGACCAGATCCTCCAACCGTGCTACTGAGGTAATCATCGACGAAGCCGAAGGATCCCGAACAGAATGGGCTCCAAACACCGAAGTAACACCCATTTCAACCAACGAGCCAGGGTAGTACCCGTCACCGGGGAGAATGGAGGACGAAGGGAAAGAAAAAGATGAGCTGATGACGACTGATGAGGCCCGGTGCGAACCTTGTACTTGCGTAAACAGGCCACCAGTCAAAACGCTGGTGCCTAGGGAAAAGTCTGAAAAGATAATCATGGATCTAATCAAAGTCTTTGTGTGCCTGTATATATTAACAGTCACCCCGTCGGGAGTGAAGGAACATGTGTCGAAATGCAAGGCACGTACGTCCGAAACCCTCTTACAGGATACCAGACAAAAAATAAAAAAGAGAGTGACCAATTTAGCCGACAATTGGCGTAAGGAAAGATCTGCATTAGAGGGCCACGAGTCAAACAGCGATAATAGGATTGAAACATCCCAAGTGGAGAAATACCGTGGCCTGGACAGACAAGAAATGCGGGAGCCACGTGGAAGACAGCACACTAACGGGTGTTGTCCTGCTGGACAACCCTCGAAGCCTTGATGGGCCGAAGAAATGGCTGATCGATATACATTGATCGTCCACTACGCCTGGCCAGCGTTACAGTGGCAGTTACAGGGGCTGACATGGGATTCCACATCCCTAGCCAGGCACCAGCTAGCTCAAGATCTCCAAGCTGACCCATATGATCATCGAGTTCCAGGAGCCCATGCATCTGCCAGGAGGCATTGAGCTGTGTCCAAAACTCCAAAGACCTGCCAGGGTTCCCCGGAAATCGCCTAGCAATAAGCAGCAGGGAGCCTTCTAGGAGGAGTGGATGGCAATTTTCTGACAGGTCTCGAAGCAGGTCTGGATGGGCTGGCAACAACCACCGCCATCTCCAGAAGTTGAGGGAACCACAACCGAGTCCCCCAAAATGGGGTTAAGAGAACCAGCTACGCCTCTTGGTGGGCGAACCTTAAGGAGTACCCTGGGAAGCATGGCAAATGGAGGCAAAGCGTAGAGAAGCGGTCCATGCCAATCTTGCAGGAAAGTGTCCATTGCCGCTGTGGCTGGGTCTGGACGCCAGCTGAAGAAACGAGGTAGATGGGCATTGAGCCGCAAGACAAACAGATCGATGGCAAAATAACCCCAAGGGGACGAGATAACGTAAAACACCTCTACATCTAATCTCCAATCGCTGCTGTCAGAAAGATAACATGAATTCCAGTCCACCTGGACATTGTGCAGGCCCGGTAGATATTCTGCCTGGACCACCAAGTTCTGTGTCAGACAAAACTCCCAGAAATCCATTGCCAGATGAGCCAGTAATGCCGATTGAGTTCTGCCCATGTGGTTGATATTTCGTACTGCTATGTTGTCCATACGTAGGCGAATGCAGGCATGGACAATCCCCTTTGCAAAACTCCTAATTGCAAACAATCCCGCTAGAAGTTCCAAGGCTTTGATGTGCATTCTGGATTCGCTCTCCGACCAGCGACCTCCTGTCAACACACCCTCGCAGTGGGCACCCCAGCCATGGAGACTCGTGTCCAAGTCTATGGTGAACTCCGGCTGAGATTCTTATATGCACATAGGTTGTAAATCCACCAACGTAACTCATCCTTCGTTACCCTGTCCAAGGAGATCAGGTCTGTATATGACACTCCCTCACAGAGATGTGCAATCTTCAACCGTTGGAGAGCTTGATAGTAAAAAGGGACCGGGAACACAGCTTGTATTGACGAGTGATGTGTGGCCGGAGTAGCACCCTGCGAAGTTCCTTGTGGATCGTTTACATTTTGGACGAAGGTAAGCTCAAGAAGTTCTCTTCCAAGTCCATGAGAAAACCCAAGAACTCCATGCATCTGGATGGTGTTAAACAGGATTTTTCACAATTTATAAGGAAACCCAGCCGGGTCAGAAGATACACCATCCATCGCAGATGTCGTAGGAAAACGGAGCGGTCCTGAGCCATGAGCAGAATATCATCCAGATATAGGATAAGGCGCACGCCCTGACTGCAGAGCCATGCCATAGCAGGACGTAGCAGCTTGGGGAAGCACCAAGGCGCCGAAGAGAGACCAAACAGAAGACAGGTGAAGCGCTATATGTGATTCCTCCAGCGGAACTCTCAAAACTTCGTTCGCCGGCACCTAGCCACCCTTTTTCTCCACCAGGAAGATATTGTTGATGACCCCCCAAGGGTGCAGCAGAGCTAACTCTATAGCTTCCTTGGTACGTAAGGCCGACAACTTGTCGATCAATCTGCGATTCTGAAGGGAAAAACAGATCGGTGGAGGCGTAGGGATGTAACGAGGCGTTCCCACTAACTATGTGGAAGCCCCCCTCCGTATCGAGAACCCATGTATCGGATGTGATCGACGGCCAGGCTGAGGAAAAATGACGGAGTCTGCCCCCTACACAAACATGAGAAAAAACATGAGGTAGAATAAAGTTTACCGTATGGGTGTCTGCCCCTGGAATTCCCTCTGAATCCCCTTGACCACCATGGTCGACTACAGGATGAGAAGAAGGATGATCGGGTCTTCGCCTCCTGGTAGTTGGGCGCTGGCTGAAGGGGTCTCGTCCCGTGCCACCAGTATTAAAGTAGCTGCGGACGGCCAGACGGCCCCTGGATCTGCCCTGGTAGAGACCTGCCCCTGGAATACCCTCCTCATGGAGGACTGGGCCTTATCTAGGGCAGCAAATGCCCTAGATCCTTAATGAAGGAATCACCAAATAGGAAGCCGAGCGCATCTTTACCAGCTTCAGTGAGGTCGAGCTTGGCCAATTTTTGGCTCAATCTTAATAAGATGGCATTGCATCGCTCCTTAGAGAGAGAAGCGTTCACGCTGCCTGCCTGCCTGGACCCAACCGCTGAGTTTCTCAATGTCGATCTGCCTGTTATTGCCCTGGTGCCCTCCAACAGATAAAAAAAAAGCTTGGCCAAGAGCCCAAAAATGTCCAGATGCTTGTCTTGGCACGACCTAAGTGCCAAGTCTAGGCCCTTACGTGGGTTCCAACCTAGCTTTGATAAAAACAGTGTCATCTTGGGGTCAACTTCCGGGGTGTCACACACCTTGTTAGGTACCACTGGTCTAGGGCACTAAGGCGGTGTTTGCACCCAGGTTTCAAGGTAGCGGGCAATATGGTCCAGCGGAAGCCACTCGGCCGACCTTGGATGATGGAGGTCATCCAGGTCGAACAAGGACTCGCCCAGTGGGTCCATGAGAGCAGCCCCGCGAGAATCAGCTCTAGGGTCGCCTCCTGTCATCCCAGCCGGGGCAGAGGTAGTGGTCAAGACCCAAGTCCCCGGCATCATTCTCCGAGCCACTATCGGACTCAATTCCAGCCTCCTCGCTAGATCCAATTTCTGAGTTGGGTCGCTCTAAGTCTGTGCTCTCGCACATTTCCATTGCTGCAGGCGCGGAAAGGTTCTTCTGCGTGCATTGAGCATGCTTTCAGGGGCGACCTGAGGTATACCAGTCATAGTGTTTCTGGAGGCAGAGACATGCCTAGATTTACAGCTAGCCTTTCTTGGTGCGTCCCCAAGGGAATCCAACTCAGGACGTGGAGTGTGCATCAAGGGATCAGTGGCCCCTGCGCCCGAGGGGTGAGCAAACAATGCTTGGGATATAGTCTGGGACAATGCCGAAGACTTAGAACCCATAGCGGCCATAATGGTGTCGGTCACAGACCGTTGGAGCGCAAAACATTGCGCGTTTACCCTGCAGGGATCCCTGCCGAGGGAGGGGAGCCAGTAGTAGAGGGGACATCTCCCAATTGTAGGGGAGTATCCATCTCCCTAGGGGTTGGGAGGCTTATAGGCACCTTAGTCTTTTAGGCTAAAATGAATAAAAAAAATAAAAAAAAATAAAAAAAAAAACCACATAGGGTATACTAAAATGTATAATTTTAAAAAGGCCAATCTCAATAAGTTAAGGGGAGCATTACAATATATTGATTGGCATAAACTCTTAAGCGAAAAGAACACTGAGGATAAATGGAATATCTTCCAACAAATATTATAAAGGTACATTTTGTACCATTGGGTAATAAATATAAAAGAAACATATTGAAACAAATGTGGCTTAGTGGTAAAGTGAATCAAACAATTTGAAAATCAGAAAAGGGCATTCAAAGCCTTTAAATCTGACAAATCAGAGGTATCCTATAAAAGATATAAGGAAGCCAATAATGTGTGCAACAAGGTGATAAGATTCACTAAACTTCAAAATGAAAAAAGGATAGCCAACGAGAGCATAACCAACCCCAAAGTGTTTTTTTAAGTACATAAATTCTAAAACAAAAACAAAAAATAAAAGTGTAGGTACACTAAACACCGGGATGGGGGTGTTGGTTAATGAAGACCAGAAAAAGGCAGAACTTTTAAAACTATTTCTCCTCCATATATATTCAAAACAGGTGATATAATGGTGATGCCCAAATAAGGTGTTATATACCAAACATAAAAAAATTAAAACAGATGATATAATTGTGATGCCCAAATAACACCTTATTTGTGCATCACAATTATATCACTGGTTTTGAATTTTTGATTATGTTTGGTATATAAGAGAATGTTTTTAACTTAGTAAAGACATGCACCTGAAGAAGACCGTCAGTGGTTGAAACGCGTTGTGCTTCCAGTTTTATCACTAAGTTTGTTGTGTTTGTAAATACATGTAATAAAGTATTATATTTAGCTACTTATTGATTCCTGAACTTCAGTTCTGGAGAGTTACCACGCTGGGACCTTCTACACAACACCATTCTGAGTGGGGATATCATATCTACTGAGTTCAGAGCCGACCTGATGGACTCTTGAATATGTGAGTATCCTTTATATTTTCTGTACGGATACCACTTTATACAGCTATGTCTATGTCGCTTTTATGTTTTTCTGAACAGGCTATATTCCATTTACTGCTGCTATTGTGAAATACCTTTACCATCTGTGCACTGTCACCTTATAAAGAAAGTTAATATAAACAAAGCTCCAGGGCCTGACGGTGTTCATCCACGAGTACTTAAGGAACGAAGTGTGGAAATAATTGAATAAGTGAGTTTTTAATCTTTCAAGATTCTTTTCTTTCAGGAAGAGGTCCGGATTGGAGGAAGGCAGATGTGGTTCCTATTTTCAAAAAGGGCTAAAAATCCTTGCCTGGAAATGATTCATCTGTGAGCTTAACTTCTGTGGCTGGGAAAGTATTTAAAAGGTTATTAAAGGATAATATTCAAGAATTCCTTGAGAAGAACATGGTTATCAGCAAAAATCAGCATGGTTTTATGAAGCACAGGTCATGTCAAACTAACTTGATTTCATCCTACAAAGAAGTAAGTAGAAGTATACATCAGGGTATTGCAGTGGATGTGATCTATTTGGATTTTGCCAAGGTGTTTGATACAGTTCCACACAATAGAGGAGTATTTAAACTCAAAGAAATCGGTGTAGATGAAAATTCTTGTTCTTGGGTTGAACATTGGCTTAAAAAGAGAGTACAGAGAGTTGTAATTAATGGTACATTTTCAAGCTGGACAGAGGTGGCAAGTGATGTCCCTCAGGGTTCTGTTCTGGGACCCCTTCTATTTAACATGTTTATAAATGATCTTGGAAAAAGCATTGAAAGTCTTGTTTCAGTGTTTGCAGAGGACACAAAACTCTGTAAAGTAATACAGTGTGAGCAAGATATTACCTTGCTGCAGAGGGATTTAGATAGACTGGGGCACTCAAATGGCAGATTAAATTTAATGTAGAAAAATGCAAAGTTATACACGTGGTCTCAAGAATGCACAAGCAACTTATACCCTAATGGAAGCGAATTAGAGATAACCACACACGAGAAGGACTTGGGAATTGTTATAGACAACAAACTATGCAACAATGTGCAATGTCAATCAGCAGTGGCTTAGGCCAGGAAGGTATTGTCATGCATGAAAAAGTACATTAGTTCTCGGGATGAGCATATCATTTTGCTTCTTTATAAATTGCTGGTAAGACCACATCTTGACTATGCGGTGCAATGTTGGCCACCTGTTCTAAAGAAGGATATTATGGCACTAGAAAGAGTGCAGAGGAGGGGTACAAAATTAATAAAAGGAATAGAACATTTTAGCAATGAAGAAAAAATAAATTTAAACCTCTTTAGTTTAGAAAAATGTTGCCTCAGAGGGGATATGATAACATATAACAGGACTTTACATAGAACACAAGGTCATGTGTTTAGACTGGAAGAAAGAAAATTTAGTCTAAGGCAAAGGAAAGGGTTTTTTTTTACCATAAGAACAACAAGGATATAGAATTCTCTGCCTGAAGAAGTGGTTTTATCAGAGTCCGTACAGATGTTAAAAACAAGATGCATACTTGCAAAAACAGAATATTCAAGGATATCATTTTTCAATGTAGGGTAAATGCTTCTTGATCCAAACTAACTGCCATTCTGGGGTCAAGAGAGATTTTTTTTCCCCTCATTTGTGCAAAATTGGAAGTGCTTCAAACTGGGTTTTTTTGCATTCTTTTGGAGCAACAGCAAAAAAACAAATATGAAGAAGTTGATGGACACATGTCTCTCCTCAGCCTATTTAACAATGAATGTGGTCAGCAAAATTAATGCAAGTAGTGAGGGTTAATCACCCAAACTAGCACACCAGAATGGACAGAAGGGAGCTCACCAGGGCCAAGACCAGCAGCTAGAGACACGAGGCAGGAAGAGGCAGTTGTAGACAGAAACCGAAGGGAAGCGCCATTAAAATCGCAAGATCGTAGGGGAAAAACGCGTATTCGTATGAAAACTATCGAATGGGTGAATTAGTTTCGCGAACAAGGTGTGTTCGCATACCAAAAGCATCTAGAAAAAAAAATAAAAAAAATCAGTGGAGGAGAAACCTCAAGTATGGGAAAATGGAAAAAAAAAACCCTAGCTGGTCTGGGACCCAGAGCACAGAACAAACAAATATACAATAAATAGGTACAAAAACCCAGCAACAACAGTACAAGCTTAACTAAAGTCACAAGAGACATAAAATAAAAGTCTAACATAATCAGTACAACTAAATTCTCAAGAGACAAACTTTTGGTACTTAACTGACTGTGGAGCAGCAAAGAAAGAGGAGTTAATGGAGGTGCTGAATATTATTTTGGGTCTTGGTCTGGGAATGGCATATATTATTATGTATACCATTTTTTTTCTTACTGTTTTTTGTATCCTGCTATTGGTGGTCAGTAAAGAAAGGGATATGCAATATGAGCCCCCATGTCATGTTATAAAAGTGTTAGATCTCTTTTTTCCCTTCACCTGCTAATACTGTAATGTCTGTTTCACCATGTCTACAGAGCTGTGGAATTGGTTAGTGCTTCTTAAATGCTATAAATAATAAATTACTTTGCCTACATGTGACAATGCAAAGCTGTATTATCAGTTCAAAGTGCTTCTCTTGTCCTTAATCACCAAAGCCAACATTAGAATGTAATTCCATTTTATCTTCACTTGGCAAAATATAACTAATAAAAAAAGCCAGCTATAAGTAACAGCATTCCGCAGCAGATTCCCTTTTTCTCAGGGAACATTTGCCCACATGCTTCGCCATATAACTTCCAAACTGCTCACTCCATATGCCATGGTTCTATACATACAGCCACTTTTCTCATACTTCCTTCTTGTAGATGAACTTTGAGATATCCAATTTTGCATTAATAAAAATAATTTCAAGTTGTTCGAAAATGTAAGACTACAAATATAATGAAGATACCACACATCATGCAATTTCTCACACACAAAGTCTCTAAAGATTTTATTACATAAATCTCATAAATCTTGCAAATCATCACTGTTTAGAAGAATCTGGATTTACAAAGTGTCAAGATGCACCACTCCTTGGAGGTCCACTACGAAATTCATGCCACATTCTCACCAATGGTTCCCTCTTTTTCCAGATAAATTCATGACCATACAGAGCATACCATCTAAAATAAATAAATAAAAAAATAAATATATATATAGTAAAGTGACAATTATAATAAACCAAGGGTAAAACATGATAGAGTAGAGAACACAGTAAAACAAACTATTTTTATAGATGAAAAAAAAAAAAAGCACTAGGAAATAAAGGTTTGAATTGTACACAGCATTCCATCTTACTTACATTCCAAACAGAGCACCACCAAGATGTGCAGCGTGATCAAAAAACTTCCATCCTAAAACTAAACCCGTAGAGTCCAGAGCAAGAATGACCTTGAGAGCCTATGTAAAAGAAACACCATGAAATCATCACAATACTGTATACACTTCTAACTAGCTTGTGCGTAGTAATGACCAAAGCAAGAACAAAAGTAGTAATACATACATTGCCTGCAGTGAATGTGAACATGGGCAGGAAAATAATGGCCAGCTTGGCTTCAGGCATCTTGGTACACACAGCAGCTAGAACAGTCATTATTGCACCAGACTAGCAGAAAGGAGGAAAATTAGAGGTTATTGGAATTATTATAAATGTCATAATGTATCTCTAGGCTAATAAGTTTTTATTGGACTAATAGAATTTTGGAATGAGAAGCTGTCGGGATAACCTCCTTTTCTCAAGTCTAAAGTAATAGATATTAGAAAGCTGCTCACACATACTGCATTCTATCATACTATTGATTGCTTTAAATAGACATATAATTACATACCACCTAGGAGAAATTGTCCTAGAGTCTCCATGTGCGTATGTTTGTGAACCCACCTTTGTGAGTGTGCACATCATCTGACACGTTGCTATGGTAATGAACAAACAACGTAAGTGAAGGACTCCGGACAACTTGCCATAGAAACCTCAATACAAAGTGCCTGAGGCAGCTTGCCCCTAATAACATGCAGTACTGTGTGAAACGATCTGTTATATCAAAAGTGCAGTCAACTTGCGCTTAAACATACAGGTTTCAGGGACATGCAAAGGAAAGTGCAATAATAGTTATAACAGCATTATAGTTATACCCAATAGAGGTGCATTGAGTGCTATCAATAAGATATTCCAGTTTTTTATATATATATATATATAGATATATATAGATATAGTCAAGAAAAGTGTGATTATGAAATATAACAAATGGTGAAAATAAAATAAAAAAATACAGTTTTTTTTGGTGCGATTAGTGAGATTAAATTGGTACTTATATGTATATGTGCTTCATAGTAGAATGTTGATGCCTTAATCTATTGCCGATAAGGGATGACCGTTGCAAGGTTCTTTTAAATCTACTAAAGAAAGTATAACCCCCGGTTTCCCATTTTATTACTAACAAACGTGTGCTTATCCAAATACTTCCATGAGATTAACGGTACATTTAATTATGGGGTATATTTCTAAGGCCGTATGGCCAGAGTTTCCAATACTTGAATCCAAAATGTCTTTCAGTGATAGAAGTAGTGCTCATCTCAGCTTCTCCTAGGGACAGGAATGTGGTCAATTGTCATGAACCTTAGGGATGCCAATGGATGCTGTTTTCTCCAGAAAGTGTCTATTCACCAGTTTGTCAGTGCAACCATCCCTTATACTCTGTATGTAGTATTTTTGATCCCGGATCCATTCACATATTATTGTTACTGGTATTTATATAGCGCCAGCATAGTTTGTATCAAAGGGGGAGATTTAAAAATAAATGAGACAATTACAAAAACTTACAGGAACAATAGGTTGAAGAGGGCCCTGCTCAAACACGCTTACAGTATATAGATAGGGCCGTTTCAGTTTTCATTATCTAATTCAGCCCAGACGGGCAAAATATTTTATTAAAAACATGGTCTGTTTCGCGACTGATCCTGGCGGCAACTTTGGGGTTAAAGTGTTCCAGAATGGTTTCACCCGTCGAGGTAAGAGTGCACTACTTGGTCTCATGGCACCATAACATTTTTATTTAGATTAAGTTGTTATGGTGCCTGGAGTATCCCTTTAACCCCTTGACGACCAATGACGGTTCAGGACCGTCATCGGAAACATCCCCTTGAGGACCGATGATGGTCCTGAACCATCATAACAGTCTTGGGGTACTTACTTGATCACTGTCGTTCCCCCGGCGACGATCAGCGTTTCACCCGGTCCAGGGAGACTGCCTGTCTGCCCAGACAGTCTCCCCGCGGCAGATCAGGACCCCGCGGCCATGTGATCGCTCGATTACATGGCCGCAGTAGGTGCCTGTGTATCTGCCTGCGGGGCGACTGTCTGTGCTGACAGGCAGTCTCCCTGCAAGTAAAAAAATCAGAAATAAAGTTTAAAAATAAAGCAATAAGTGTAAAAAAAATAATATATATATGTAATTTTATTCTAATGGTATTTTGATATTAATTATATATATATATATATATATATATATATATATATATATATATATATATATATATATATTTATATTCATCTCAAAATACACTTAGAATGAAATGATTATATATATCTATGTATAAATAAAAATAATACGAAATATACATTTGTCCATATACATAATTACATAAATATACACATAGACTTCAAATATATAAATATGTATATATATTTAAATTCTACATGCTTATTTATGTAATATTTTTACATAATTAAGTAATTTTATTGATTGCAAGTTGAGGGACATGCCTGACAACCCAGGCCAAAAGTCCAGACAATTTAATTTGCTAGCACTGTGTTTAACCCTCTAACTTTCTATGACACCCTAAAACCTGTACATGGGGGTACTGTTTTACTCGGGAGACTTCGCTGAACACAAATATTAGTGTTTCAAAACAGGAAAACATATCACAGCGATGATATTGTCAGTGAAAGTGACGTTTTTTGCATTTTTAACACACAAAAGGCACTTTCACTGATGATATTATTGCTATGATACAATTTACTGTTCTGAAACACTAATATTTGTGTTCAGCGAATTCTCCCAAGTATAACAGTACCCCACATGTAGAGGTTTTATAGTGTTTTTGCAAGTTACAGGGTCAAATATAAGGCTTGATTTTACTTCTTTGTTTTTTCATTGAAATTTGTCAGATTGGTTATGTTGCCTTTGAGAGCGTATGGTAGCCCAGGAATGAGAATTACCCCCATGATGGCATACCATTTACAATAGAAGACAACTCAAGGTATTGCAAATGGGGTATTGTCCAGTCTTTTTTAGTAGCCACTTAGTCACAAACACTGGCCAACTTTGGCCAGTGTTTGTGACTAAGTGGCTACTAAAAAAGACTGGACATACCCCTTATTGAATACCCTGGGTTGTCTACTTTAAAAAAATATGTACATGTGGGGTGTGATTCATAGATTTATGACAGATAACAGTGTTACAATGTCACTATTGATAAAGTTAAAAAATATATATATTGAAACAGCAATTTCCTACTTGTACTTATAGCCCTATAACTTGCAAAAAAGCTAACACTGGGTGTTTTTAAACTCAGGACAAAATTTTGAATCTAATTAGCAGTTTTTTCATTAGCTTTTGTAGATAAGTAAAAGATTTTTCAATTAAGAGTCCAAAAAATTGTTGTTTTTTTTTCAATTTTTCACCATATTGTATTATTTTAAAAAAAAGTAAATTATATGACATGATACAAATAATGGTATGTAAAGAAAGCCTTTCTTGTCCTGAAAAAAACAATATATAATTTGTATTGAACAGTAAATGAGAGAGTGGAAAATTACAGCTAAACACAAACACCACAAAAGTGTTAAAACCGCTCTGGTCCTTAATGTACAACATCGCAAAAACAGGCCGGTCCTTAAGGGGTTAATGAGAAACCTTCTTGTATCTCATTTATATCAAGTAGAGAGTACTTTTTTGGTGTAGTTCTAAATGGGAATATATCACAAGTCCCTAACTTGCACCATGAGTACTATTGTATATTATTATACAGTAATAACATTTTAAAAAATTTGCTCAGTTATACCTCTTCAGCACATCTTTTCACGGATTTCGTGAAGTAACACACCAAATCAGACACCTGCCTATTTCAGCTTTCATCTTGCCAAGTTTAGCACATTGATTTCCTACTCTCATTTTGTACCATTTTAGCAACTTATATGGTAATTATGTCACCAGTTTCTTTCAAAGTTTGCAGTACTGTTTTTTTTTCCCCCACCACGATATACACACACACACACACACATTATATAAACAAAATAATTTATCAAACTTTGCTCTAAAATCTAGGCATCTGTCACTCCTTTCAAAAGGCTTACAATTTGTACCAACACCACCCATAAACATGTTTAATTGGGCAAAGGATGTAAACCTTTTTGGCCATAAACTGGCCCTGCATGCATTTCATGAAAAAAGAAACCTTAAAAATCTGAAAGAATTGGGTCTTTCCCCTGAAGATAATGAAATCTATAAACTCCTGACAGACTTATTCTCTGAACAGAAACCCAATGAATCCCTTATGAACTTTAAACCATTGTCTTGGTTCACTCCCAATTTGAAAGACTTCCCCTGTATAGACCTATTTGTTCAGATCTGTACCAATAAATTAGAATGTCAAACCATCAAACAACCCCAAACATCAAATTTGAACTATGAGGAGAGATTAGCTCTACAAGAGTTAAAACAACAAACTGACATTATAATAAAGTCCTCAGACAAAGGCGGGAATATTGTTTTCATGCAGAGAGAACAATACATCGACATGTGTATGATACACCTATCTGATGAAACTGCTTATCAAACATTAAAGGAAGACCCAACTATTGGGTACCTTAAACAACTACAAACACGTGCACAAATAGCAGTAATAGATAAGGTTATCACACAGAACGAATATAGGTACATTGTCTCTCAGTCTAACATAACTGAAGTCACTTTTTACTGTCTCCCCAAGGTGCACAAGGATGTGTGCAAACCTCCGGGGAGACCAATCATTTCGGGCAATCACAGTTTGACTGAAAGAGCAAGTAAGTTTCTGGACAAACTGTTACAACCCATATGCGGGATACGAAACAGACTCTAATAACCCTGGAAAACCTCATAGTGCCTCCATATACATCCCTAGCAAGTCTAGACATAGTGGCACTCTATGATAATATCCCTCATGATAAAGGTCTAGCTGGGGTCGCCTATTTTCTGAAAAAAATCAGAGACATTTAAAGAACACGAACAAGGTTTCATATTGACTCTGATCCAATGTGTGCTAACACACAACTACTTCACCTTCAATGGGAAATATTACTTGCAGCTAAAAGTCACGGCCATGGGATCATCTTGTGCACCCAGTTATGCCAATTTATTTCTGGGATGGTGGGAGGAAACTTCTGTGTTCACTACCTCTAATATTGATTTCACTTCCTCTATATACAAATAGTATGGGTATATAGATGATATTTTAATTTTCTGGTTGGGCTCTCTCACAATTTAAAGAAATGGTGGACAAACTCAATCAAAATGAAATAAATCTCCAACTTACCCATGTCATTGATGAGAGACAATTGGTCTTCTTGGATTTGAAAATAAACTTACTTGAAGATCGGAAGATCACCACATCTTTATTTAGGAAACCCACGGCAACAGTTTGCTTCATTGGCAGAGCTTCCACCCTCAACATCTAACAGCCAATATACCATACGGCCAATACTTGAGAGCTGAGAGAAATTGTTCCAACCAGGATGACTACGAAAAGGAAGCTAAGGAACTTAGGCATAGATTTAAGTCCCTGGGCTATCCTAATAGGATTTTGAAAAAAGCCTACCAAAGAACTAAATATTTTGTTTTTCAGTTTAACATGGATGGCATTGTGTCTCAGGGCTCTTTTGATCACTGAAAACAATCTCTGACTCCTGTGATAATTAGATTGCCAGGTGAGTACAATTTAAGGAAAAACTACTAAAGGAGTGTGTTCCACATTATTAAGCAGAGCACCATTTTCATGCAATATGGGGAAGAAAAAGGATCTCTCTGCTGCCGAAAAGAGTGAAATAGTTCAATGCCGTGGACGAGGTATAAAAACATTAGATATTTCACGAAAACTTAAGCGTTATCATCGCTCTATTAAGAGATTTGTGGCTGATTCAGAGCACAGACGGGTACGTGCAGATAAAGGCACATTGAGGAAGATTTATTTACATCGAAGTAGTGCAGCCTGCAGATTACGTCTCTAGGTTTATCCCTCTGCTATCCCTTTAGGCCGCAGGGCCCTGCATGCTCGGTCTAGTAGTAGTGGGAACTCAGGTGGTCTGTTTAAGATAAGATTAAAAAGTTATTTCAGAACCCCCTGATCCTTAAGTTATTTCTCCCTCTGTTATCTATGCCATCTAGAGAGCATTGGATGGCTGATAGGGGAGTATTTTGGACTGCCACTGTGTCTTGAATGGAATGGAGTTGAGTATACAGGATATCTCGGTCATCCTCCAGGGAGTCCACTCAGTCACCCATGTGGCATATATCTGCTCCAATGTCGTCTAGCTTAGTCTGAAATGAGTCCTCCAGCTTCCCCAGCATAATGGCTGCTTTGAGGACATATTTCGGAGTATGTCCCTTACCTCCAGGTCGGGCCTTTGGACGAGGTAGATCTCTTAGGGTGTCCCATGTTGCGGTTTAAAGCCAGATTGCTGTGGATTACTCACTGTAGGCTGGAGAGCTCTGCTAAGCTGCGGCCAATCCGGTTGGTGGTTAGAGCCCCCCTTCTGTACTCAAGAAAATCTGAAAATATTGACGTTTCAGTTTATAGCATGAGCTTTCAGCAGAACAACATGGAACTGTAATGTCGATATTTTCAGATTTTCTTGACTAAAGAAGTATCTTTTCTTTGGAATCCTAGAATACTGGTATTTTTCAACATTATATTTAGTGTTACTGAAGCACCAGTACGAGTGCAAGGCTGCAAATACTGTTTTATATATATTATATATGTGCAGATTCCGAAAACTTATGGTCCTAATGCATAATTATTGACCTATAATTGCCAAAGTTAGATGGAAATGCTTAGCATGTGAGTTAAGGCAATCATGATTTTTATCTTTCTCTGTTCTTATGATAGCAAAACTAAAAACACTGTATTCCACACAACATAATATTTGATACATACACATATGCAACACATTGTCCTTGATTTCATAAGCTTTAGAAATTATTCAATACTATTAGAGGAACGTTACAAATTATTAATCTACAAAAATTCCCATTAACATTAATAATGACTTTACTCAATAAATCATTAAGAAGTTTTTCTAACAGTACTGAATCATTCGGAAAGCTTATTAAATTGAAGCCATTAATATGAAACTGTATTCTATGCTCAAATTATTGGTATAAGAATAAGATTATTGAATTTAAAATACATACGGCTCCTAAAGATGGACCAAAGCGTCCTGTGGCTGCTTTGCTAACATAGCTTGCGAATGTAGATATCACACCTATAAAAAAAAATACAAGGAAAAAATCCAGAATGACAAATTTAAATGTTGTAAAAAAAAAATCAGTAGATTAAATTTAAGTTTTTTATTTTGGTAAAAAACATGTCATTAGGCAAAAAAACAGTGTATAAAATACTTCCCTGTTTCATCCTCTGTTCTAGTGAAAACAGCGTGTGTATTTTATATAACCCAGTTCTGTCTCTATTTCCTGCTCTGAATTCAGGTCAACATGAAAACCAAAAAAGAGCAGTAAGATAGCCTGTAGTTACCAAATAGTTTTAGCTTAATGAAGTTTTAGTGTACAGATCATACCCCTGCAGTCTCACTGCTCAAATATCTGCCATTTAGGAAAGGCACAGTCTTCCTAAACACTTCCTGTAAATAGAGTGCTAATGTTTACACTTTCTTTATTGCAAATGCGGTTTAATTTAGAATGTATACTTATCACCTGCACTGTTAATAGCTTACTAGACTTTGCAGGAGACTTCTGTATGTTATTAAAGGAAGTGGTCTGGGTGCCAGGTCCATCTAGGGTTAAACCCTGCCTGCTGTAAAACTGCTATGTTTACATTAGGGTTAATCCAACCTCTAGTGGCTGTCTCATTGACAGCCGCTAGAGGCGCTTCCGCGCTTCTCACTGTGATTTTCACAGTGAGAAGACGCCAGCATCCATAGGAAAGCATGCCCTGTCCCAGTGTTATTTTTTCTCCCCCCTCCCCTGTCCCATGATGTTCTTTCCCCCCTCCGCTGTCCCATAGTGTTCTTTCCCCCCTCTGCTGTCCCATAGTGTTCTTTCCCCCTCCGCTGTCCCATAGTGTTCTTTCCCCCTCCGCTGTCCCATAGTGTTCTTTAACCCCCTGTCCCAAGTGCACTATTCTTGACTTTTCATGTTATCATTGCTATCTTTCATTGTGATATATAATCATCTGAATTGTTAATGCAAGCATGTCTGTTAAACTATGCATTCTAAACTCAGATATGTTAAACTCCGATTTCTAATAGCTCATACACTAAACACATGGACTCTGGGAGTGTGTCACGCAATATATCTCAAAAGGAGATTTAGCCTAACTACACACTAGACCTGACGACCCTCCCTGGACTTGGTGGGAAATATGATAGCAGGTCAGTCCTGCACACCACCCTACTAACCTTACTCCATGCACAACATGATACACACCCTCCTGAGAACAAGGACACACAACCCCCTAACGACACCGCCCGCTCTCCTTGACCAACTGTACTGCCCAGTCACGTATAAAACCTGACCGATTCAACGATGAGACATACTTAAGTTGGTGACCAGGGGAGGACACTGAAGATCACATCTGCACACATCCTAGACACACGACACACCATAAGGTCCACCACCACAACAAAGAACACCAGCCGAGACTCAGACTATAGGATGACAAAATTGAAAATCAAACTTTTAAAATAAATGTCCCTACACACAAGGGCACCTAACTCCCTCCCCACTAGCGCGGAACCAAGCGTACTCACAGAACTTGGTGCAGTTTATGAAGCACAATACAATTCTGGTGTATCTCCATGGTCCAACCGATCTATTAAAGATGGAAGGACAAATCAAGTTTTGCAGTTTATTAATGAGACAATCCACACAAAGTCCCAGACTGCCATTCACCTGAACTATAGAGATAGGACATAACCCCCACCAACTGCACTATATGGCTTTGTGTTTTGATATTCCAATGTGGACATACGAGTCTCACTATTTAACCCTAGGCATCCACATATGCCGCATTTTTGATACACCTATCCGTCCCTATGGCTACCTACAAGTATCATTGTGTTCCACACCGGTACTGGATGTGCTCGACTAAACATATGTAACGGAGCTCCCCGTACTCCAACCGAGTACCCTCCGTTGATGGATGCTTCCTAGCTTGCGCAGAGAACCACTAGCACCGCACCGGACACCACAACCACTGCAGCCTCCGCAGCTTGACTGGAGTCTCGCCGTCTTCCTTCCACCCTGGACCAGCTTCTGTCCTCCAGGACCGTGTGGGAAAGACCTCTTACTTCCACCCTGTATGAACCTCCAGCATCCAGGACTGTGTGGGGAAGACCTCTCCTCCAAGGAGAGCGTAACAGGAGCAGCTCTTAAAAGAGCTAAGTGATTAAGGCTCAAGGGAGTTTGCAGAGCATAGCAATCCCCAGTGTGAGTATAGCTGTCCCCTCCAATTACAAGACAAGACTACGTGTTGAGGGTCAAGAAAAACTGAATAAAACTTTATTTTACTTGGGACTAGCCCATATGGTCATTACATTAACATTGCTGTGAAAACTGAATAAAATTACAAACAGTCAAATCATAGCAGGCAACATACAGTGACTTATTATAACACAGTGGCATATTTTTAAAGGGATGGGGGAGACAATAATTAACAGAAAATATCTCACGTGCCTGCAGAATTAGCAATATGCAAATCTACCCAAATATGCAAATTAACTAGTCTTGCTATTCAGCTAGTGCATATTGCTGTTGCTACCAACAGAGGGCACTAGACAAGCTCCATAGCCAAATCCACCTAGTTGGTAGCAAACCTCAGCAGTACAGAAGAGCAGGCAATACATTTCACAGTACACACACACTATAAACAATTACATTACACACACCCTGCACCTATAATGGGTACAGGGTGACTAAAACATAAGAGAAAAAGAAGCAACCTACATAAATAGTCTGTCTAAAGGTAGAATAGGGGCTTTAAAGCCAAATACATCAAAGAGTCATAGCCAACGGTAGGAGACTGGCCAACAGGCTTCTCCATAACCCAGGGAAGCAGGGCAATTTGTCACACAAAAAACGAGTTACAAAAGGCAGTTTGTAACAACATATATTGACATAGTTATGTGGGGAGAGGGGGAAATACTTCTAATGAACAGAAAGTTATAAACAGAGGATGGGAGGGAATAATGAAAAAGAAAAAACAAAAAACTGAGCGCATACGCCAAGCAAAAGGACCCACTTGGTAATATAAACTACAATGGGGAACCAACCTGTATACCAGGAGAACGATGTTCACAGTTTTATGTTTCTTACTCTGGGACCTGCAAGTCTACCTTATACAGTACTTAAAAACTGGGACCTGCGCTCCCCACAATGATCTCTTTGTATCTCATTTTGTGTTACTTTACACACAATGTGAGAGACCGGCAAATCTCTCTGTTCTATTATTTTTTTCTCCTTTTTTTTGTCGAATAATAAAAACTTAATAAAAAGTTATTTACAAAAGAAAACGTCTAAAGTACGTTAACATTGATTGAAAATGAAACTTTTTTTTACGCAAGCTGTGTGAGTCAAAGCCAAATAGTTGTGGTTAGGACTGCATACACAAAAGTTATTTAACTTTAACATGGTAGAGAATTAAGCAATGCAACTTCAGAGGCATGATATACACTAAAACTGCTTCATTAAGCTAAAGTTGTTTTGGGACTACACTCTCCCTCTAAACTTCAAGAGGAGAATCCATGCCTCCATTACTTCCCATAGAGAGTGGGAAAATCTTCAGCAGGAGCTTCCATTAGCCCTTTTGTGTGAAGTCTAGCAGTGCAGGACAAGCTGATTGGCTGAGAGCATCAGCTGAGCCCTGCTCCAATTTCCATAGGAAGTAGTGGAGGCAGGGAAAGTGATGAGTGGACCCCAGACAAGAATTCAAACCATTCTAAAAACCTGTTTGCCTCCTTACAATGAGGGTGGGCATCAGGGAACTACTGACACCATAACAACTACAGCACACAGTGATCTTTAAATATAGCTTTTAGCTTATAAGCAGACAGTTCCGGAATCTTTTTTGTTGTTTTTTACACATTTAAAATGCATTATACATAGAGCTTAAACTGGGGCATTTTGAAAGGGGTTATATTTACCTGCAGACATATATACAGCCAGAAACTGCTCTGAGCCCATCATGGAGACAATGCTTGAGGAGAAGCTCCACAATACATACATATTGGCTGCCATATGGAAAAGTGAGAAGTGACTGAAAGTGGAAAGAATCATAGGTAGGCAGAGGGACTCTGGGGAAAAAAATTACCAAACGTATGTGCATTAAACATTATTGAACCATAAAATGAATATAGACACTTTTTAAATTATATACAAGGTGCAGAATGAAATTCCATATTGCACAGACTAACAGCACAGTGTACACAATACAATGTAAGCAAAGTCCACAGTGTGGCAATACTTTAAAAAAACAGCAGCAAATTTCTTATGCTTTATGCATTATACATATGCATATAATGCATGGTATAAATGCAGCTGATTATAATATTACCACATGACAGGAGGTTTCATATTTGCACATCTCTCTTTACTGAACATAAGCAACCCCCCACTACTGTCAGACTTTATTTTATCACCTTTTTGGCCACTTTCACTTTTTCCTATTCCTGGGGCCTACTCTCCTCCTTCTTTCCCTGGAGCCAGGGTCTGTCCGGCATCACTAGACCCTCGCGCATCGAGGCCGCGAGTGCCGCAATTGTGCTTCTATTAGACTTTATATTTCCTTTTGGGCCAATGGTGGGGAGCGGCAGCGTTGTTTGCTTTCTCGCCGATGGGCCCGTGAAATCGCGGGCTTTGCCAACCATCTTGGATCTCATGAGGCCATTTTCTTTTTCTCCCTCCAGATCGGTATTACCGCGATGTGGACCTCCAACTATCCTCAGACAACCTACCTACAGCTGTCATATACGACCTAAGAACCTACAAGTCCTGTTTAGCTGCCATAAGATACCTTTTGAAAGAAGGCAACAGACTAGGTTTATGCCATTCAGGGAGTGCTTATTATACATATGTGTTATACTCTATGGGGTTACTGTCACATAGGACCACTATCTGGGAGCTGTAACTGCTTGCTGTTTTGTACCACACACAGTTGTGTACCTAATTTCAGGGCTGCACTCTGTGCTATATGCCCTTACATTATACCTGTTTGCCTATATACCAGTTGCCATATGTGGGTGCCCTCTTATACAAGGCACACCACCTGGAATGAGCCCCCAGATCTCAGGTGTAAATCTATCACTGGCATGAGGGGTCCCCCCCTATTTATTATACTGTCTGTAATCACCTGTATAAGCTCTGCTGGAGCAGACTTTACAACGATATGGTACCTTACTTGCAATGTTAAAACCTATGTGCTTGGGCTGACTACTCTTGCTGACCAAGGAGGTATAGCTCGAGTAAAACGGGGGTGAACCCCAATATAATTACATACCTCCGGGCATCTGGTCAGAGGGGAGCCCGTCTCAGGTACCAAACCCGACGAGCAGGTCTTAATGGGTGAACCCCAATTTTATGAAACTATTCTGTTTCCCATATCACTCAAGGGAAACACCCTTTTGTACCACTAGAGGGTTGTTATGGGCAAATGCAAATATTACAAGTTTTAGGATGAAATGTATTTCTTAAACTGTGTACTTTGTCTTTAAGAGATATTGCAAACTGACAAGGTGTTAGAAATGTAACATATTGTTTTTCATAACTGTTTCTTTAAGCAATAACCTCAGTGCATAATATGTTTGCGCCATTTTGTCCCAGACGAATTACAATAACAATAATGCATAAACAAGCTTCAAGGCTATGCTACGACTCTTTCAGTACGTAATATACTGTGGTAACCTTAGTAGATAAGGATGTTCAGACTTTAAGATGCCATCTTGAACTAAGTCAAGAACATTTCCATCACGTGTACACCCTTTTGTTATGACCTTGTATTTTTGCCAAATTAAGGGAGGTCTTAAAATGAATAAAGTAAAAGAAGTGTTACTTTTTCATATATGAACTACGGTAACCATAAAATGGAGACACCTAAGGTATAAATAGGTGTACTTTTAAATGTTAAGACACAGAGGAGAGACTTGGAGACAGACGCTGCTCCATCTTAAAATGACAGAGAGGCTGACATGATGACATGTTTAGAACGGTATGTCAACCTATTAATGATATTTGCAAGCATTTAGTTTAATCTTATAAATTCTGCTATAATGGATTTTATATGTCTATATTTATATTTTTATATAATAAACATATAAAAAGACAAAACTTTATTGCTTCCAAGACAATCCTTATTTTATATTGTATTCTCAATTATTTATTATATACAGTTGCAAGAAAAAGTATGTGAACCCTTTGGAATGATATGGATTTCTGCACAAATTGGTCATAGAATGTGATCTGATCATCATCTAAGTCACAACAATAGACAATCACAGTCTGCTTAAACTAATAACACACAAAGAATGAAATGTTGCCATGTTTTTATTGAACACACCATGTAAACATTCACAGTGCATGGAGCCTCCCACATCATCTGGCTCGGTTCGTACAATACTGGCTCCGTAAACCCATGAAGAAAGAGGGCATGCCTCAGAGTTTAATGCCCAAGTCCACTATTGCCTGACAAAGTGGCCAATACACCGGAGTTTGACACCACTGTAGTGGTCTTTAGGTGTCGGTCAGTCCGGGAGCCACTGACTGTCTTGCGTTGCTTTAAGACCCTTTACAATGCCTAATTGCTGGATCTCAAAGCGAAAATGCTTTGTTTTGTTGACCTGGCTCTCGCCCAGGGTACACAGCTTGACCAAAACGCATTCCAAGAATGGGCCTAATATTCAATCTGCCTGCTAGGCAATGCCAATGCGGCACTTTGTGCCAAACAACGCAAATCAGCACTGCTAAGAATTGACACGAAAATTCTGGAATTAGGACCAAAAGAATTCAGGCCCCTGGTAAAAGGTCTTCTCTTCTGGGAACCTGTCATTGCCAAATAGTAAGCACGTCAACCTGTTTGCGACCTTATGTAAGGCACAATCATCGCTCAAACAGGTTTTCCGCGCCCCACTGAACAGGAGTGTTTTGGGGAAGGCTGGACAGCAACGGAGCAGAGTCACCAGCCTCTGCTGGTCTACAAGCTCCAGATCCTATCCTCCTTCATCCAACTTCAAGCTGACCACTACACAGAGGTCCTCATACTACAGAGGCTTAGACAGAGCCAAAGGAACTAGAAGCAGAGGGCATGGACGTTTCTCTACAGGTTCTTTTCTTCGGTGTAAAAGGCACCGGACAGGGACGGTTTCTTCAGCAACATATTTATAGTCTAGTAGAAATCAGGGGACTACCGACTGGTTATAAATCTCCAGAACCTCAACTAATACGTAGTTTGCAGACATTTCCAAATGGAAGGGATGCATGTCCTTCAGGACCTCTTCCTCAAAAATTAATGGTTCACCCAACTGGATCCGAAGGACACTTATCTGTCGGCGCCGGTCGCTAGGGTATGACGGCGCTTTCTCGGTTTCCTGTGGAGAGGACAAGCATGCCAGCTCACACGTCTGCCCTTCAGTCTCAGTTCAGCTCTGTGGTGTTTCACGAAGCTACTGAAACCGTTTTTTGGCTTACATTCGATCCGAAGGCGTCCAGTGACTCATGTGCCTTGACGATTTGCTAACCTGCGAATCCGCGTCCAGGCTACGTTTGCAAACAAAATTTGTCGTTCACTTTCTGGAATCCTTGGGTTGCATAGTAAACAGACAGAAGTCAGCACTCTCCCCCTCGCAGACGGTCCAGTTCCTCGCTGTCGAGATCGACTCTGTGAACAACTGTGTACTGCGCCTTCCGGCCTCAAAGACTATGTCCATCCGAAAAGGGATCAGACTGGTTCTTCGTATGGACACAATTCCCCTTCGGATACTCGCACGTATAGTGGATCTTCTGTCGTCCTCAATTCAGGCGATATTTCTGGAACTACTACACTACAGGGCAATGCAACGCATGAAAGCGAATGGCCTACGTTCTGGACAGTCCTACTTCCACTGGATACCACTTTCAGCAGACATGAGGACAGAGCTCCACACATGAAAGCCTGGAATGGCAAAGCAATCTTTGGCTCCCCTCTGGATTTCATAGTGGAATCGGACGCCAGCCTCTGGGGGGCTCACTGCATGGATTCCTCTACAGGGGGGAACTTGGCAGGACGATGAGGTCAACCTCCACAACAACTGCCTAGAATTGGTCGCGGGTTCTTTCGCAATTCGCGGTCTGGCCAAAGACATGTCAAACTGCTGCATCCTACTCCGCCTGAACAATGTCTCTGCTGTGCAATATATAAAATCGCCTAAGCGCAGCCAGATCCCAAGCCCTCACACAGGCCATCAAAGTCATCTACAGATTCTGCCTCTCGCACAACATCACGCTGAAAGCGGAATATCTCCTGGGGATTACCAACCTGACGGCAGACTGGTTCTCCCACTACTGGCGAGACAGAGGCGATGGGAAACTCAGCACTTCTGTATTTCGGGAGTTGAAACACCTCAGGAAACCACTTCACCTGGACTTGTTTGCCTCCCAGACCAATCACCAGCTATTGAACTACTACAGCTGGCTCCTTGATCCGAACTGCACGGCTGTGGACGCGTTTCTTCAACCATGGCCGACTTGGTGCCTAGAGAGGGATTCCGTCCATTTTACTGCACCTATCCCCATCATCGTTCCCTCTATGAAGTGCGTTCAGCCATTTCTGCGGCACACGTTTCCATTCAAGCCGTCCCAGTAGGTCAAGATCCTCTGGTATGGCATCCGTTGTGGGGAGCTAAGTTATTTTGACCTCCAGCTCCTAAATATTCGCGTCTCAGGGACGTAGAAGTGGTGCTGCGTTTCCTTAGAGGTTGGCCAGATATCCGGCTCTTTCGCTTAGACAGTTATGGGCCTAACGTACCCTTTTATTACGGATGTCATACATTGCGTGGATTAGACACGTGAGAGTACTTTTAGAGTATTCTACTTTCGCCAAGTTTCTCGTGCTTCTTCAGCTCTTCTTAACCATCAGTGTTAAAAATGCAAATATGAAGCATCCTGTCATGTGGTAAAATTGTAGATTATGCCAACGTGGTGTACCTATAATCTTAATTTTAGTATTGACATGAGGCAAATATTTCCCTCCCGTATTTCTCTTCCCTCCCCTTTTTTCTGTATGGAATGTACCAGGGTTTCTGTGCTGTACTATGATAATTTATGGGTGGCAGGGGGGGTTCTATAATAACCAGATAATGTGTACTCAAATTTATGTTATGAGAATAAGCATACTGCAATTGTTACATATATGTGGACAATCGACCATTTCAGATGCCTTTTACTTTTTTATTTTTCTTTCAGTGTAATTGGTTTTCTTCTGGAGTCCAGGATACAGTTTCAAGCTTCTTCGACTTTTCCCCTTCTGGATCTATGAAATTCAGCATCGATTATTTGGAACTTTGTATACGTTTGTAGTTCATGGTTCAACTATTTGTTACCTGTTTATTGTCGCTACAGAGAAAGAGGAAGGGCGTGGTCTTAAAGGGCCTTTTGTGTAACATCCTCTTTTATGATTGGTTGTTTATGTTCTGCTGGAAGTTTTCAGTAAAGAGAGAAATGCAAATATTTGCCTCCTATCATTACTAAAATTAAGATTATAAGTACACTATGTTAGCATCATTTACAATGTAGGTATATAGGCATAAAGTAGTGAAAAGCAACATGTCAATAAAACCCAACATATGCATTCCACATAAATTTTGCTTTAACTGGTAAACTGGAATATAGGTTGACCCAAGATGTTTCCCTTTTATGTTATACGTTATATGGTATATAAAAGTCATACACAAACTCACAGCATATGGAAACTCTCAATGATTTGTCAATAGAAACCAGTTCAAACAATGAACCAAATTGAAAATTCTTAAATGTGACATTCATACCTACACAATATGCTTTCCAAATGATTATACTTGGTTAGAAATACTTTTAAAATTATTTATCTACAGAAGTCACCATTAAAGTCTATGAGGAATTTTGTAGAGAAGTCATTCGTAAAGTTTTTCTAACAGTTTTGAATTATTTGGAAAGTGTATTAAATTAAATGCATAATGAGTGTTATTTAATAAAGTGAAAATTGGGGGAAATCAAAATGAAATTCAAGATTTAGGCCAAAAGACACAAACTAAAAATATTCTAGTCAATTTTATTTGCTTTTTGGCTATTCTGTTGTTAAATTTTAAATTCACTTTGCATTTCCAGCAATTTGTATTTTACAAATTCAGGGCTATTTGGTGATTAAAGGGACACTATAGTCACCTGAACAACTTTAGCGTAATGAAGCAGTTTTGGTGTATAGAATATGCCCCTGCAGCCTCACTGCTCAATCCTCTGCTATTTAGGAGTTAAATCCCTTTGTTTATGAACCCTAGTCACACCTCCCTGCATGTGACTTGCACAGCCTTCCATAAACACTTCATGTAAAGAGAGCCCCATTTAGGCTTTATTTATTGCAAGTTCTGTTTAATTAAGATTTTCTTATCCCCTGCTATGTTAATAGCTTGCTAGACCCTGCAAGAGCCTCCTGTATGTGATTAAAGTTCAATTTAGAGATTGAGATACAATTATCTAAGGTAAATTACATCTGTTTGAAAGTGAAACCAGTTTTTTTTTTTCATGCAGGCTCTGTCAATCATACCCAGGGGAGGTGTGGCTAGGGCTGCATAAACAGAAAAAGTGATTTAACTCCTAAATGACAGGAATTGAGCAGTGAAATTGCAGGTGAAGGATCTATACACTAAAACTGCTTTATTTAGCTAAAGTAATTTACGTGAAACTGAATTAATATAAATCATACTATATGCTATACTCACTAGAGGCAGGGTTAGATGTGAAATATCGAATCATTGTGCCCTGCAGAGAGGGAACTCTCCATAGGCAGAACACCAGCATATTGGCTGCAATAATACCTATAAGAAGACATTATCATGTTATCACAGAAATATTGTTCAAAATATTTTGTTTCAGTTATTACATTAACTAGAGTATGCAATTACAAGGAAAGGTTAAAGGATCTTAACACGTATAGCTTCGAGGAAAGACGAGACGAGGGGGGATATGATAGAAACATTTAAATACATAAAGGGAATCAACACAGTAAAGGAGGAGACTATATTTCAAAGAAGAAAAACTACCACAACAAGAGGACATAGTCTTAAATTAGAGGGGCGGAGATTTAAAAATAATATCAGGAAGTATTACTTTACTGAAAGAGTAGTGGATGCATGGAACAGCCTTCCAGCTGAAGTGGTAGAGGTTAACACATTAAAGGAGTTTAAGCATGCGTGGGATAGGCATAAGGCTTATAAGATAAGGCCAGGGACTAATAGCTATAAGATAAGACCAGGGACTAATGAAAGTATTTAGAAAATTGGGCAGACTGGATCTTATGTGTCGTCACATTCTATGTTTTAATTTTTGCCCTTACCAGATACAGTTCTTTGTCCATCAGTGAGACTGTTCCACCATTCATTCACCTACAGAGACATATGTACAGCCGATGTTAACTCTGTCTCTGACAGAAGAGGCCTGCAACACAATGGCAGCCATTTTTAAGATGCCCAGAAAAAGAGACTCATAATAAACCTATTCTTACGGGTTCATCTTTAATGTGGTTAGCATTGAAACAAAGTTTTTGAAAGGCAAGTTTTTGAAGGTCAACAAACAGCAACTGAACAACTGTTAGACAAAAGTTCATACTGAAATGTATATAGCAGTTAATGTTTTTATAACACAGGGAGAAACACCCACCAGGAATCTATTATCTAAATATGTTTTTCCACTACTTTTTGTAGAAATACAAAATTGATTGTGTGGCGGGATTGCCTAAACTGTGAATTGCTTGGTTTCTTTTGCGTATGGATGTGCCTTCTAGGATGTGAGTTCCCCCCTCTTTACTATCCCCTTTTCTATAATTTTGCCTATAAAATCCTGCACTACACCTTTTGACCGACAGGGGGCACCCCGGCACCTCAGTTAGAACGTTTACTTAGAATGTTCACACCTCGCTAACGAGGTGTGCAAACCACAGACCGCAACAGAACGAGTGGTCTGACCTACTCTAATCAAAGAGAATAACCATCCCAGTTACCCAGGTCCCGCTACAGACAGCACTATTGATAACTTGTGTTATTTAGAAAATGAAAACATTATTATACAAAACTTAAAGGGGAATTGTAACACCCCAGTTTTTTTTCAATATTATGTTCACATATCTCCAATATTTATTAAATATGTAATTATGAGGTGTGAAAAATAAAATGAAATAGAAACACTCTTCTTTATACTACAACTGCGTGCCTTCATCTTGGCTCCCTGTCAATCATTTTTATAAGATCTGTCCTTTGCACCTGGTATTCAGCACAGAAATAGAATACCGATACGATGGGAAATAAAACAATAGGGGAGATTTATCAAAGTGTTATGTTTTAAAAATCGGTGTAAAAATGGTCACCAATGGAAAGAAAAAAAACTGTGACAGGCTCCATGGATCTGGGCAGAGTTGGTTACATGGTAACTGGGGCACAACTGTATTTTGGCACCACCCCCTATGTTGTAAAGGTTGTTTGTGTGTCTCACTCTGCACCTATTTCGATCACCTTTTAGGGAAATGACATGCACATACGGACATTTATATTCATACACAATTACATACACTTATTCACACAGACTCATACAAACACACATTCTTACACAGACTCATACACACAACTTTTATTATTTTGATTAAAATAATTTTCACCCGAGGGGCAGGACTTCCGGCTCTGTCAACAGGTTGTATGGAGTGAGAGCTCTGCGACACCTAGGCCCAGAAACGGCATCAAACAGCGATAAAACCTACAACATATTTACCAGGGTGGTCCCCGAGCAACAACCGAAACCGGACTCAACAATGGCGCCATCCAAAACCCCCAAATCTACGGATTTTTTCAAACAGAGCAGAAAAGACAGGCTGAAACGGAGCCAAGATGGCGGTGGGCCGAGACCGCCGGCACAACTATCAGATGTCGGATCCGACACGGACTCTGTTGGCGTGCATAGTTAAGACCAGCTGGTAACGGAACGTAGGCTGGCTGAGATGCTACAAAATCTGCGCTCTTCTTTAAATACATACTATATTATAACTGCAGAGGACCTCGACAAAGAAGTGCAGGAGATGGGAGCTCGGACAGATGCATTGGAAACAAACTGAGTGAAGTAAATATTTAGATGGTGGAGAAAACGGTAAAGATGGAGGCAGAGTACCAGTTCATGATGGGTAAAATGGTGGACATGGAGGACCGCTCCCGCCGCAGTAACATGCGCGTACAGGGTGTGCCCAAAACTGTATTACAGGACTCTGTAGATCTTCATCAGGCAACTCTTTCGGGCACTTCTACCATTGCCCCTTGACACCGACTTCCTGATGGACAGGGCGCATAGAGTGCCTAAGCCAAAAACGCTGGCATTGGAGATACCATGCGATGTGGTGGTAAAGCTTCACTAAAACCACATAAAAGAGGCACTGCTACTAGCCCACCACGAAGCACACGACCTGCCGAAGAAATACAAACAAATCGCACTGTTTCCGGATCTGTTCGCAGCTACCTTAACCAAGCAACGCAAATTCATTAACGTGACAAGGGTCCTGCAAAATCACAAGATTGCCTACTGTTGTGGATTCCCTCCCAAACTGCCGGTGTGGAGCAACGGATCCGTGGTGAAAAGGGAAACTCCGGAAGAGGGGTATAAAGCACTACAGAACTGGAGCCTGACCAAAGAAGTGCCCACGCCAACGACTCACCCACCGCCCCGCCGAGTTCGACCAGAATGGACCAAGTCTAAATAAAGCAACACGAAGTTCCGGCCTAAATGGACTGTGGACATGAGGGAAGCCTGCTTACGCAACTGGGTTTGCAAGTATACTCTCCTAACCTGTTGTATGACACTATAGGCCAGGTTTAGCAAAATCCATGTTGATTTACTGAGAAGTCATGATTAACTGGTTATGGGATACTATGCACCAGGATTCTATACCCCCAGCATAACCACGGTTGTGTTAGGCACACATTGACGGAGAGGTTGGAATGGGAGTACAACCACACATACCATGTCAACATCTCCTGTACTATATATTTAGGAAACAGGTGGAAATACTAGTAGCAGTAGTAAAATTCAAAAAATAAATAAATAAAATAAAAAAACCACATAATTAAACAACAACTACAAAAAGTTGAGTATTTTCGCCTCTAGTCCACACCAGAGGACCAGACCCGATTCTACCAGTAGCCAAGACCAGAAGACAGCTACTTAAGTAAGATAGCCGCATTACATGCAGTACTTCCCTTTCCTTATGGGCCGAGCAAGACCATGTAAAACTGGTTTCAAGACCAACCCTTCACACCACCCCCTCCCCACCCCACTACAAATGTTTAGCTATTCAACGGTGACCACTTATATTGAGTCCTCCGTATACTTAGTACTGATGTTAGCCAAATTCTGAACAGCTTGTTTGTATATACTTTCGTTATGTTTTGTTTTTCTTTGGGTGTTTGTAATGCAAAACCATGCTGTCGTCCCTACCTTCCACACCAGTGGGTAAAAAAAGCTCAGAAAGACATAGAAAGGGTAACCTGGTTCCACACATCATGTTTGGGTTTATTAAACTATGTGGTATACTTAGCAATGCACTCCCAAACTATCAAATGATGGCGACCTCATTCACCTTATTTACCTTAAACACGAACAGGTTAAACCTGCCTTATAAATGCAGTCAGCTGATACGCCAGCTCCATTATAGTAAACCTGCCACAGCTTGCATTCAAGAAACGCATTTCTGCTCACACAGTCCTCCTAACCTCTCATCAAAAATGTACCCCCAAGCCTTTCACACTTACGCCCCTAACAAAACCAGAGATTGGACGTTACAAAGCAACAGAGAATATAGAGACAGGGAATGTCAGAATACCAATGTTGGTAGGATTGCCTAATGATACCCCAATTACCATAGCAAGCCTGTATGCTCCCAATTAAAACCAGTTAGACCTTCTCCTAAAGGCCCTCTTCCGCATTTACAAAATTAAAGCTGGACAAATATACATTTGTGGGGACTTCATCTGTGTGCTAGACCCATCTGTGGACATTAACAACACACGCCCCATAAGCAGCCGCAAACCCAGGGCTAATACCCAATTGTGTAAACTACTACAGAAGTACGACTTACTTGATACGTGGCAGACCCATTACCCAACGACTAAGGACTATACTTACTTCTCTAAAGTGCACTCTACCTATAACAGAATTGACTTATGCTTGACGTATAGAGCAAATATCCAAAATTTACAGGATATACATAGATCCTATCACATGGTCAGATCACACCCCAGTGAGAACGACATTTCGAACGTTATATCCAGTTCAGGGTTATAGGTCTACTCACAGGAGAATAGAGCTGGGAAATTACTGCCTGACCAACAGAAAACCTGACGGCTTCCCAAAGTCTTATTATACAACCTTTAAACATATCTTGACTCCTCACAAAATGCAACTCTTTAATGACATAATGCAACAAAACGCTGCAAGCCAATATCATTACCATTGCCGAACCAGGGAAACCCCTTTAAAATGCGAAAGTAATCGTCCCATATCCCTGCTGAATGCGGACCTTAAACTGTTCGCCAAAATTCTGGACAACAGGCTAAAACGTTTGCTAAATTCACTGGTCTCCCCAGAAGAGGCCAGGTTTGTACCTGGGTGACAAGCGGGATATAATACGAAGAGGTTTCTAGATCTCATAGAACTAAAGAAAAGGAAATGAACATCAGGGCTCTTACTCTCGGAGAAGGCCTTTGATCACCTACACTGTGGATGTATGACTTCTGTTCTACGCAGGGGCGTACCTAGAGCATTTGGCACCCGGGGCGGATCCTGTGCTTGGCACCCCTCCCAAAACCTGTAAAAAATGTTAAAGGTTTTATTTTCTTTATTTTTACAATTTGTAAACTTTGCAAAACCACTGTCAGCCCCTCCTACAAAACCCTTGTCCTGCCCTGCCCCTCCTACAAAACCTCTGTCCTGCCCCTTCTACAAATCCTGTACTGCCCCGTCTACAAAACCCCCGCAACCCCCTTCCACAAATCCCCTGCTTATCCCCCCTTATAAAGACTCCTGTCCCAATACAAAACCCCCGCCCCCTTCTACAAAATCCCTGCAGCCCCACACACACATTTACAGGCAGACAGTCACACACTCAGTTACAGACAGACAGTCACACACAGTACAGGCAGACAGTCACACATACACATTTCCTCCGTGCGGCCAGTTTATCAGCTGTTTGCTTGAGTGAGCTGTACTGGCCGCACGGCACCCTAACTACCATGGGACACTGTGCGGCCACAGCTCACACAGCCCCCTCCAGCCAGGGCCGGTACAAGGATTTTTGCCGCCCAAGGCAAAAGTAAAGTTTGCCGCCCCCCATGTGACATCACAATGCCCCAGCCATATGATTTGCCATGTTAACTAACGCCAGTGCTGCAGTGCGCCGTGTTTACATTAAAAGGCCTGCAGGGACAGGCTATAGACACCAGAACCACTACATTAAGCTGAAGTGGTTCTGGGGACTATAGTGTTTCTTTAATGTGAGGTAAATTAGAGCTTAGTGCCACGAATAATATACTAGATTGCCTACTTACAACCAGATGAGGATGATGATGGGCTCTAGCTGCAGTCTGGCTCACTGGTCTGGTGCAGAACAAGCTCTCTGGAAGCGGTTTGTAACTGTGGTCACAAAAATGTCCTGATATGTGTGTAATGAATGTATTGTGTGAAATTGTGTTTGTATGTGTAAGGGCTGCAAGGTGTGTTTCTGTGTATGTATGGGATGCATTGAATGTGTGTAAGGGGTGCATTGAGTGTGTGTAATGAATGCATTGTGTGTTTCTGTGTGTGTAAGGGATGCATTGTGTGTAACGGTTGCATTGCTTGTGTATGTGTGCCTGTGTGTTTTTCTGTGTGCAAGGGGTGCATTGTGTGTATGTGATGAATGTCAATCTCTCCTCCCGCTCCAATTTCCTTCTCCTCCTCCCAATTTCTCTTTCTCACCCACCCACCCTTTTCTCTTTCTCACCCCCCTTATTTCTCTTTCTCACCCCCCCTTATTTCTCTCTCACCCCCTCTCTCACCCCCCTTATTTCCTCTCCACCCCCCCTCCTTTCTTTCCTCACCCCATATTTCTCTTTCTCTCCAGCCCCTCCTATTTTCTCTCACCCCCCCCTTTTCTCTTTCTCACCCACCTTATTTCTCTCTACTTACCTTATTTCTTTTCTCACTTATATTTCTTTTCTCACCCCCCCCTTATTTCTTTTTTCTCACCCTCTCTCACCCCCTTATTTCTTTCTGCCCTCTCCCACTTACTTATTTATTTTCTCACCCCTCTCTCACCCCTTATTTCTTTTCTCACCCCTCTCTGCCCCCCTTATTTCTTTTCTCACCCCTCCTCTCACCCCCCTTATTTCTTTCTCACCCTCTCACCCCCTTGGTACAACCTCACCCCTCTCTCACCCCGCCATTTCTTTCTCACCCCTCTCTCACCCCCCCCCTACCTCCCTGTAGCGTGGCCGATCCCAGTATAGCCGGCGGGTACAGGGAGCTTTTGTTTCCTCTACCCGGCCGGACTAACAGGAAGTGCCCACTCAGTGTGCACTTCCTGTTAGTCCGGCCGGGTACAGGAGACAGCTGCTCTCTGTACCCGTCGGACCATGCTGCAGTGAGGGAGCTGACAGGAGCGCTCCCTCCTGTCAGCCTCTCCTCAGGCTGCGCCCAGGCGGTGCGGTCCGCCCTCATGGATGCCGGGCAAAGCTGCAGCCGCCTGAGGCTCACTACAGGCGCTTTCGGGGCTGCAGCCAACCATGGCACCCCCCACCCGGCTGCCACCCGGGGCGGACCGCCCCCCCCGCCCCTCCCCCTTAGTACGCCACTGGTTCTACGGAAATTTGGCCTACCGACAAAGTTTCTGAACACAATTCAAACCCTTTACACAGCCCTTCAGCAAAATAATGAATACAGTATTCCTGTCCAAGAGTTTTTCCCTCACAAACGGTACCCGCCAAGGTTGTCCCCTATCCCCGCTGATCTTTATTTTAGCCCTTGAACCCCTAGTGCAACAGGCAAAAACCAACAAACACATTACAGGCCTTAGTACCCCACTAGGGGAACAAAAAAAAAAATAGCGCTTTTTGCAGACGACGTGCTGCTCCTACTGACAAACCTGTGCAGTCCGCCCTGCCAGCACTGACAGACGTTTTAGGCGTCTATGGCACCATCTCATACTATAAAATAAATTTAACCAAAATGCAGGCTCTGGCGATAAATATGACTAAAAAGACCAAACAACAGTTTGCACAGAAATATAAGTTTGATTGGAGGGAACAGACGGTACAATATCTAGGCATACAAATTACTACCTCCAAACACGCCACCATCCAACACAATCATCTAAAACTGATCACTAAACTACAAAACTTGATGGCAGCTTGGGAAGGCAAGAGTATGTCATGGCTAGGCCGTATAAATGCGGTAAAAAATTATGGTGCTGCCCAAATACTGTTGCTCTTGCAAACCCTTCCGATAGAAATACCGGCTCAATTCCAGAAGCTCCTAAATGCACACATATGGAAGAAAAAAAAAAAACCCAAGGGTAGCAGAACATACCATGGGTATTAAAGTACACAAAGGACGGTTTGTAATACCAATCATCCGAAAATACTATATAGCCACTGTCCTGTTTCAGACATTATCAAGTTTTAAGGCAAAGGATCCACCACTATGGTAAGAGCTTGAGAACTTGGTAGTAAAACCCCACTCTCTCTTAGACCTGCTGTGGGTTCCACAGCTCAAACAACCATCAACACTGGTACTGCTCACTACAACCAAGTAGCAATTATAATCCAACCCCAAGGGAAATATTTACATACTTACGGATAAAACTTATCGTCCAAAATAGCATTACGAAAAAAGATACTTACACACCCCCAAATGAATGAGAGGTTTTGTCAAGGGGTAGCCAAAGAGCTGAAAATATTTGCGTTATGCTACAGAGCCATAATTGACCTAATGAGACCTGTTAGACTTGGTTACAGGGAACAATGGGAAAAATAACTTAATCTCCAGTTTACAGATTTACAATGGAAATTAGCGTTCTCCCACACGACAAAATCCATGCACTGCCTGGACCATTTAGAATCCGCCTACAAGGTCTGGTTTAAGTGGTATATGGCCCTGCAAAGGATGGCACACATATACCCGGGGGTTCCCCCAACCTGTTGGAGATGTGGGACATCGGTGGGAAACTTGGGCCATACCTTCTGGTTTTTCCCCAGGCTAGAATTATTTTGGGAACAAACCAAAGGCCTAATTAAAAAACTAACAGGCCACGAGATTAATTTACGCCCACAGACATACTTGCTACATATGCTCCCTGCACAAGTGGGGATCTATGACAGGACTATGATAATCCACACGCTACCGGCAGCAAAAAGTTGCATAGCCAAACAATGGAAAAGCTCCGCCAATACATACGGTAACAGCCAGTCTTAGTAAAACTTACAAATACAAGGAAATGTCCCACAGAATGGCGGGTAAAAGTGGAACACACACCCGCATATGGAACAGTTGGCCAGAGCTGCAAGCTACAAACCCAAACGAATAGGCAGGGAATATGCTAGATGATGAACCGCTGAGACAAAAGACTACCTAGGTTGCCCAGGGTAGCGGCACTGTTATAGGCACGTTAAACGACAAAAAAAAGGGGGAACCAACATAGAGTTACCTTGGACGACCACCCGACCAATAGTAAGGCCCAACACCACAGACAGCACACACAGAGGTGCCCATAAACCGGGACATTGTAATGAACTGATAAGTTCTTCTCACCTCTCACAACCCCTCCACCCCACAACTTTTCCTGTTTATTTGTGGCAATACAGGGAATAATTCATAATGCGGAATGACTTCCAGAGGGGACTCAATAGGGGCAACCAGACCCACAAGGGGGTTGCCACGCAATACCCAGGATATTTATCCAACATGCCGCCTGTTAAAAATTACACTGTGTAGCAAAACGCAATTGTTAGATATCCAATGTATTGTATTTACTGTATTATACTTATTGACAATATGCGATTATGTACTTGAGTTACGAGTACACAGTCTTGCCTCTGTATTCACTAAAAAAACTATTCATGAAAAAAATTAATATATATATACCGTATTTTTCGCTCCATAAGACGCACCTCACCATAAGACGCACCTAGTTTTTAGAGGAGGAAACCCAGAAAAAAAAAATATTCTGAACAAACTGTTCCATAGTGTTTCTTACCATGGGACGGTTTGTTCAGAATATTTTTTTTTCTCCCCTGTCCCATAATGATCTTTAACCCCCCTTTCCTCTGTCCCATAGTGATTGTTAACCCCTCCTACCCTGTCCCATAGTGATTGTTAACCCCTCCTACCCTGTCCCATAGTGATTGTTAACCCCTCCTACCCTGTCCCATAGTGTTCTTTAACCCCTCCTCCCCTTGTCCATTAGTGTTCTGATCCCATAGTGTCCCCCCCTCCCATTGTTCCATAGTGCACTTTCCCTCCCATAGTGTCCCCCCTGCCCTTGTCCCATAGTGTCTCCCCCTCCCCTTGTACCATAGTGTCTCCCCCTCCCCTTGTCCCATAGTGTCCCCCCTCCTCTTGTCCCATAGTATCCCCATCCCCTTGTCCCATAGTGTCCCCCCTCCCCTTGTCCCATAGTGTCCCCCCCTCCCCTTGTCCCATAGTGTCTCCCCTCCCTTTCTCCCATAGTGTCCCCCCTCCCCTTCTCCCATAGTGTCTCCCCTCCCTTTCTCCCATAGTGTCTCCCCTCCCTTTCTCCCATAGTGTCCCCCTCCCCTTGTCCCATAGTGTCTCCTCCCCTCCCCTTGTCCCATAGTGTCTCCCCCTCCCCTTGTCCCATAATTACTTACCTGTCTTGGAGCGTGGGCCGGCTTCACAGCGCGCTCCGCGGTCCAGGAACTTCTATTTCAGGTTCCGGTTTCCGGCGGGACTGAAAGGAAGTGTGCACTTCCTTTCAGTCCCGCCGGAAACCGGAACCTGAAATAGAAGTTCCTGGACCGCGGAGCGCGCTGTGAAGCCGGCCCACGCTCCAAGACAGGTAAGTAAATCTTCACATTCGCTCCATAAGACGCACAGACATTTCCCCTCACTTTTGAGGGGGAAAAAAGTGCGTCTTATGGAGCGAAAAATACGGTATATATATATATATATATATATATATATATTTTAACCAAACCTTTATTTTCTTACCATGAAACCGAGCTGGATTGGAACTTCATCTCTGAAGTCCAGTAGTTTGCTCCAGGGATCGATCTACTGATAGCTCCCTGTATCTCTGTATGGATGCCAGGGCTGGGGTAATGTGACATTCCGGTCCAGCATCAGTACAGAGTAAGCTGGACACTCATTGCAGCTTCATCAGTGACTGCTCTGTGGCCAATTACTTGCTTACCAGAGAAGCACTGGCTGTTATGCTCTGTGCACCTCCTACCTCTAGTCACAAGGGCAGCCCTCCTTCAACCCCCTTACTTAGCACACTACTGGACCTGAGTAAATTGAGTGGTGGAAAACTAAAAGAGTAGAGAGTAAGAGAAGTGAGAGGAGTGTTAAGAATAATCAACAAGTGGATCATAATGGGGACAACATGGTAACCCAAAAATTTCTTCAATATTATGTACATAATTTAAACCCTGTCAGGATAAAAATCTAAAATCCAGTTATATCAAGAAAAAGATAATTTGATTTGTACAAACATACCTGCTTACGGAATTCACCTTGCTTTTGTGGTCGTAGCTTCTCTAACCAATCTGCTCGTATATCATCCAGATAATTCCTCATTCGATATTTTAGAGACTCATATTGCCAAATAGCAGCAACGCCAAAAGAACAACCTGAAAACTGGATTTAACATAATACAGTGTTTGAGTGTACATATGCATGGATCTGTGCAGATCAAATGGAAATTATTTACTTTTTATTGAAAAGTAAAGCAATTATAGGAGGATAAGATTTAAATATTATGTCATGTGATGTTAAAGGATCACTATAGGGTCAGGAATACATGTTTTCCTGACCCTATAGGGTTAAAACCACCATCTAGCCCCCTGGGCCCCTCGTGCCTCCATAAATATAGCACAATCTTAATGTATTCAAGCCTGAAGCTGTAGATCTGCATGCTGTTTGCCTCAGAAAAACAAGCAGTCTGCTGACATCATTAGAAGTGGAGGTCTGATCCAATCACAATGCTTCCCTATAGGATTGGCTGAGACTGACAAGGCGGAGATCGGAGCAGAGCCAGCATGATTCAAACACAGCCCTGGCCAATCAGCATCTCCACATAGAGATGAATTGAATCAATGAATCTCTATGAGGAAAGTTCAGTGTCTGCATGCAGAGGGAGGAAACACTGAAAGTTTGGATGCATTTTAGGCAGCCATGGCCTAGGAAGGATCTCTAACAGCCATCTGAGGAGTGGCCAGTGAAGTTATCACTGGGTTGTAATGTAAACACTGCATTGTCTCTGAAAAGACAGTGTTTACAGCAAAAAGCCTGAAGGTAATGATTCTACTCACCAGAACAAATTCAAAAAACTGAAGTTGTTCTGGTCACTATAGTGTTCCTTTAAGGGGTCCTCAGTGTTTACTAGTAATTCTGTTACATTTGTAATGTAAGGTGCAGCCACATATACATTCTACATTTATTTACACACACACACACTTTATAATAACCTTTTTCTTGCCAATGCAAATGTAATTTTTATATTTTAATTTTGCTTATCACACCCCATAAAACTTACATTCAAAGTGTTTTTTATATTTTATTTTTAAAGGAGGAAGGATGCATAATTCTCAGCATAGGAGCACACTATGGTTAGAAATAAATATATTTTTAATGTTCATTTAAATTTGGTTGATGATGAGATTCACAATAATGTCTAAATCCGAATGGTAAGAAAGAAAAAAAAAAAAAAAAAACACCTTGCTTGCAGATGCATGTAACTAGTGTATTTCTATAGTATTTGCTATAGTGTCCCTCAGTCAAAGTTATTGTCCATCCCGCAGGTGTTGAAAGGGTTAAAAAACCCTTCAAACACTTACATCTTTCTAGTGCTGAGGTCCCACTGTAGTGACTCCATCTCTGCCTCCTCGAACATCGGCAGTGGGGAGAAGCTAATGTGCATGCACGGCAAGCACAGAGCACATCAGGCCTTCTCCATTTATTCAATGCTTTACTATGGGGATTTCAAAGATGCTGGACGTCCTCATGCAAAGCGTGAGGAAGTCCAGCATCGTTTAATGGAGTTAAACTCTGTAAATACAGGAACAGCCTCTGAAACGGCAATGTTTTGCATTGCATGGCTAAAGGGACAGGGACAATGCACCCAGACCAGCTCAATGTGATTGAGTGGTATGGGTACCTATAGTGTACCTTTTACTAGCATGTTGTGATCATACTGGAATACAATGTAACACAAAGAAACCATCAGCACTACCTGCACAAATATAAAACAGAGACTGATTTACACATTGCAACCATGCTTCTCAATGTGACAGAATTGGAAAAATAGGTGGAGTGGTGGCATTCCTAAAATGTAAACCATGGTATGGCTCAAAAGTACCATAACAATAAGATATAAAGAATGTTTGGCCAAGATCCAACTGCTCTGTTAAGTCCTTGCTATGTTATAAATTTAAAGGGACACTAGTACCATAACCATCACAAGGAATTGTAGTGGCTATGATGAAGGAGGCAATAGGCCTGTGATAATGAGGAAGTTTCATTTTCTCATTAACTGTGTATAAATATTTATACATGTTTGTGTTCCTGATCCTATAGTGTTCCTTTAACTGTGATTCAAAGCATCTGAATTTTTCTTAACGTACAGATATTCTGGACAGAGAATGAGGATGTGCAATTACATAAGCATGGTGTTCCAAGGTGAGAAACTGTGCTTACAGTTTGTTTTTAAATCAAACCAACAGAAACCAGACCAGATAGAAGGGGAAATATGCTGCGAGAACTGCACTGAAAGGAGGAGGATAACAATTCATGAAGCCTGGTGAAAAAAGTCAAGAAGACAGTAATGTAGAAACTTTCTACACAGTCTTACTTAGCTATTCATTCATTCTGTGTCTTAGAATACATACGATTATATAAATTAAAGTTAGTTGTATGCAAAAAGTATATCGGTCATTTGCAAGCGACACTGCCAGTGGAACTTATAGGAATACTACATTAATTGCATGTCCCGTCTATCCTTCCATACCCAGTGCCAGCCTTTATTGAACTCTCTGCCTCCTTACCCATTATACTTTTAGTATGCCCACCACACTGCATTCTTTTTTTGCATTTTTCACACAAAAACTGCACATTCACTGATGATATTCTCATGATGAATTTTAATGTTTTTAAAACACTCCTATTTGTGTTTAGCAAAGTCTCCCGAATACAACAGTACCCCCCACTTTTCAGGTTTTATGGTGTTAAGGAAAATTACAGGGTCAATATAGGGCTTGCCCATTTCAGTTTTCCAGATTGGTTTGTGGGATCTATGTTGCCTTTGAGACCATATTTAATCAAAAAACAATAACTTTGGCCAGTGTTTGTGACTCAGTGGCTACTAAAAAAGACTGGATATACCCATTTGCAATACCTTGGTATGTCTACTTTTGCAAATGGTATGCCATCATGGGTGTAATTCATATTCCTGAGCTAACATACGGTCTCAAAGGCAGTAATACTAATCTGGAAAATTTTAATGTAAAAACACTGAAAAGGGGAAGCCTTATATTTGACACTGTAACTTTTCAAAACATCAGAAAACTTGTACATGGAGGGAGAGGGGAGGGTGGGTTCTGTTATACTGGAAACAAATATTAGCGTTTCAGAACAGTAAAACAATATCAATACAGGGACCCAGTAAGTACTAAGGACAACAGGGACGTTCTATTCTGCCAACATTTAGAATCGTCCCCTTAAAGGGATACTCCAGGCACCCAGACCCCTTCTGCCCATTGGAGTGGTCTGGGTGCCAACTGCCACTAACCTTACTGTTTTTATAAACTTCAATAATTACCTTGCAGGGTTAACTCCTCCTCTAGTGGCTGTCTACTAGACAGCCACTAGAGGGCACTTCCTGGTTCATAGCACAGGACCTCCAGCGTCGCTAAAATCTCCATAGAAAAGCACTGAAAGCATTTTCAATGCTTCCTATGGGGATGTCTAATGTGAATGCGCAGTCGGTCTTCCCCGCCGGCTGACATCGGCGGGGAGGAGCGTGTGCGGACACTAAACCACTGCCGAGGGACATCGGCGGTGGTCTCAGGTAAGTCACTGAAGGGGTTTTCACCCCTTCAGCAACATGGGATGGGGGGTGGGAGGGAGAGGGGACCTGCAGTGCCAGGAAAACTGATTGTTTTCCTGGCACTGGAGTGTCCCTTTAAGGACGGCATAGAATGCCCACTCTCCTTAAGGGGTTAATGGAGGATTTAACAGGACACACTGTTTACTGGCATAAGCAGTATATTGGTAAAAATTCCTTTAGGAATCAGATTGTGAGGACAGCATGAAATACCATAAATCCTTAAAGAAAAACACTATTGTGTTAGGAATACAGGCTTGTATTCCTAACTCTATAAGGTCCTTTCCCTAACTTGTTGGGTTGCACCATCGAGTTTAAAAAAATAAAACTTTTTACTAAGAATATTTCAAGCACCGAGGCTCCATCGGCACAGGTTAAGTCTCCTCCTCCCGCAACGTCTTGAAGCTGGTCTGAGCGAATGCACAAATGCAACGCATTGAATCAATGCTTTCAAATGGAGAATTTGAGGATATCCAACTTCATTTCATGGGAAGAAAAAAAAAAACTGTTAGGGAACAGGAAGTGCCTCTAGAGGTGAACTTAACCCTGCAATGTTTTACATTGCAGGGTTAAACAGACAGGGGGTCTGGGTGCCTATAGTGTCCCTTTAGGTGTTAAGTGGCAACAACAGTCTGATATGCTCATGGAAAAGTTTTGAGTGCATTGGCACAAGTGGGCCAAAGCGCTGAGGGGGCAGATTATCATTTTTAAGGATCAATACCATAGAATGCTGCATAAAATATAATATACATACCCCCACAGTGAAGAAGAAAGGTTTGTATAACTTTTTCAGAATGTAGGAACGTGTTGGGGATAAAGGTTCTGCCAACGGTGGTGTAAAGCTGCTTTTAAAAGTCTCAGGGCCACCTCGAATTTCAGACTCTCCTTTTTCAGGTTTCCTAGGAGCCTTTCTGAACCCACTCCTCTGCTCTATAAAAATCCTACAAAAGAGAACAGTAGATCAGCATACACAAATGTTCTGGACATTTCCAAAAAAAGTACACTAAGCAGATGTCAAAACACTTTATTTTGTTTTGACAACTTACCTGGCTCCAGCCAGGCGCCCTCATTGCCTCTGATTGTCTGTCACAAGAAAAGATGGATGTCACATTAGAGCAATGACACAATACACTGTCTGAAAACGCTCTGCTGACGCTCAAAGCCAGTGATTGCGTTCCTTCTTTTCTCTAAACTGACAACCAGTTTTCTGCTGGAGAAGATGAGACAAGGCTGATGCAGTGCGGGTGACCAAGTAAGTTGTTAAACCGTGCTAAAACTGTTTTATCATGAGAAAGGGCTAGGGCACCATAACCATACAACGTCTGTGGGCTGTAGTGGTTATGGTACTTGGAATGTCCCTTTAACTACACACGGAGCTGTCATTTCTGGCAAACTGACATATCTGCTTTAAATGAGCATAACAATAAATAGCAAAGTACAACAACATATGTACCTTCGTCCTTGACACCAACTTCTTCCTGTACATGCTCTCAGTGTCCAGCATGCTGACGTCATGTTGATATTCTGCAACTTGCAGTGCTGACTTTTCACTCTCCCCTTCCAGAGTGAATATCCTATTCTCCTGGAATTTGTAATATTTAATTTATAAAATATTTTACCAGGATAAATACATTGAGATTTCTCTTGTTTTCAAGTATGTCCTGGGACCACAAAACATTGCATTGTTACAATATCATATAATATTACAAAAATACTAATATATATATATATATATATACACACATACATAGATACATACATACACACACATATATGAATTTAATACATAACAGGTAATAAATATATTCAACCATAACAGGTGCATGCTGTGATGAGGTATATGTAGCATATTAAATTTTTTTGTTAAATGCAGATTCTATATATCAATGCAATGTTAAAAAAAAATGAAAGAAAAGTTGAAAATCCTAGCTTCTTTTTTAACAAAAACTTTTTGGGAAATTCCTCATCACTTAAGAGGTCGTTGTCACATAAACCAACTTATTGAAGGAACACTACAAGCACCACAACTGCCTATCCACCCAATCCTAGTAGTCGGTCCGTTATAGTATGATTTGATTTCTTACCTTGGGGCCTGCAAGGCGCCACTCCCCGCGTCCACTACTGATGACGAAGAGCCAAAGAATCCTAAGCAGGACCTCCAGTTAGCTCTCTTGAGCGAAGTCCTGCAAGCCCCAGCACACTAGATGAGAGTAACAGTATTAGCTCATGACTTAACATTCTGCTCAAGAACTTTGTCTCTCCGGCATTAGTAGTGGAAGATGGGAGCTGCGTTCAGCGATGCCAGGTAAGACGTAAAATCATTCAAAAATGTTTTTACTATTTAAAATGGGGGGGGGGGGGGGGGGGGGGACAATAACCTCTAGAGACATACACAAAATGTCCCTTTTTTTTACAGTTCACCGCCTACACTCCAAGAAAGTTGGTCTTGTTAAATAAACCGATGTTCCTCCGGCAGCAAGATTTCAACAAACTCATAAGCCACCAAGAGCCCTGAAACCTATTAGGGGAGATTTATCAAATTGTCCTTATCTCAATAGTGGTGTAAAGTACCAATATTAGGGCAATCACCATAGAAACAGGCACACACTATGGGTAAAAACTCTATCCTTGTAAAGTCAATACTACCCTGCTGGTGGGTGAGCTGTAAAAAGTTGTTTTTTGTCTGCTTAGTGGTTACACATTATTCTACATCTGGTCAGAAAGTCCCTTAGACCTTTGAGTGCCAGAGAAGTTGCCCAACTATTAAGAAAACAATGCTTTTGGCAGACCTGAGCACGCAAAGGGTCACAATGTCACACAAATTACATAACTTCCCTGTCACCACAAAAAAAAATAAAAAAATGACCCCCCACAAAATTAAAAAATATGACGTGCATTCGTCATTTTATCCCAAGATTTAAAGGTACAGTATCGTACTGCAGTCACCTTGCGAGCTTTGTCCCAGTCCAGGCCTTGTTCAGACAGACAGACAGACAGGACAGAACAGGACAGGACACAAGTACACAGGCCCCGCCCCTTCCGCTCTCTGGTGAAGAATGATGACGCAACGGTGAGTCCCCAGCTCTCTATAACCTCGGAGACCGCGCCCATCCCGCTGTCACCACCCAAAGCGGGAACGTCACCGCCCCGCTTATAATTAGAAAAAAAATAATAATTATAATAAAAAGCGGAGGGTGAGTGCTGTAATGCAGTAAACATTGTAGTGATGGGGGTAGAGGATAACATCGTGCTTGTCTGCTTCTCATTTGGAAATGTCGGCTATCTATTGACACTATAGTGTAATGAAAACGTGAGACAGACAGCATGAGAATCCGTATTAATAAGAGTCGTAATGAAGGTAATCATGTTCATATTAATATAAACGTTAACGTTGCAGAGTATTATTATTTTTACCAGCATGTTGTAATGAGAGGTGGCTGTAGAATAGACTATCACTGTGTGAGATTATTATTATTATTTGTAAAAATCAGTACGTCTTATTTCATAAAGAGGCTGCTTACATGAAGGGACACTGTAGGCACTCAGGCCACTTCAGCTCATTAAAGTGGTCTGGGTGCAGTGTCCCAGGTCCCTTAATCTTGCAAAGGTAATTAATTGCAATAGTTTAGCTTTAATGGGGTAACTCCACCTCTAGTGGCTGTCTACTAGACAGCCGCTATGGGACCTCTTGGTCATTTGGCATCTTTTGGTTGCCTAGCTGATGCTGGACGTCCTCACGCTATGCATATTAAGACGTTCAGTGTTACCTGACTCCTCATAGGAAACATTGTATGATAGAAATCCCAGCGCTTTGGCGGCCCGCTGGCATCTAATTTACCTGCCGACGCGATCCTATTCGGGGGAGAGGGGATGCCTGACAGTCCAAGCAGTCTCCCTGCTGCAAGTCTGGGCCATGTGATCACGATGATCACATGGCTGGAATAGCAGACTAATGTACTGCCTGGGCTGACCCCCAAGTGAGAAATCAAACAATTAAAACAAAACGTATTTAATATAAAAAAATCTAATCTATATATTTCATGATCTTAAAGCCCGAGGCATACAATAAGGCTTATGTTATACCAGTAGTAGCAAGTCAGTTGTGGTGTGCCGAAACCGACAAATGGGAAAGGCCTGAAAAAGAGGGCCCACTTATTAACGGAATTTAAAAAGGGAGGGGTGGATGGGTTTCCAAAACGTAGGCAGAACTTCAGGAGGAAGCTGGGAGAATGGGGTAGAAATGGACGGCAACAAACCACTCCCACAACTCCAAGCATATTGCTTTCACACTTGTAGTCAGGGTCAAAAGGCATGTGTGAAAACCAACAAATGGGGTAGATATGAAAAAGAGGGAAAAAAATATTAAAACAAACTAAACTCCTAACCGCATAATTAACAGAGTCCTCAATTGATTAAGTGTTTAGATTAATACAGCAGTACTACATACCACCAATTTTCCAGTCAGGTAGGATGAAAGCATTACAGACTTGAAGATGTCGCTAAATATAAAATTAGTAAAATTATACTGTAACATAAAGTTATGCTAACTGTAATACAAATATATTGGTTGTGCTCTGTACTAGTCTCGGTACATGTGCCAAAATTGTGCCTAGGGCAGCACAAAACCAGGATACACCACTGCCCTCTGCCATTCCTTTAGTAATAGCAGCATTTACATGCATACCTGAAACAGAAAAATTGTTAGTGGGAGCAACTGTTTAACACCCCCAGTAACTTGCTGACCTATATTATGCCAAGTAGAGAAACAAGCTAAATTGGTGACTTGGTAACATAACGGATTGTCAAGTTGCAATCAGAGGCTCTAACTGTGATTTGGCATGATGGGTAGGTTTGCCACCGAACATTGTGGCACGTTATTGGCCTGTCCGTGAAGATTAAATAGATTTGTTGGCTATGACAGGTGAGGCCCTAACTGCTTTGCCACAAGGGCAGAGATGAATAACTATGATTTGGCCCAAGGGGTGAAATATCTCCCTGGTTGAGGATGGGAGTAGGCCTCGCGGTACAGCTATTTAATGGTACAAGAAGCCAACAACTACCTATGGCCACCTAGGGTACCAGCCAGACCAACTAAAGGTAATGTTCTGTAGAGAAGTTGGTTGTTATAAGGAGGGAGATAGTGTCGTAAAGTAAGTCAATTGCATGACTTGAAAGACATAAAAGCGTAACAATGGCAGAATAAATGAAAGCTCGAATTCTAGAAGCGCATAGCAAGAAATAAGAGAATAAAAGTGGAATGCCAAAAAGTGTACAGTGGTTCAATCTAACCCAAATCACAAAGTGACACTAGAGAACATGTTAATAACAGAAAAAGGATACTATCACTGTGAAAATGCAGCAGAGTAATTACAGCTAAGGTAGATAAATAAAGAACCACGATCTCAGAACACGAATACCTCTAGTGATATCTTTACCAATCAACTGAAGGAAATCAAGCAGTATAATAAATGACCAGGTTGACCAAGTGTGCTAAAAGAGCCCCAGATAATCAAAGGCTGGTATACAGCTTACCTGGTGAGACTTGATTTACCGATATGTTTGTGATGTATATAGATAAGCAAGACAGGCCATAAAGGAGGTGGCCAGAAAAATTAACAAAAACGTCCCCCGAAGGATATCAAGAGGTGAGGTGCATAACTTACAAGATTGTTGAGTTGTGGAAAAACGGCCTCAAGTCTGGAGCAAGTAGGCATTGCGACAGAAAGACATAGTAAAAAAATAATAGCGAGGACATAAGTAAACAGTGTGTGTATACATACATATACCTACCCCACATATATAAATTTGTGGGCTTACCTACCGAGATATTGTGCGAGGTTGGATGAAATGATAGCAATGGAAGCTGTACTAGGTTGTTGTAATGGTATCGACACCTATATTATATATGAGCAAGGTTAAATAAGAATATATATATCAATAATTAAATACTGTGAGGAGAAATATCAGGGCTCGACAAATCCCAGGCACCAGGGCGCCACAGCGACTAGAAATTTCGCCCTGGCGTTTGGGATTTGCCAGCTCTCTAGTTAGTGTGGCTGCCGAGGGAGCTATGACGGCGGCCATCGCTGAGAATATTGGGGGCGGCCCTCCGGGGCAGCTTGGAGGCGGCCGGCACTGGCATCATTACAGAGCGCGAGGGAGCAGAGAGGAGCTACAGGCACTGGCACTGGCATCATTACAGAGTACTGCTCCTTCGCACACAGGAAGAGAGCAGCTCCACTGGACCCCAGGAAAGACTCATTCATCTCTCCCAAAGGTAGGAAGGCTGATTGGGTTTCAATTAAAACAAAAATATAAGTGTGTGTGAGCCTGTCAGAATGAGTGTGTGTGTGTGCCTGTCAGAGTGTGTGTGTATTTGTGAGAGAGCCTGTCAGAGTGTGCGTGTAAGCCTGTCAGTGTGTGTGAGCCTGTTAGTGTGTGTGTGTGAGCGTGAGCGAGCCTGTAAGAGTGTGTGTGAGCCTGTCAGTGTGAGTGAGCCTGTAAGAGTGTATGTGTGTGTGTGTGTGTGTGCACGAGAGCCTGTCAAGAGAGTGTGTGTAAACACCTGTCAAGAGTGTGTGCGAGCCTTTCAAAGTGTGTGCGTGCAAGCCTGTTGTGAGTGTGTATGTGTGCCTATGAGTGTGTGTGTGCGCCTGTCCGTGTGTGTGTGCGCGCGTCTAGGTACTTGCCCCATCCAATCGCATGAGGAAGGTGTTTTTCCTTACATTTTTTCTCATTTTCCAACGCCGTGCCAGTTTTGCCATGGCAGAGGTTATCAATCATTATGATCTCAGCTAAGCCAATGCTTTTTCGTAAGGAAAGCATTGGGAGGATTTTGTGCATGCGCAGCTAATGTACCAATCCGCATCTCCTCATAGAGATGCATTAAATTAATGAATCTCTATCAGGATCATTCAGTGCCTCCATGCAGAGCTTGGAGACACTGAACTTGGGTGCTGCACGTGGTGCAGCAGTGACCCAGGACTCTCTAGTGGCCGTCTGAGTGACTGTCACTAGAGGTGTTACTAAGCAGAAATGTAAACTCTACCTTTTCACAGAAAAGTCGATGTTTACACGGAAACGCCCGTAGGGACAGGCTTTAGACACCAGAACAACTACATCAAGCTGTAGTGGTTCTGGTGACTATTGTGTCCCTTTAAGAATTGAATTTTCCCATTGAAAATGACTGGCTCCTAAGTTTTTTAGTTGACTCTTAGATTCCAAACAAATTTGACAGGCTCGCACACACTCTAACATGACAACAGGCTTGTACGCACACACTCTGACAGACTCGCACACACAAACTGACAGGCACTCACACACTCTTGACAGGCTCACGCACACACATACACATACAGACACCCTGACATTCTCTCTCACACACACTGACAGGCTCACACACACACTCTTGACAGGCTCTCTCAGACAAATACACTGACACGCTCACACACTCAATCTGACAGGCTCACACACACTTACATTTTTGTTTTAATTAAAACCCACTCAGCCTCACTACCGTTGGGTTCGCATAGAACCGAACGCTAGCTCCCTGTCAGCCGTTCACATGAACCAAAACCGCAACTACACTTCAGGGGGACTTAGCCGCAAATGCCCTGGAACTATTTTCGGCATAAAGACTTTGCGGTTCCCGGTCGGTCCCCAGCGGCATGTAGCTGCGATTTTATGGAACTATTTTTGGCATGAAGACTTTGCGGTTCCGGTTTGGTCCCCAGTGGCAATTAGCCGCGATTCTATGGAATTATTTTAGGCATAGGACCATGCGTGCTGTCAGTCAAATTATGGCTTCCGGGAAAATCCTGAACCCCTGAACCGATCTGGGTGATATTTGGATATGTTGGTGACCCAGATAAGGACTATCAGGGGATGTAACATTTAGGCGGTTTTATGTATTTTTAAGGTACCTTTGGGGTGTTTGGGAAAAGTGTGTTTTTTGTGCCTGGAGATAAATGAGTTTAATACAGTGCTTGACTCCATTATCTCCCAGGAACAGGGGACGGATTATCTTGTTTTATGTGGGAGTGTCCTGGACCTGAGAGCCAATGTAATTGTGTGCATGTTTTACTGTAGTCTACTCTCAGGTCCAAGGGGGAGAGCCCCTTGCATGGGGACCTGCATATAAGGCCAGTTGTGACTGCCAATAAACGAGTTTCAGTTTACCCCCAACACAGAGCCTTGTCTCGTGATTGTAGGGGAAGGCTATACCAGCTATAATCCCTGCTCCTTTGGATTGCTATAATCACTAGTTCTTGTTAGAGCTACACTGCTATACCTGCTATACTCTCTTGGAGGAGAGGTCTTCTTACTGGGACCTGGATCCAGGAGTTTGGTCCAGGGAAGGAAGGGATGGCGAGACCCCAGCCAAGCTGCGGCAGCTAAGGGGCTACAGTGCTTATGGTGTCCGGTGCTTATGGTACTCGGCGACAGCTAGAAAGCATTGATTGGCGGAGGTACCCAGTCGGGGTGCCTGGCGGTCCATCACACAAATGTAATGCCATGAGGGGGTATGTTATGCCAGCTGACTGGTCTCAAAGGCAACATATGCCCAACACACCAGTCTGACAAATTTCAATGTGTATAAACTGAAAAGGGGGGAAGTATTTGAGCATGTAACTTTCCAAAACTCCATTAAACTTGTACATGGTGGATACTGTTGTACTTGTGAGACATTGTTGAACACAAATACGTGCATTTTATTGCAGTAAAAGCTAATACTATTATGACATTCACAGTTAAAGTACAGAACTTCAAAAATAAAAATGTCTTAATTTCTCAAATGTTTTAGATTTTGTTCATATTACATTACTGTATATACTCAAGTATAAGCCGAGTTTTTCGGCTTATACTCGAGTCAGTGTCTGTATTATGGCAACTTACATTGCCAAAATACAGACCAGGACCGCCTGACCACCAGGGAATGTTACAGACCCCCTCCCTGGCCAGGTATTAAGCATGGAGGGGGACAAAAAAAAATAATAATTTCATTTTATAATATTAAAATAAAAAATAAAATAATAATATTAAAAAATATAAAAAAATAATATTAAAATAAAAAATAATAAAAATGCCCCACCCAGTTTACACACACTACACAAACACACACACACTCTGCATTCACACAAACAGACACTCTGCATTATATACACACAAAGTGTATATAATGCAGAGTGTGTGTGTATATAATGCACACACTCTGCATTATATACACACACTCTCTGCATTAGATACACACACACACACTCACTCTGCATTATATACACTCACACTCATACAAACACACACTCTGCATTATATACACACTCACTGCATTCATACAAACACACACTGCATTATATACACACACGAATTCTGCATTCATTATACACACACTACACACAAACACACACACTGCGTTCATTATATACACACAAACACACACACTCTGCATTCATTATACACACTGTAAATAAATATTCATTAATGTAATTTTATTGGGATCTAATTTTATTTAGAAATTTACCAGTAGCTGCTGCATTTCCCACCCTAGGCTTATACAGTTTTTTGTGGTAAAATTAGGGGCCTTAGCTTATATTCGGGTCGACTTATACTGGAGTATAAACGGTATGTTTCAAGTCTAAATATTTGGTGTGAAGTAAAAGCCTTGTTTCTCTTGAACAAAATTATGTCTAAGTGTGGATAAATTATGCTTGAACAGACATAGTCAATTTCCAGGTTTTGTTTACATTTTGTTTTGATCAACCTGTACAATTGCCTCCGTCCTTAAGGGATTAACCCCTTAAGGACCGAGGACGGTTCAGGACCGTCATCGGCATTTTTGCGTTGCCGACCGATGACGGTCCTGAACCGTCCTAACGGTCAGAGCTACTTACCTGATCGCCGTCGTTCCCCCGGCGGCGATCAGCGTGGCTCCGGTTGTGGGGAGACTGCCTGCAGCCCAGACAGTCTCCCCACACAGATTAGGACCCCTGTGGCCATGTGATCGCTTAACACAGCGATCACATGGTCACAATAGGTGTCCATGTGTCTGCCTGCAGGGGGACTGCCTGTGCTGACAGGCAGTCTCCCTGCTAGTGTAAAATCAGAAAAAAAATAAAGTTAATGTTAATAAAAAAAATAATAATAATTATATATGTGTATATATGATATATAGACATATTATATCTATATAATATATGTCTATATATCATATATATATAATGTCATACTAAGTGTATTTTTATATTAATATGTACTTATATTAATATAAAAATACACTTATAATTAAATTACACACGTATATATATAATATATATAATAACTATATATATTGTATATATATATTATTATAAAATATAAATAATAAGTAATTTAAATTAAATAAAAAATTTTTTAAATAATAATAAAAATTTAAAAAAAATTATATAGCTATATGAAATTTTATTCTAACTGTATTTTAAAATTAATATATATATATTTATATCAAAATACACTTAGAATGAATTTGTATATATATCTATGTATATAAAAATAATAAGAAATATACATATGTCCATATACAAAATTACATAAATAATTATATAAATATACACGTAGACTTCAGATATATAAATATGCATATATATTTAAATTCTACGTGCGTATTTATGTAATATTTTACATAATTCAGTAATTTTATTGATTGCAATTTAAGGGACCTGCCTGCCAACCCAGGCCGAAATTCCAGAGAATTTAATTTGCTAGCACTGTATTTTACCCTGTAACGTTCTACAACACCCTAAAACCTATACATGGGGGGTACTGTTTTACTCGGGAGACTTCGCTGAACACAAATATTAGTGATTCAAAACAGTAAAACATATCACAGCGATGATATTGTCAGTGAAAGTGACTTTTTTTGCATTTTCACACACAAACAGCACTTTTACTGATGATATAATTGTTGTGATACGTTTTCCAGTTTTTAAACACTAATATATGTGTTCAGCGATGTCTCCCGAGTAAAACAGTACCCCCCATGTACAGGTTTTATAGCATTTGTGAAAGTTACAAGGTCAAATACATGGGTCAAATATTTTTACATTGAAAATGGCCAGGTTGGTTACGTTGCCTTTGAGAGCGTATGGTAGCCCAGGAATGAGAATTACCCCCATGATAGCATACCATTTGCAAAAGAAGACAACCCAAGGTATTGCAAATGGGGTATGTCCAGTCTTTTTAGTAACCACTTGGTCACAAACACTGGCCAAAATTAGCGTTCAATTTAGTTTTTTTACTTTTTTCACACACAAACAAATATGAATGCTTACTTTGGCCAGTGTTTTCGACTAAGTGGCTACTAAAAAAGACTGGACATACCCATATTGAATACCCTGGGTTGTCTACTTTAAAAAAAATATGTACATGTGGGGTGTTATTCAGAGATTTATGACAGATAATAGTGTTACAATGTCACTATTGATAAATTTTTAAAATGTATGTTTTGAAACCGCAATATCCTACTTGTACCTATAGCCCTATAACATGCAAAAAAAAGCAAAAAAGCACGTAAACACTGGGTATTTTTAAACTCAGGACAAAATTTTGAATCTATTTAGCAGTTTTTTTCATTAGCTTTTGTAGATGAGTAAAAGATTTTTCAAGTAAAAGTCAAAAAACATGTATTTTTTCAATTTTTCATCATATTTTTTTATTTTTTTTAAATTAAAATACATGAGATTATATAAATAATGGTATGTAAAGAAAGCCCCTTTTGTCCTGAAAAAAACAATATATAATTTGTATGGGAACAGTAAATGAGAAAGTGGAAAATTACAGCCAAACACAAACACCACAAAAGTGTAAAAATATGCCTGGTCGCAAATGTACAACATCGCAAAAACAGTCCAGTCCTTAAGGGGTTAAAGTAACACTATAGTGTTAGGAAAACAAAGATGTATTTACAATGAAAGGGTTAAATAATTATTTCAACACTTGCCCGATTCCAGCTACAAAGTCACTCAGTGCTAGCTTCGCCTCCTCTGATGTCATCACAAGGGAAACCTAATGCGCATGCGCCACATGCATTAGGCCATCCCCATAGCAAAGCATTGACTCAATGCTTTCCTATAGGGAATTTGAAGATTCTGAATGTTCTCATTGTGACAAACTCCCTTGTCCAAGTGAGGAACCTGGAGGAGCCTGCTTGCCAGCCTCCTGCCCACAGACCTTAATAAATGTGATATAAAAGTCTCCATTATTGCAATTGGGATTATGTGGTTCGGTTACCAAACAACCGCACAAACCAGAGACCACCCTGGAGCTTGTTAACACCTATTAACAACTTGGAACGTTTCTCACCGCAGTGTTCTAATTGTTCATCTGGGTGGCCCCAATTCCTATGGTAAAACCATGAGGTGGCAGCCATCTTGTTCGCATGAACGCAGGCGGCGGTATTTGGGCATGAATCTCATGGAACTAAAATCGGACACAGAAACTCCCGAACACCGCTGGACTTTCATCATCGCCTGCGTTCAGTTCTATACAACTTAGAAGGGCACTGTTTGGTGAAATCATTCGTCTGGATGTGGCGAACAAGATCCAAGGCAAGACTATTGACTCTGTTCGGTAGTTTGTTTATTTTCAAACTACCGAACTACACCGACCACAAGCCCTGATTCTCTGGAACTGTTTTGGGCATGGGGCCATGCCTACCCCTGAACTGATCTGGGTGATTTTTGGATATGTTGGTCACCCAGATCAGGACTATCAGGATGTAACTTTATGGGGTTTTATGTATTTTTAAGGTACTTTTGGGGTGTGAAGGCATAGACTCCACAAGACCTCTCAGCGTGTCCTGTGGTACCAACAACCAAGACATTAGTAGCAGATCCTTTAAGTCCTGCAAGTTGCGAACTGGGGCCTCCATGTATCAGATTTGTTGTTCCAGCACACCCCATAGATGCTTAATTGGATTGAGATCTGGGGAATTTGGAGGCCATGGTAACACCTGGAACTCTGTCATTTTTCTCAAGTCATTCCTGAACAAGTTTTGCAGAGTGGCAGGGTGCATTATTCTGCTGAAAAAGGCTAATATCACCAGGGAACACCCTTGCAATGAAGGGGTTTACATGGTGTTCAACAATCTCTAGGTAGGTGATACATATCAAAATAACATGCACATGAATGTCAAGTCCCAATGTTTCCCAGCAGGACTTTGCCCACAGCTTAACACTGCCTCCACTGGCCTTCCTTCTTCCCATGGTGCATCCTGCTGTCATCTCTTCCCCATGTAAATGATTCACATGCACCTGGCCATCCACCTGATCTAAAATCAAAAGTGATTCATCAGATCAGGCAACCTTGTTCCATTGCCCATGATTAAGTATTGATGCCCATGTCTTCATTGAAGTCGCTTTCGGCGGTAGACAGGAGTTATCATGGGCACTCTGACTGAAGTATAGACACGTATAGCATATCAGCAGAGGGATTTCCCAGCTAACACAGTTCAGGGTGCTCTGTAATACGCTCTGTACTGTGTAGGGATGTGCATGGGCAAAAAATTTGGTTTTGTTCGGCACTTCTGAACTTTGGGAATTTGGCACTTCGGTTCGGCAATCCGAAATTCGGGACTTTGGAACTTCGGCAATTCCTTAACCCTTCCCCTAAACTTACACCCAACCCCTAAACTAACCCTACTCCTAACACCAACCCTACTCCTAACCCTAGTAGGGGTAGGGTTAGGGTTAGATTCCTGTCATCATTCCCTTAATTTTCCCTCCCTCTACTGTTTTGCCACTTTTCAGAAATCCAAAGCACTTCAGGACTTCCGAAATTCAGCAGTTCGGTTCAGCACTTCAAAATTCGACAATTCGGAAGCATCAGAATGTCCAAATTGCCCGAAATTAGTCCGAATTTAAATTCGGACCGTAACGAATTGCACATGTCTAGTACTGTGTGATTGCAGTATGAGAGGGAGATTTCTCTCTTTCTGCAGTTCCTACACACTGTTCCTACCGATCAATGATCAATTCTGGGCAGAAGGCTCAGCCCAGCGTCTATCACTACCTGTAGGTTGACCTAACGGGTCTTTTCAGAGATAATCACTGCAGCTGAATGTTGATTTAAAGGATATAAAGTATAAGGAAGCGGTGTAGGGATAAAGTGCTTAAATAGTGCAGGCTAGCCACTCCAAATAAGGGATCACTCCCAATCCCAAAAGATACACAAATGCAAAAAAGGGTATAGTTCCCAAAACATATACCAGATGGGGGCGCTATAATAACAAAACGTGTATATAGTTACTGTAGCGGATGGCACCAGGCGACCATACAAAAATACTGTATAAAGCTGCATCCGTGTATCTGTTGTATTTTCTGTGTATTAAAAAGAATTGTATTTCTCTGATTGTTCGGTAGTTTCATTCCCTTAGTTTATTCGAATGAAACTACCGAACAACCAGACCTCCCCTGTGTGAAGTGTGTCCTCAATTACCCGTTGCAACATTGTTGCGAACGGGTAATTGAACAGTAAGTAGCCGTCCTTTGTTCTCGGGGGTGGCCGCCATTCGACAAACGAACACGTGGCGGCGACCATTTTAAAACTCCCGAACAGCGGTGTTTTGCCTTCGAGTGTCTGGAACTAAAATCGGACAATCGAGTAGGCGAACACCGCTGAGACCTCCACAGCCCTTGTCCGTTCGGTTCCATAGAGAATACCGAACGAGGGGATTCAGGCGAACCCTCCCTAGCCTCTATAGCTAGAGGTTTTCGTGTATTTTATTCCCTTATGCCAGGACCGACCGCAGGGCCCATTCACATGGAACCGAATTCGGCTATCTCAGTTCGTGCGGTCGGTCATTTTATTCCCTCCATACTTTTTCCGAACCCCTGGTCTGATCTGGGTGATTTTTGGATATGCTGTTCACCCAGATCAGGGCTACCAGGGGATGTATGATTTAAAGAGGTACCCCTACGTTTAGGGGTACATCCAGAAATGGGGGGAATTGGTGTGCTGGATAAGGGGATTATGATGCTGGCTGAGGGGAGGAGATGTGTGGGAGGTTACCAGGACAGAATTGGCTACTGTAATAATTACTGTAAGTCCCTCCCTTGCATGGGAGCATGCTTTATAAGGAGACTGTGATTAAAGGCTTGTCAGTTATGCTCCTGAAACTGTGTGTCGTCCAGTTATTGGGATTGCTGTTGGGATATTGCTGTATTTTACCTGCTGGAAACCCTGCCTTTGGATGTACTATTTACTTGTTCCTGAGTCTCACTTGGATTATAAGCGGAGATAACCTGGGTAATATTGCATCTCCGCTACATTGGTTGGCAGCGCTGGGATCCAGACTCACAGAAGAACAAGCCTAAATGGAGTACGGATGGAGATTGATTTTGCCACACTAAAACGCTCCACGCTAAAAGACCTTCTGGAGGCAAGGGGTATCCAAGCCAGCAATAAGACTAAAGCGGCACTTATCACTGAACTGATGGCGGAGTACCGAATGGAAGGCGATTCGGTTCCCGAACAAGGGAATTCGGGAGAAACACCGGAACAAAGGGAGTTCCAGAGGCAGGTACAATTTCGGCTGTCTTTCTATGGGGAACACCCTCCAACAGAGATTGTTTCCAAAACGATAACGGAGGTCCAGGAATTTATACTGAGGAGTCAAACAGCGGCACCAGAACGCAGCTCTGCAGTAAATATGCCACATGAAGGTAAGCCGAAAATACCGTACCAGGCTTTTAAAACATATGTGGAGGCAGAGGAAGATATAGACGCTTTCCTGCAAGATTTCGAGAGACTGTGTGCACTGCATAGAATCAGCGCAGAGGACTGGGTACCTATTTTGGCAGGGAGGTTAACTGGGAGGGCAGCTGAGGCATACCGTACTGTACCTAATGAAGAAATAAGGAATTACAATAAAGTGAAAGAAATTATATTGGCCAGGTATGCTATAACACCAGAAGCATGCCGGCGGAGATTCAGGGATTTAAAGAAGGTGGAGAAAGACTCACATGCTGAGTGGGCATGCAGACTACAAAGAGCAGTCTTGGGGTGGGTGCAAGCGAGCAAGGCACGGTCTATGGAGGATGTATTGCAAATGGTACTGATGGAGCAATTTTATGAAGGAGTAACCAGTGAGGTACAGGAGTGGGTAAGAGACAGAAACCCTACCTCCCTTACCGAAGCAGCCAGGAAGGCAGACGAGTACCTGGATGCACGCAGGCAGCAAAAACCTGCAGCTCCAAAAGTACCTTTTAAAACCTTTGGGGGAAATAACTACACGCCAGCTCTACCAAGGTCACTGCCACCACCACCACCCCCCGCTACACAGCCACGTTTCCGCCAGCCCACGTCGGGCCCTTGCCACCACTGCCAGAAGTGGGGACATTATAAAAGGGAATGCCCCCAGCTGCGGGACCGTTCCACCTGGATCCGACCCGGTCCACCACCACCACCGAGAGCCGCCCAGCCCATCACTACCAGGACATCGTGGCCACACCGTATGGTTCAGCAGTTCCCATCACAACAGTAGAGCAGTGGGAGGTACTGCACGAGGCAGATCCCGTCCAGGCTAACACAGACAACCGCCAGCATCACAGGCAGACCGTGTATCTGGAGGGTAAAGCGGTTCAGGGGCTACGTGACTCAGGAGCCACCATCACCCTGGTAAAAAGTCACCTGGTCTCAGACCAAGCTAAACTTAGTAAGACTGTGGCCGTCAGGGTAGCCGGGGGAGCAGTATAACGGCTACCCACAGCAAGGGTACATTTGCATTGGGGAGCGGGGGCAGGGCATGTGGAGGTGGGGTTGATGCCGCAGTTACCGGCGGAGGTTTTATTGGGGAGCGATCTGGGGAGGCTCACATCTGCTTTTGAGCCCCAGACACCCACCACAGGAGAAGCTCACCCTGTGGTCACTCGACAACAGGCCCGCACCCAGGACTACAACACACTCCCGGAGGTTCAGGTAAGAGATCCTTCCCCTTCCCCTGACTGTGTCCCCTGGGCCCCTCCTAACGAATTTGCAGCTGAGGTAGTGACTGAACCCACCTTGCAGGTGTATAGGGACAAGGTGACAGCAGACACGCCTGGGGAGGAGGGCGAAAGGTTTATTTGGGACAACCAGCTGTTATATCGGGAGACGGATAAGCAGGTATCCGGGTCAGACCCGATTGTGATGAGGCAGTTAGTGGTACCTCAGCGGTACCGGGCGGAGTTACTACGGATAGCTCACGACATTCCGCTATCTGGACATTTAGGGGTCAGCAGGACCCGATACAGGTTAACCCAAAGTTTCTTTTGGCCGGGAATTAGCCAGGAGGTGCGCAGGTATTGCAACACGTGCGATACCTGTCAAAGAGTGGGGAAAAGGGGGGACCGGCGCAAGGCCAAGTTACATCCCCTCCCCATAATCGAGGAACCCTTTAGCAGGGTAGCAGTTGACCTAATAGGACCCCTCAACAAAGCAAGCCCGTCAGGTAAAAGATTTATCCTGACAGTAGTAGATTATGCCACTAGATATCCAGAGGCGATGGCCCTGACGAATATACAGGCTGAGACAGTAGCCGAAGCCCTGATGAAGATATTCTCCCAGGTGGGACTCCCCAGGGAGATTGTCTCCGATCAGGGCACCCAGTTCACCGCCGAAGTCACGCAGCGCCTCTGGAAGTTTTGTGACATTAAGCCGGTCATTAGTTCCCCTTACCACCCCCAGATGAATGGGCTCTGCGAACGTTTCAACGGTACATTGAAACAAATGCTCCGAACCTTCGCAGAGACCCACAAGGACTGGGAGAAGTTCCTGCCGCACCTCCTCTTTGCTTACTGGGAGGTGCCGCAGGAATCCACTGGGTTCTCCCCATTTGAACTATTGTTTGGCCGCAGGGTACGAGGGCCTTTAGATTTGATCAGAGAGCATTGGGAGGGAGAACGGAGCACTGACGGTACCCCCATCATACCCTATGTGTTGGCATTCCGAGACCGCCTTGAGGCCTTAACTCAGACGGTACGCGAAAATTTGCAGGCGGCTCAGACACGCCAGCGCACATGGTATGATCGGGGCACCAGGGACCGTAGCTTTCAGGTCGGGCAGAAGGTGTTAATCTTAAAACCTGTCCGACACGATAAGCTGCAGGCCGCCTGGCAGGGCCCTTATAAGGTGGTGGAACAACGGTGTGACACCACTTATATAATCGGCTCGTGCGTTGGTACTGGGGGGCGGCGCATGCTCCATGTGAACATGATGAAGCCCTACCAGGAGCGCTCGGAGGAAGTGACCGCTATATGTGCGCCTAACTCCGAGGAGTTTGACAGTTTACCTCTCCCGGATCTGCTGGGAGAGGGTCAGTTATCCGGGGACTTAGGGGAGGTCACCCTGGGGGATCGGTTGAGTCCACAGGAGCGGAGCGAGGTACAACAGCTGTTGAGGGAGAAGCAGGATATCTTCTCTAATGTACCTGGTTACACTCCTTTGGCCACTCACCGAGTAGACACCCCAGGGCAACTTCCCATGCGTCAGACCCCGTACCGCATCCCAGAAGTGGTACGGGCGAACATGCGCAAGGAGATAGATGAGATGCTCCAGCTGGGGGTGATTGAGCCCTCTGACAGCCCCTGGGCATCTCCGGTAGTACTAGTACCAAAGCGGGACGGCACGACCCGGTTTTGTGTAGACTACCGGAGATTAAATGAGAAGACGTATCGGACGCCTATCCTATGCCCAGGATAGACGAACTCCTGGATCGGATGGCGAGGGGGCACTATCTCACCACGATTGACTTGTGTAAAGGGTATTGGCAAATACCCTTGGCACAAGACGCCATCCCTAAGTCGGCCTTTGTCACCCCATTCGGCTTGTGCCAATTTAAGGTCATGCCGTTTGGGATGAAAAACGCCCCGGCTACTTTTCAGCGGATGGTGGACCGCCTCCTAGATGGGTTCCAGGATTATACCTGCGCATACCTCGACGATATTGCCATCTTCAGCAATACCTGGCAGGAACACCTGACCCATATAGGAGCGGTCCTAGACAGGATTAGGGCCGCTGGTTTAACGCTGAAACCAGCCAAATGCAGCATAGGGATGGCTGAAGTACAGTACCTAGGTCATCGGGTAGGATGTGGCAAGCAAAAACCGGAACCAGCCAAAGTAGAGGCTGTAGCTCAATGGCCCACCCCTAGGACTAAGACCCAGGTGTTAGCGTTCTTAGGAACGGCCGGATACTACCGGAAATTTGTCCCGAATTACAGTGCCCTGGCCAAACCTCTCACCGACTTGACCCGTAAGAACCTACCCCGCCAAGTAACCTGGACCCCGGAGTGTGAACAGGCATTTCAGTTGTTAAAAGATGCATTGACAAATGCCCCTGTCTTGGCCGCTCCCAATCCAACTAAGCGTTTTCTTGTCCACACAGACGCTTCTATGTTTGGATTGGGAGCAGTATTAAGCCAAGTCGGGGCCGATGGCGGAGAACATCCCGTGGCTTACATCAGCCGGAAACTGTTACCTCAAGAAGTAAGCTACGCCGCCATCGAGAAAGAATGCCTGGCTGTGGTGTGGGCCCTGAAGAAATTACAGCCATATTTGTACGGACAAGCTTTTTCCCTGCTCACGGATCACAACCCGTTAGTATGGCTAAACCGGGTGGCTGGGGACAATGCCCGGCTACTGCGCTGGAGTCTGGCGCTGCAGCCCTTTGACTTTAATATCCAGTACCGCCCGGGTAAACAGAATGGAAATGCTGATGGGTTGTCCGACAAACTGACCTAGAGAAATGATCCGTGAGCCTCCCCGGACATCCCCAAGCCGATCCGTGTTGGATCAGACTGTGTATGCCGGCTTGTGGGCAAGGGGGAGCAGTGTAGCGGATGGCACCAGGCGACCATACAAAAATACTGTATAAAGCTGCATCCGTGTATCTGCTGTATTTTCTGTGTATTAAAAAGAATTGTATTTCTCTGATTGTTTGGTAGTTTCATTCCCTTAGTTTATTTGAATGAAACTACCGAACAACCAGACCTCCCCTGTGTGAAGTGTGTCCTCAATTACCCGTTGCAACATTGTTGCGAACGGGTAATTGAACAGTAAGTAGCCGTCCTTTGTTCTCGGGGGTGGCCGCCATTCGACAAACGAACACGTGGCGGCGGCCATTTTAAAACTCCCGAACAGCAGTGTCTGGAACTAAAATCGGACACTCGAGTAGGCGAACACCGCTGAGACCTCCACAGCCCTGGTCCGTTCGGTTCCAAACTACCGAACGGCCCCTCGTTCGGTAGATAGAGAATACCGAACGAGGGGATTCAGGCGAACCCTCCCTAGCCTCTATAGCTAGAGGCTTTCGTGTATTTTATTCCCTTATGCCAGGACCGACCGCAAGGCCCATTCACATGGAACCGAATTCGGCTATCTCAGTTCGTGCGGTCGGTCATTTTATTCCCTCCATACTTTTCCCGAACCCCTGGTCTGATCTGGGTGATTTTTGGATATGTTGTTCACCCAGATCAGGGGTATCCGGGGATGTAGGATTTAAAGAGGTACCCCTACGTTTAGAGGTACATCCAGAAACGGGGGGAATTGGTGTGCTGGATAAGGGGATTATGATGCTGGCTGAGGGGAGGAGATGTGTGGGAGGTTACCAGGACAGGATTGGCTACTGTAATAATTACTGTAAGTCCCTCCCTTGCATGGGAGCATGCTTTATAAGGAGACTGTGATTAAAGGCTTGTCAGTTATGCTCCTGAAACTGTGTGTCGTCCAGTTATTGGGATTGCTGTTGGGATATTGCTGTATTTTACCTGCTGGAAACCCTGCCTTTGGATGTACTATTTACTTGTTCCTGAGTCTCACTTGGATTATAAGCGGAGATAACCTGGGTAATATTGCATCTCCGCTACAGTTACCATACTTATTCAATGGAAGACATAAAATATAAAAAGTAAAAAGCATATATGGTGAAGTATTTAATGGCACAGTAGGATGATAAAATAACAATATGTACACAAAGATGATGGCACAAAGAGACTTATATCAATTTGTGCAAACGAGCTTTTCAAAACCCCTCCTGGGTTAAGTCCCCTTTAAATACAGATCCGGTATCGATGCCTTCTGATGGTAAATGTTTTCCTTCCAAATATGTATAAGAGGATGAACCAGGCAACAACGGATGAATAAGTGTAGAATCTCTGGGGTGACACTGGCAAGCCTCTCCGCTCAACGCGTTTTGTCCCGAGGACTTTCTCAAGAGCTGTAAGTCCTCATGGAGGGTTTAAAGATCCATTTTACAGCACTACGGAATTTTCTGGCACTATATAAATAATAAAATGATAATAATAATGAAGAGTGGTCAACAGTATCAGACAGCAAAGATGTCGAGGAGAGTATTGACCATTACATTTAGCAGTGATTGTCGTTAGTAATTTGGTATGGACGGTTTCAGTAGAATGGAGGGAGCGGAAGCAGATTAAAGATGGTCAAGAAGAGAGTTAGTATTGACAAAGTGAGTTAGACTGGTCAATACAACCTGATCAAGAAGCTTAGAAGTGAATATTAGTCCTGATATGGGACGGTAATTAGAAGGAGAGGTAGGGTCAAGGGATGTCTTTTTTAGGATGGTATTAAAAATTGCATGTTTGAGGCAAGAAAGGAAGTTATCAGAAGACAAAGATAAGTTGAAAATATGCATTAAAGGGACATTATAGTCACCAAAACAATTACAGCCTACAGCCTGGTGTCTATAGTCTGTCCCTGCAGGCTTTCTGATGTAAGCACTGCCTTGTCAGAGAAAAAGCACTGTTTACATTGCTCCCTAGGGACACCTCCAGTAGCAGTCATTCAGATGGCAACTAGAGGTGCTTCTTGGGTGAGTACTGCACATCAGAATCTCCACGCTCTGCATGGTGATGCTAAACTTTCCCTGTAGAGATGCACTGATTCAAAGCATCTCTATAAGGAGATCCTGATTGGCCAACATGGCATTTGGCTCCACCCGCCTCTTTGACTGAGCTCTTCAGAATTGATGATCTATGTCAATCCAATGCTTTCCCATGGAGACAGAGAGAAAGAAGTTAAAAGTGGAAGAAGGTACAGAATGGAAGCAGAGTATTGGAAGGAAGGCAAAAAGATGGGAGATTGCATTCCTAATTTGATTGATCGTCTCTGTAAAGTGACATGTTAGCTGTGAGGTTAGTTAATGTTAGGGTTGCAGTGGGGCAAAGAAGGTGGGGGAAAGAGGAATTTGGGATCACTAGAGTAGGTTGAGATAAGAAAGGTAAATTACTCTTGCTTTGCAAGGGAGAGGGCAGAAGTACAGGACAATAGCATGGATTTGTAATGTAGAAAGTGTGGTATGAGGCTTTCTTTGGATTAGGAAACACATCAGCTGCTAAAAAAAAAAAAATTAAAGGCCAGAGAAAGAAGGTAGAAATGGAACTTGAATGTATGTTTAGAACTTTCGGTTTTAGAGGAGGGGGGGAGGAGGTATTAAGAATGAGAACATTGGATAAGCAACTTTACAAAGACTGGGGAAGGAGGTGTTAGGTAGTGTAGCACTCTGTTAGTGAAGCAGGAATAGTTGAGAATGAAAGATGGTGAGTAATCAATGAGGGAGATTATAAGACTGGTGTCTGCAGAGAGCAAATGATGACCATAATTATGTAATTAGTCAATATATAAAAAAAATTAATTGGGGTGCGTGGGAGAGAAGAGAGTGTGTTGTTACAAGGCATGTGTGCAAGAGACTAAGACTGTAAAAGAGATTATAAAATTAATTAGATGCTATTTGGGGAGGGGCAAGCACTGGGAATTAATGGTCCATAGAGTTGACAAGGAAAAGTTATAGGCATGCTGACACAAATACTAGGGGTGCAATATTCTATCTGAAAGCATACAACATAGAATTCTAGTACAAAAATGTAAAACAGAAGAAATAGTAATTTAATATCCAAATCTTTACCTCTTACAAACATTAAAACGGCTTACTCTTTAGGTTTTCCGTTAGTGCAACACTGACATCTACTGGAAAAAAATGAAATCAACACGTAGAAATAACATTCTCTCAATGATCACTTTATTAGGCACGTATTTCTAATAATGGGCATGGACTTCAAGAAACATGCTTTAGAGATTCTGGCCCATGTTGACATTATAGCATAACCCATTACATTTGTTGACTGCACATCACATAATGAATTATTAATCTCTCATTCCACTACATGCATTGGAGTGCTCAACCTATTGTCTTTCTTATAGAACCAATCTGCGAAATGTATATGTTGTGACCTGATGTGTTGTCCTTTTGGATGTAGCTATTTAGAATATGCAGAGACTGTTGCCATAAAGTGATGTGCATGGTAAACTATGATACTCAGACAGGCAGTAAAACTAAAAGAATGCTTGTTTGGTATTTGGTGCCTGAAGTGTGCCAAGAAAACATTACCATTACATCACCACAAGAATGAGTCTTTACATCGTGATTTAAAGTCCTACTGTCTAGTGATTTAAATTGTGCCTTATTTTGATTTGATTCAAATCAAAATATACCCTGCCTCATCCCTCCAATTCTACTTCCTCTAACAAATACTTATTTTTGGAGTATAATATTTGTGAGGTCAGGCATTGATGTTGGACGTAAAGACCTGGCTCGCAATCTCTGTTAGAAAATGTCTGTTAGACAGCCACTGAGGGCAGACTCAGAGATGCTATGTAAACATTGCAGTTTCTATGCACTAAGTACAATAGGGACAGTGCACCCAGACCAGTTCGATTAGCTGAAGTGGTCTAGGTGCCTACAGTGTCCATGTAAGATTTTCCAACCCCATACCATTATCCCTCCTCCACCAAACTTTACAGTTGGCACAATGCAGTCAGGCAGGTAACGTTCTCCTGGCATCCATCAAACCCAGACTCACTCATCAGACTGCCAAACCGAGAAACCTGCTTTGTCACGATACAGAGGACTTTTTCAGTGCTCCAGAGTCCAGTGATGGCGCACTTGGTGACGTGAGGCTTGCATCCAGCAGTTTGGCCATGGAAACCCATTCCATGAGGCTTCTGCTGCACAGTTTTTGTGCTGATTTTATGCTTATGGAAGTTTGAAACTCTTTAGCTACGGAATCAAAAGAGTGTTGGCGACTTTTATGCTTCATGCGCCTCAGCACTCTGTGCCCCCTCGTTGTAACTTTACATGTTGAAGGATAAAATTTCATGAAATTACTTATTACAAAGGTGGCATCTTATCACAGTACCACGCTTGAATTAACTGAGCTCTTTAGAATGATCCTTTTTTTTCACAAGTGTTTGTAAATGCACACTACATGGCTAGGTATGTTTGGCCATGGATCAAATTAAAACACCTGAATTCAATAATTAACCCCTTCAGGTCGTCCTTGTCGTCCTGGGGACTTACCTTGTTGCTGGCGATCGTGATGGGGTCTTGCCTGACAGCCCAGGTAGTTCCCACGTGGCTGATCCGGCCCTCCTGGACCATGTGATCAAGAGGTTAAAGACATTGAGTCTAGGAGAAGGTTATCCAAATAGTGGTAAATCTATAGTAACTTCAGACGAAGATCTGCCACCAACGCCACCAAAACTTTTGTGAATGTACGAGGAGCTGTGCTTAAGCCAAAAGGCATTACCCTCAATTGGAAATGGTCTTCTGGAATTGCAAGAACCTTTGACGAGCTGGTGAGATTGGAATTTGAACGCATGCCTCCTTTAGGTCTATGGAAGAAAAACAGTCTCATTGATGCACAACAGCAATAATGGAAAGAGAGGGATTCCATACAAAACATTCGGAGATGAAGGAGGCCTTCCATCTCCTGATGGCTTAGGGATCAAAAAAATTGGTCAATATATTCCTCAAAATCTTTTGTGGACAGGTATCAAGGTCGGGTGATAACCCAACACGCAGTATGTAAACCCACAGAAAACCCAAGCACGTATTACCGAACCTTAGAATGGTCGGATTTAACGTAGGTAGAAAAGAGTGGTCAAGGAACAGCCAAAAGTCAGGACACCAGAGATCAGGAGAATGATACAAGAATAGCCGGGTCAGGATTTCAGAAAGGAGAAAGTCAAAATACAAGCAGAGTCAGGGAACCAGAGAACAGAGAAGTCTAAATCCAAGTCGTGTCAAAACCCAGAAATATCTATATAAACACCAGGAGTACAAACTTGCAAAAGGGCAACAGAAGGAACCACAATAGGGCAAGGAACAAAGCAAAAGGTTCCCTTTTTTTAAGGGAGTCTTCTGCTTTAAGACCAGGCCCCCAAAACATTCTGGGCCGGTATTGATGATGTGGGACCGTGTCAATGACGTTATGATGTGGGCGCGTATGTGCCGCATCATCAAAAGAGGCGTGACTCCAGCATCCGATGTGGGACACGCTGAACATGTTGTGAGAGGAGCCGGCCTCGGATCCTGCACCACCTGGGTGTGATGGAGAAAGGTAAGAGATCGTGACAACAGGTACTCTTACAATGATCTTTGTGGCTAAAAGAGTGTTGATCTCTCTGCATGAGGTTATTCTCTTTGAACTCTTTTTTTGGTGTTTTTGAACTGACAAAGTTAATGTAAAGTAACAAAGTCTGTAGCCTTTTTGTAGAATAGACATAACCCACTTGTCTGTGTTTATATCTGCCCAGATCCTCCAGAACATGAGAATCTTTCTGGGTCTAGGCAAAGGAACCTTCAGAAAGATTTACCTTGTCCCTTAAAGGGCCCAGAAGGCTTCCTCCTCTGGGTGACTGAACCCCTTTCCAATTAGTAGATCTGTTAACTTCTCTCCCAAGCCTGTAAAATCTATAGTCCCAAAAGGAACCTCTCTCCCGAAAAGAACTCCTGTTATTCCAGGCTTGAGGATAACTATAATCTCTCCTATCTTGTGACTAAAAAGCTTTTTTTTTTTCCCTATGAAGACTTTTTAATGGCATCATCAAGGGCCTTTTTGAAGGGAAGATTTCCCTGAAAAGTGACAGGCTGCACCTGCAGCTACATACTTTTTTGACAACTCTACTGTCCATCGGGTCAATAGTATTGTCAATAGGAGGGCAGTTTTTGTGCCTAATCTCACAATGGAAGTGCCAACCTTTGCGGCTGAATCCCAATTAAAGGAGTCTTCTTCCCCAAAGGGATATAACTTAGCTTGCCTTGAATAGATACTTTTGTCTCTGACTTTTTCCATTCTGTATGGAAAAGGTCTCTCAAAGCATCAAGTACAGGAACAGTTTGTTTCTTTCTCTTAAAGGAACACTATAGTCACCTAAATTACTTTAGCTAAATAAAGCAGTTTTAGTGTATAGATCATTCCCCTGCAATTTCACTGCTCAATTCACTGTCATTTAGGAGTTAAATCACTTTGTTTCTGTTTATGCAGCCCTAGCCACACCTAACCCTGGTGTGGTGTTTGGGGTACATTGTGTGGGTGTTTGGGTTGCAGTGTGGTGTTTGGGATGCATGTGTGTGAGGAGTAGTGTGTGGTGCTTGGGGTGCAGTGTGGTGTTTGGGAAATGTGGGGTAAAAATAAAACAAATATATATGTGTTTTTTTAAATTATTATTAGTTTATGTCCCCCCTCCCTTCTTACCTTTGCCTGGGAGGGGGCCCTTGCTGCCAGCCCTGGTGGTCCAGTGGGGAGTGATCTCCATCCTCTAGTTCCTGGGGTAGAATTCACTCTCACGAAATCAGAGCATTGACATGCTAACTGCGGCAACACTTAGACCTCGCGAGAGGAACCCAGCTGAGCTGTAGGTTAGAGCTCCCCCCGGGTCCCCTCTCCCTCCCCGCAGGTGGCCTTATTTCAATACCTTTCGGCCAGTGGGGAGATAAATTAGGCCCATGAAGGCACACAGCAGGGCTGGCGCTTGCATAGCACTGGCTCTGCATGGGCCGGCAGGGGAGATACACTGATCTCCCCTGCCGGCCTCAGCGCATGTCCATCGCAGCCCACCGGGCATTTGCCCGGTATGACTGATGGCCAGTTTGGGCCAGTCCCAAAGTGTGCGCTGGTGCTTAATTAGTGAATGTACTTGTGGCGTGACAGCCGCTGTTCGTGGGTTTTGCCCTTCTTTATTATGTGTGCTGCTTATATATTCGTGTGCCTGTTCGGGAGTGCTTCCACGAAGGGAATCCATTCGCCTCCTGTACGGGGACCACCCCAATGAATCACTTAGAATGTCGATTAGAATGTTCACACTTGCAACAAGGTGTCAAACCGCAAGAGAAGCCATCGGCGCGTGCCGCCCCTTGATGGCCGCCATTTCGTATAGACGAACGCCAACCAGGGGGAGCATTCGCAGATTGTGTCTCATCTCGTTTGGTTCCCGAATGAGGACCTCCCCTGTACCCATTGGAATGTTCATGCCAATCAATTAGAACGTTAACAACTGGCAACATAAGTGTGAAACCGCAAGGGAAGTAATTAATGAGTGCTTCCCTGGGTGGTCATATAAACGAACACCACCAGGGGGAGCATTCGAAACCCGAAAGGAGACGCTTCCCTTGCTGGGTTTCACACAGGGACCCCGCGAACGGAGACTGTTCGAGGCAGGTACTGTTATGGGGGCCCTTGGGGTTGGTGTTGGCATCCTCTGGGGACAATAGCTGGTTTGGCGGACTTTCTGTAAATGGGAGTCAAGGAGACGGGAAGCTTTCCTGCGTTGTGACTCCCAGGTACAGAGGGTCCTGGGAAGAAGTCCCCTTGTCACTGGAAGTGGCAGACCCTACATTTGGGTGGCAGGAAGAGGGAATAAAGGGGATCCTGGGAAGAAGACCCTCTGTCACCAGAAGTGGGAAGCCTCGTGGTTGGGTGGCTGGAACAGGGGACAAAGAGAATCGAGTTGCGTTTCCGCAATATGACCCCAGTGTCTCAGTGTCTTCCCAAGGTGGCTGTATTCAGTTAACCAACAAGATGGCTGCTGCTTCCTGATTACCAGTACATCGTCATTCCAGCATGCACTGGAAAAGGGGGAGGGGCATAATGCCACCTGGGAAAACTCTGAGACAGTGAGTCTGCCTAAACATCACACACACTTATTCAACTGTTATAGTGGTTATGGTCGTTGGCTGTAGTCAAACTGTTGTAGTATGGTTTGACAACTTACCTGGGTCCCCAGGCTTTCACTATGCATCCAGTATTCTCTGGAGAGTTACTCCTGGCAAGTGCAGGATGGCGCTTATTGGCTGAGAGTGCTCAGCTGATGCTTTCAGTCAGTGTGTGTGGTTCTGCTTAACTCTGTAGAGGTAACTAGAGTCTTCTAACGGAGAAGACCAGCTGCAGGGGCTGCAACCACAGGCACCCAGCTGTATCCAGGAAAGCTGTCAAACCTTACTTAAATGGTTTCACTACTTATTATGGCATGATCACAGGGCACAGAGTGCTGTAGTATCTGTGGAGTTTGGAGTGTTCCTTTAACCCCTTAAGGACACATGATATGTGTGACATGTCATGATTCCCTCTTATTCCAGAAGTTTGGTCCTTAAGGGGTTAAATTGGGTAATAAGAGCCTCCTGACCCCACATCTTGTAAACTAGCAACAAGCTAAATGTATATTTCCTGGTTAGATAACTAAACAAATGTGTATATAATGTAATCATTAGAAATAGCTCAAGTGTGCAGTAGACAATTCAAATAATAATATACAAAGTTTTTGTGTGTAGTTGTGAGCTTTTTCCAGTATTTTCATTAAATTAGGTATGCATAGAAAAGACAAATGGATTACAATTTTTAGGTCAAAAAATTAATTAGGAAACCAAGTCTCCAAGCTATTTTTGGTTTGTTTGTTTTTTAGGCTATTTTGGCCTGAATTATGCAATCATTTTATGAACTAAGTTTAGAGAATAATTTTGTAAGTGTGGTATTTTTTTGTTCTATGGTTCTAAAAGTATAGACTAGAAACCAAAGTATAAAAGGGTTAATCAATGAGGTGAAGGAATCCTGTTGTTGAATTATCCCCACCCTCCACACACAGGGGGTCTTGCTAGGACAGATGTCCCTAAAGCTCCAGGGCAGTCACACATTTTAACAGCATAACCAGGCATTCAAAGGATTTAAACCGGACAACAGGATATAAACAGTACAACAGTACATACAAGGTATGTAATGTTACTCTTAAACTCACGTTTGTTTTCTATTTTATTTTGGGGTGCAATTTACAGAGAAAACAAGCCTAGTTCACTTTTGTAATCTGTTTCAGGCAGTTTGTACAATCTCAAAAATCTGAATCTTTTCTTGGACACTTTCTTCTGGTTTCTAAATGCCGGGGATGGGGCATGGTGTTGCTGTAATAAGAGTTAAGAAGGCATACTGCCTGAGTCTCTTTTCAGTGAATTATTGCAATAGGGAACATAACTTGTTAAAGTGTTGTAGATCTAGTTTTTATTTTATTTTAAAAGCGGTTATACTAGCAAACTAAACAACCCCTGGTCATACCACATGTACATTTACTGCGGTTATTGGTATATATTTATTAAACTATAGGGTTCAATAGACAGTTACCTGGTTATGTAATTTTAACAATAGATTAACAAGTTCCGTGCAAAATACTGGTGAAACTGGCAATATTTAAAAAAACAACACATCGGCTATTCTCTCAGCTCAGTTATTTGTGTCCAAATTTGCATTTCCATTGTCAGCTTTTTGGGATTTGTAAATATGAATTGCCAAAAGAGTGAGGGTATTGGATGATTGAACTGGAACCACACACCGGGTTATAGTGAACTGACGGAATTCAAAGTGAATTTCCAAGGGCAAATGTCACTATCCAGGATTTTTAATATGTTTACTTATTCCTATATTTAACATGTGTTTGTGGGATGTGAAAAATAAAACCAGCAAATGAGCAACTCCATTTTAGTTCCTTGTTTATGGAGTTGCTCACTTGTATATATTCGTAACAAGTAGTCCTTGTATTTAACAGTAAACAGATAAATCATATAGAGAAGAGGAAGAGAGAAGCAGTTTCTCGATCTTCTCTTCATTTGCAGTGCCCCCCTGGCTTTGCCTAATCTGATCTAAATTATGCTATTTACTATATCTTTAATATATGTTTAAACTGATCATCCTATAAAAAAGGTTAAGTTGTAGCTAAACCTAGCTAAACTGGGGTATTTTCTAATTTGGCCTGAAATTTGAAATTCACTTTGAATTCTTGACACTTCACACTTTTAAGTAATAACCCTGACAATCTTAAAATAGTAGTCTTGTTTTGAATCTCAGGAACAAGACCAGCCCTGTAATGCATAATATGTAGGATTGTGTTACCCCTCCCTAATCTTGCCCCTGTTCCCACAAACTTTCCCCTGACAGACAAGCTTATCCAGTGCTGACACCCCTTAGTGGGTGTGATTCCACTTATCAAATCCAAAGATCAACAAAAATGTGCTTGTTCCACCCCTCTCCCACTCATTTCCCCGTGAACTGTCCATTACCTTGTTACTTAAAATTGTGCCATGCTTCTACAGAATGTGTTTGCAGTATACAAGGATAATGAGCTAGAATTGTGACAGAAATAAATGTTTTGCTTGTCAGCAATGCACAATTCACAATGCTTTCCTATGGACGCTGGCGTCTTCTCACTGTGATTTTCAATGAGACCGCCACTAGAGGCTGGGTTAACCCTATTATAAACATAGCAATTTCTCTGAAACTGCTATGTTTATAGACAAAAAGGGTTAAACCTAGCTGGACCTGGCACCCAGACCACTTCATTAAGCTGAAGTGGTCTGGGTGCCTATAGTGGTCCTTTAAGTGGATCCAAATGAAGCAGTAAAGGGTTTTCTTTTATTATGTAAAGGTTTTGAAACATGCTTAAATATATGGAAGCTATAGGTTGTGGAATGTTTAGGAAGGGGTGGGGAAAAAGAGATCTTTCAATCACCCAGGTAACTGCCTGTCTAAATAAATAGCAGCCATCTGCTGATAAGGAGGTAGGGATTTGTCCCACACTAAAATTCCACCCTCCCTTTATTTACTGGTGACTGACAAATATTTTAGACCCTTGCCGTAAACCTTTTTAAGGGAAAAGTGTTGCTGAACTGAACATTTTTCAACAATAAACCCATCTTCTGACTAATCTGATCACTCTTACAATCCATAAACTGCAGGAGTATCTAATTCTAGTCACAATATTTATGTGTTAAAAAATGTCTCAAGCAGTGGTGTACATTTAGTTTTGTATGTTATTTAAAATCTTTTTGACTATTCTTTGGAATGAAGCACATTGTTTTGCTGATTACAAAAAAGTGCTTGATTCCAATGAATATAAAAGACAAATAGGTAATGTAAAATGGATATTGATGGATGTGCAGGACTTTGTACTGTGAGTCAGGAGGGTTGTACTGCAACCCTTTTGGTAATGTTTTTGTGCAACAGGTTTAAAATCTGCTTCAGATTAACAAACCATATATACTGAGTTTTATGTGTGTGTGTGTGTATATATGTGTGTGTGTGTGTGTGTGTGTGTGTGTGTGTGTGTGTGTATATATATATATATATATATATTTTTTTTTTTTTTTTTTATCAATTATTTAAATAAGCACTGTCACTCCTAATTAAAGGGGCACTATAGTCACCAGAACAACTACAGTTTAATGTAGTTGTTCTGGTGAGTATAGCCTGTTTCTGCAGCCTTTTTGCTGTAATCTCTGCCTTTTCTCTGAATGCTCCCTAGGGACACCTCCAGTTACACTCCTTAGATGACCACTAGAGGTGCTTCCTGTGGCAGTGCTGCACAGTGTGCAGCATTGACGTTTAGTGTCTCCACCCTCTGCATGGAGACCTGAACTTTCCCCATAGTGATACATTGATTCAGTGCATCACTATGAGGAGATGCTGATTGGCCAAGTCGGAAAAGCACTGGATTGGTTGAGATCATCATTCAAGGAGGCGGATCGGGGACGAGGGCATGACATAAGGTAAGTTTTCTTACCTTTTTGAAGGGTGGGACAAGCCACCAAAATGGTGGTTTTAACACTGTAGGGTCAGGAATGCATGTTTGTGTTCCTGACCTTTATATTGTTTCTTTAAAGCTTATTGAAGTGGTCTGGGTGCAGTGTCCCAGGTCCCTTAACCCTGCAGTCGAAATTATTGCAATATTTAATAAACTGCAATTATTACCTGTCAGGGTTAAAGGGACACTGTAGGCACCCAGACCACTTCACCTCATTGAAGTGGTCTGGGTGCAAACTCCCATCAACCTTAACTTTGAACATGTAATTATTGCAGTTTTTATAAAGTGCAATAATTAACTGCTAGGGTTAACTCCTGCTCTTCTGGCTGTCTACCAGACACTCACTAGAGGGACTTCCGGGCTTGAAGGCGACTTTTGGTCACCTAAATAATGCTGGACATCCTCACGCTGTGCATGAGGACTTCCAGCATCACCCGAATCCCCATAGGAAAGCATTGATTAATGCTTTCATATGGGGAAATCCTAAGGCAAGCGCAGCCATTAACACGCATGCACATTAGGTCTCCCACACCATCAGCAGGGACATCGGCGCTGGTCTCAGGTCAGTGACAGTAGGGGTTATTAACCCCTTCTGCGCCACGTACGGGAGGTGGGGGGAGGGAGTTTGACAGAGGGGGAAGCTATAGTGCCAGGAAAAAAAGTTTGTTTTCCTGGCACTATAGTTTCCCTTTAACTTCACCTCTAGTGGCTGTCTACCAGACAGCCACTAGAGGGAAATCCAGGTCACTAGGCAACTTCTGGGGGAAGTCCTAAGGTGAGCGCGGCAACTGCAATACTGTCTGATGGGTAGCTAGAGCAAGGAGTGCCTGTGTAGAAACAGGCTGGCTGTGCATGCTGGCAATTGTATTTCATACATATTTGCAGCACCAAGGTTGCTAACCATGAAAGATGGGTTACTGTGAGTTCTGATCTCAGTTATGGTACAAGCCTCATTTATAGAGAACTGAGAAGTGGCTGTTCAATGAAAGTTAATAAGATTGCATTTTTTTTTTCAAACTAGCTTGAATATAAACTTGAAGCATTCCATTCAGCCCATTGTTAGCGTTTATACAAAGCATACAATTTATGACAAGAGTTTTGCAGATTTTTTTCCTAGTTTGTGGCAAAATTGGAAGCGCTTCAGACCAGGTTTTTTGCCTTCTTTTGGATCAACAGCAACAACATTTGTGAGGAAGGCTGAACTGGATGGACGCAAGTCTCTTTTCAGCTATGTAACTATGTATACTGTTTTTTGTTTCCTGTATAAACTTTGTATGAAAAAAAGCATAATAAATGCTTGTATTGTACAATGTGTTATATGGTATATAGTGGAGAGAATAAAACAAAGAAAGGTGTGTGTGTGTGTGTGTCAATGTATATGTGTGTGTCATTGTATGTGTATCTGTTTCCCCAGCGCCCCCACCTCCACCACGATATGGCCCTGGTGATACTCCAACTGTTCCAAGCTTCAACTTTAAAAATTCTAGTAAGCCTATTTAAATGAATGCTCCATACGCATAATGCATGTCATATTTGTGACATTTTATAAAAGTTGAAATTTCAATAGAAATTGTCACTTTTATACCCGGGGCAGAAACACCTCACTAGCTGTCACTCTGACACTATCAGTCACTCAAAAAGAAAGAAAGGTTTTCGTCTTCTGATTTCATTAGCTCCACAGAGCTAGCTTACATGGCAGGCACGCTAAGCCTCTGATTGGAGTATTATTCCCTGGCAAAGACTGAGATTGTATAGGGGAGGGCTGCAAACAGCGCATTTGCAGCTTCTACAAGCAGTTTTTTGTTTTTTTTCATATCCCATCAAGAAAACATGCAGAAAATAAATAAATACTTAACCCTATGTACCCCCAATTCATAACTTTCAACATGCATACCCCATATCCATACTCTTAAACCCCCTACCCATATTCCCATTACATTACAATACCCTCTGTATTACCTGTCAATACCCATTAGAACGCCAACACTACATACAAAAACACCACTGCATTCCAAAAGCAATAGTAGATACAAATACACTGCTACATGCACACACATACTCTATACAAAAACAAGCTTACATTTAAACACACACATAGTCCATACAAAAACATGCTTACATTCAAACACACAAACACTGCTCACAAATACAACCCCGCAAGGTTGGACAAATAGTACATTTCCAGCTGTCATATCATTGTGGGAGATGTACAACAGTTAAGGATCTACCTTTTGGCCATCCTTGTGTTAGAAGGGGGCCCCAAAAAATGTATTGCACCAGGGCACTCTCTACATTAGTTCCACAACTGTGTTGAGACACGATTCATTGTGAAATGTCATACTAATGCTTAATAAAAAGGATTTTTTTTTTTTTTTTTACAAAAAATGTTTGTTTGTTTTTTCTCTGTTTAATATTCAGATGAATGGCTATTATCCATTCACTAAAGCATGAGCTATTAATTGATGAGACATCCAACACTTATCAACCTACTCCTTGAATGTAATGAATTGTGCTGATGATCTGCCACAGGAGCAGTCAGCAGTCAAAAGTAAATTTTAATAGAAATTGTCACTTTGGAGGGAAGTGGATTTCTAATAACTTTCTAAGCATTATATATTAATTGTGATTTTTAATTTTTTGGTCCTAAATGCTGCCTTTTAGATCATTCTTGTGAATAATATAGTAATAATATAATAGTGAATCTATAAATGTTTAATTATACATAATATTTACAACTCTGTCAAAACTATTTATTTTATCCATACCAGTCCCATGCAGCCTTATTAAAATAAAAACACCTTTACTAAAGCTTAGTATTTTATGATTACAGCCAAAAGACACATTGTTTACAGACACTGATTTCAGTTCAGTAAGGTATTACATTGCCACCCATCTGAAAAAATACAGATAAGTGTGCTTGCTGGATGTGGAGATATGTGTTCAGCTGAGCAATTACAGAGGGCGAAAATTGTCCTTTTCACATCTTGCTAAAAGAAGCAACCCCCAACAACAGCTGTTAGGCTCAATGTGTCAATGTATTCCTTTAATTGAATCCAAACATACGCTACAACTTTGCCCATCCCATGTTAAGGGTTACTTCAAGCATCAGAACCGCTACAGCCTGCTGTAGTGGTTATAATCCCAGGATACCTTGTCTTGGTTCACCAGTAATGTGGCAAACCTTTTAGTTTGTCCTCTTACCTTCGTACCCACCGAGTACTCTGAAGCTTCTTGTGGCTCCAGTGACATGCTTCCTCCTTCTTCAGAGCTGCAGCATCAGCTACAATGAATGGCCCACTGTGCAAAAAACATTTTTGAAAAGAATTGACATTAGCCAACACGAAATGCTAGGCACCGTGACTACTTCAAATCACTGAAGTGGTCATGGTGCTTGGAGTAACCTTTTAAATTGTAAATTGTGCCAGCCTATGTCAGTTGCCAGAATCTATTGCAAACTGACAATATGCTAGCATTTTACCGTACAAAGTCAGTAAACTACATATCCTTGATTTTTCTAAAGCTGCAATTGTGGGAATAATAGAAATATATTTTTTTCCTTTGAAATAGATTTATATTTTTTTCTAGAATATTGCAGTGCAGTTGGTTTTTCCTGAGTATTTTAAACTACAGTATGCAATTCCCTTGTCAGTTACGCTGCATTCATACATTAGTAAATGACCCCCTGTGGATATTTAACATTCTCATTTAAAGCACTATCTATTGTCCAGTGGGAAGTCATTGAGACTCAAGAAGATTGAGCACCTTGGCTATAAACATATACTGTTTAGCAAGGCAGTGATTCACTTATCAATGTGTTCCATTGTACATGAGTTTGCCTATGAAAATGTGAATTAGCAAGGATTGTCCTACCCACTTCCTCCTCCTCCCTCCCTCTTCTCAGGTATAGACAGGTAACTGGCTTCTTCTCATTCCTCACTGTGCTCCCTGCATATTTACCTGCATAGCTCCTGCATCTGGCTCGCTAACCACATTTCATCCATACAGGTAGAGATCAGATGGAAGCATGGACAGGCACTATATATACACATTCAGTAGAAAAGTCATGCATCTTTCATTGTGCTAGAGAGAAAGTTAGACTCTTCACTGTTGGCAAGAAAGATGCCCTGTGATATTCATTTTATAGTTAATGTTCTCCTAGTCTAGACGGCAACAAAGTTTTTAGCTGTAGACCTTTATAAAGGCTATTTCACTGAAATGTTGGGGCAATTTTCTTGATTATTTCTCTCTTCTCGCCACTGCTTTTGTCTTTTATTTTTTTGCGGTATGTATTTTGATGTTGGTTACGATTTCTTTAATGTATCATTGTGAGCCTAATACTATATATATTATTGTTGTTTCTGTTTTTGCCTGCATAAATACATGTGATTTTTATGTATATATTGTTTGCTGGCTGCACAGATTGTTATTTTGATATCATTGCCATTGCATTTAGTACTGTTTAGACAGATCTTGTACATTTGATCTGGAAAATAAAGTTTATTTGCTCTTAATGGTAGTGCTCCTGATTGTATGTTTTGGTGAATTGGGAAATAGGACCATTGAGTGAGCACTCTGTTAATGTATTTGTTTGTGTGTGTATATGTATATATGTGTGTGTGTGTATGTGTGTGTATATATGTGTGTGTGTGTGTGTGTATATATATATATATATATATAATTATATTTAGATTTAATCTATTAAGTGTGCTTACCTTTCTAAATAAGATTGAACAAAAAATCAAGCAGCAAGAAAGGAAATGAGTTATAATTACACAAAAGGTGAGGTGCATTCCAGTCTAAGTGAATAATATTTGCTAGGTCTATCGAAAGTCTGTAATCTTTGTATGACAGGGGAGAAACTGGGTTTCTCAAGACAGTAAGGCGATGAAGCTAAACTGTGAGCTATACATCAGGGATTAGATTTTTATATTTCAAGTCTTTTTTTTGTGTAATTTGTTCATCATTTTAGTCCCTGTTGATGCTTTTTTTGCATTGTTGGCAACTTGAAATAAAAACTGACCACAGAACCCTACATGAATTCTTGAAATGGCCAATAGAAAGATGCTAATTTTCATATAAAAGCTCATTACCAGTTTGTTAGGTCTTATAAAATTAGCTTGATTAAATCACTTATACTTAAGTAATGATGTAAAAGTTGGCATTTTAGCAAATAAGTAATGGTACTGCATTTATTTTGAGACTCGGCACCGCACATAGTGTGTAGGGCATATTTATATATTTTAGTATTCTTAGTAAACCACACAATTCATCACACAGGTTTTACACTATGCCTTGTATTCCTAACCATCCTATTTAAAAAAAAAAAATAAAAAAATAAAAAAATAATAGATTTCAAACTCAAAATTGTAGTATACATATTTTTTATTTTGTCATTTTTAAGGAAAATCTGCTCACCATACAGTATTGAATCCTTTTCGTGTACTTTGAGCAACCTTCAAAAAACTTCAGATCTGAAATGCCTGTAAATATCTATTTCTTACATTCAAATGTTTTTGTTTTCTTTAACTGCTGCTAATGTTTAAATATTTGTTTTGATGTATTTAATAAATAACTGCAGATATATTGCACTGTGCACCGCACAGATAGATCTGTATGTATACATCCTGATAAAACTCTCTGTTTTACACTCTATTTACAAAATGTGTAAAACTTCAGTCACGGTGACAGTACATCTTTTCACTGTATACATGTCCTTATGTAGTGGATTTTAAAAGATTGACCAATTAGTGGTGTAAGGGAACTTAGGAACTTCTTTAATTTTTGTAATATGTGTTATAATTATATTGACACACACCTTTTTCTTTTGTTACTTGGTAGGACAAATATTACCAAACTGATGGTACCTAATGTTACACAAAACTTAAAAACCTCACAACATTTCAACATTTCTGATAACCACATGATATGTGTGCTTTATGAGATGGGGAGAGTCATACAGGATCTGTCTCAGACTGGCTATACTGAGTTACCGGTACAAGTGGGGAGCTAGACATGTGAGGGGCAAAGGTTATCACTTTAAAAGTGCAATAATTGTATCCATCAATGAATTACATTTTTTGTTTCTCTTTAGGGCTAATCAGAAATATTTGACTCTGGGGACTATGGGAAAGAAAGAGGAAGCAAACGACTGTTCAGATCATTATATTATCCAACCAAGTAAGTGGAAGGACAGTCAATTGATACAATTAAAGGCTTTTTAAATAAACCTAACCTTTTCTTAGGGCTTCCTGCTCTAAGAGCCTGTAAATATAATCAGAAGGCCAAAAAAGAAAGATTTGTTTAGTGTAATCTTATAAATGTTATGTGGTATCAGATCAGTAATAAAACACAGGAATTTTGAAATAAGGTAACAGCGGGAGTCTTGATAGAATAATCTATTTTATAGCTTGTCACAAACATACAATCTAAACCATTTTTGTAGAAAACACTTCACAAATTAATCACAAGCTCAGGCAAGGGTCTTTGGCAGTGACATGAGAGAAAACACAGTGCATGCATAATTAGAGTGGTGCAAGTAAATCAGCTGAGAAAATACAAATTTATAATAAAGTAGCTGACTGCATTCCAGGAAGGATGATAAAGTGGAGCACTGCTGATGGAATTCAAGACTGTTTGGGGCATGAATAAGGTTACCCCACAGAACAAAAAAGCACACTTATATCATAATTGATATATTAAATGAACTAATTATTTCAATCACAATCTATGTTTTTGTGTGATTATAGCTGTATTAGTCCAGTGATGCTAGTTACATAGCTGAAAAGATACTTGCGTACATCAAGTTCAGCCTTCCTCACATATGTTTTTGTGTTTTTGCTGTTGATCCAAAAGAAGGCAAAAAACTTAGTCTGAAGCGCTTCCAATTGTGCAACAAACTAGGAAAAAAATCCTCCTTGACCCCAAAATAGCAATTAGATGTCTCCTTGGATCAAGCAGCTATTACCCCACTAATTAGAAATTATATCCCTGTATGTTATGCTTTTGCAAGTATTTATCCAATTACAGTTCTAGAATAAGAGATGAAATTTGTATCTTGTAATATATTTTCGGGGGTGAGGGGTCTAATATCATTTTGGAATGACAAACTTTTAGGAGATCCTCCCTTTTTTTAAAGCTGAAGTATTTCTGTGTTCTGTAAGCCTCCAACATCTTTATGATCACTTGGATTGTATCATTGCCTTCCATGAGCTTTTTATTTTCCTTACCTCCTCACTGTTCATCATTACTCTTTTAGCCACCTCTCTAACTGGATTATTTTCCCAACACTGCAGCACAATTTTTGTGCTTTTATTTTCCCAATGATCACAACTACTTCTCCCTCCCCCAACCCATTAACATCTCTGAATATTTTGCCTCAAGGCCTATTCAGCAGCAGCCTGAAAAAACACATCATCCTGATCTCAGATTATCAGCTGAGCTATGCAGTTCTTGCACTGGAGTCAGCATGTGTGACCTTTCACACTGCACTTTCTCCTGTTTGAATAGGAGTTGGAGATTGTAAATCTCTCATTGTGGGTGCACACTAGGAGCTGTGGGATGCCTACATGTCTACTGGAGGCAGTGCGGCTGTTCATGCCGTTGCTCCTGACCTCCATGTTTGTAATTTTACTGAAATAATAAGCAGACAAAAATGTATTGTTGATAGCACTATACATTGTTTGTTTTATTCTCTGTAAAGTGACAAGTCATTACATATGCACTTCAACTCTCAAAACTTTCCATAGTATCAAGCACATTTAAGCTGCTTTCGATGGGAATGTCTTATTCTTTGTATTATTAATAATAATAATAATAATAATAATAATAATAATAATAATATTATTTTATTTTATAAAATATTTTACCAGGATGGATAGATTGAGATTTCTCTCGTTTTCAAGTATGTCCTGGGTCCACAAAACATTGCATTGTTACAATAGCCTACAATATTACAAAAATACTATAATATTAATATATATATATATATATATATATATATATATATATATATATAATATTTTTAACCATGACAGGTGCATTCTCTGAGCTATATTGCCATAGATCTCTTAAAAGATTTTGGATTGAATGAAGATTTGACTGTGTCCCTGAGGTTATTCCATAATTGCGGTGCTCTGTAGGAAAAGGAGGATCGAGCCACTTTATTTTTGTATTGCAGTATGCTAAATATCATGCTAGTACTGGATCGGAGGTTATAGGAGGTGGAGCATTCTACTCAGGTATGGTGGGAACTTCCCAGAAATGCTCTTATGCACAAGGCTCGAAAGATAGGGAATGGGTCAGGATTTCAGCGACAGCCAGTTTAGCTCTTTTAACATGTCACAGTGGTGGGTAAAGTAATAACATTCTTGTACAAAGTGGCAGAATGAATTATATAACGTATTAAGGTGGGTTTGCGGTGCGGGTGCATACACTACACTCCCATAATCAATGACCGGCATTAGCATTTGTAGCACTATCTGTTTCCTTATTGTAGGGCTTAGGCAGGATTTGTTTCTTTCAATGTGAAGGCCAAATGATAGATTGGGGTCTAGCAACATACCTAGATATTTAAAAGAGCAGACTGCTGTCAGTATGCTATTTGAATTTGTTCTGATACACAATTGTTGATTTTGTAGTTTACGTAATTTAAGTACAGGTCCAAAGATCATTGTTATGGTTTTGTCAGTGTTTAGGTAGAGTTTATCCGCTATCCACTTTTCTACCTCTGTGAATTGTTTTTGGAGCACAGCCTCAAGCTGCGGTAGCTTGAGTTTATGAGCGTAATTTACAGTGTCGTCTGCATACATGGGTATAGTTGAGGATTTGCAGATCATTTATAAATAATGTGAATAGTAGGGCGCCGAGTATGGAGCCTTGGGGAACACTACACGTGACTGGAAGAGGTAGGGCAGCGCTATCAGAAATGGCTACATATTGCATTCGGTCTCAAACATACGATCAAAACCAGGTTAGCGGACGATCACCAATGCCTGTGTTTTTAAGTTTTTGCAAAAGAATACCATGGTTTACTGTGTCAAAGGCCTTGGCAAAATCAAGAAAAATAGCTCAAGTTAAGCCTTCTTGTTCCATGCCAATTTGGATGTCATTGCAAACCTTTAAGAGGGCAGTCAGAGTTGAGTGATTTGGACTACAATATTGCAGTGTGCTAAGGTGCATGGGCAGTAAACATCAGTGACATCAATGAAGGAGTTTTCATTCTTTTTCGCCATACATGATACATCTAAATTGTGCATGTGGCACACACAAAGTGGACAGACATTTCTCTCTTCCTTTCTCTGGCTGTAGAAAGAGTCTAAGCCATGGTGAGCGTGCAGTCATTGACTCAGGAGATTGATGCATACAACTTAGTTCACAAAACTGTGAAATGTGTTGTGAAAAGGCGGATAGCTGCTTATTAAGAATCGCTACACAGTCAATGTAATGATAGTAATTGGGACTTTGGGCTAATCTGTTTCTCACATACAGCTGCTGAACAGGGGTTTATGGGACAGAAAAAAAAACAAAATGACAAGCTCCTGTTTGGTGGAGCCTCTTTGCTTGTCTTTCACAGGTCTTTAAGCTGTAACTTTGATGGTATATATTTATGTAATCATATTATTTAATGCATTGGCTGTGTATTGCATTAAAAATGTGATCAATTCCCAAATATTGTGTCCCTATAAAGTATTCTTTCTCTCAGTTAGTAGAAAGACCACATAGGAACAGAGCTAACAGTGAGGAGACCAGAGGCATATCTACTGAAGATAGCGCCTATGGCAAGCACTGAAATTGTGCCCCTCAAGGCCCCTGTCAAAACATCTTACACGCATCTTTGACATAACTTTGCCATAAAATCAGCTAAAAAAATTCAAGCTGTATGTAATGTGTGCATGGTATGTGTTGGCTGTATATAATGTGTGTGTGGTAGTGCATGTTGCCCCCTCCTGCTTTCTGTAAGGAAGGGGGGCCATGATCCCTGGTGGTTCAATGGAGGGGTCATACTCCCTTGTCATCCAGCAGGAGTTAGCTTTGCGGGGTTGTCCAAGAGTCCCTCATGGTCCAGTAAGGGAGCACCACTGGCAGATGCAGACCTCCGTAATCACTCCTTCACAGTTCGGCACTCAGCGATTTAGAGTGCACACTGGAAACATTCGGCGGCTGCGGTCTGACTCACTAGAGAGCACCAGATCCCAAAGAAGCCATTACTGTAGTCTGTACCTGCCAGAGGTGCAAACCTCATGCTGCCAGCTCTGATCTCCCTCACCAAAGCAACCCTGCAACTTACCGGTATCAGGGCTAAAAACTGAAACTAATTACATACCTGGTCCACTGCTCAGTGGCACCAGAGCCATATTAGGGTTGCCCATGGCCGTAGGTAGGGTGCCAGAATTGGGTTCCTTCCTGGAGTCCTGGGCTCTGTGAGTGTTTGTGTGTGTGTGAGGGTGTGTATAGTGGCTGAGTGTTGTGTGTGGCGGAGGACAAGAGCTTACCACCTAAGCAAGATACATTCCCCGGTGGGCTCCCTGGTGGGCACCTAGAGCAGTTGTTGGCTTTCCATTCTGTCAGTCTGTGAAGACATCAGAGTGCAGGCTGGAAACGAGGGAGTGCGGCTTCACTCCCTTCAAGTGGCGCCTAGGGCATATGCTATTCTACCATACCTTGGAGGAGACAAAAAAAAAAAGTTAATTATGTTAACGTTGCTGCCCCTTTTTTTTTTTAATCAAAATGTCTTAAATATTTTAGAAAGTATATTGCAGTCATAGACTGTAAAAAAAAAAATATGTATTTCATGGAGCGGGCTGTAACTTGCAATCATACTTGAGTAATGTTCACAATGATTTACGGTTTTATGTTGTCGTTACATCTCGTTTTCTTTGCAATAAATGTGACTTGACAACTTTTTATAGCATCAAAGCAACACATTCAGTTAGTAAAATGAACATATTCTTTTCAAATAGTTTTTATTGAAAACATTTTTTTGTAAGATTACAACAATTTTATAAAAACATTGTAATAAGGGGAGGGGAGGGAAACTTGGATGAAGGAAGGGGGGATCCATCCAATGGAATGATTAATTTAGTAATATATATATAAGGCATACAATTCGAGTGACACATTGCTACAATAGGACAAATTGTTACAGACTATAGGCTTTTTTTTTTTTTTAATTTCGTCTTCCCACATATCCCAATCGTATTTTAATTGTGCAAAGAGGTGCGAGTTACTGCTATGTGATAGTTCGAGTGCTTTATTTTCTAGGATTAGGTTCAGTACTTCTCTGAGGGATGGCATATCTTTAGATTTCTAGTACCCAGTGCAAACAAGAGGTGGCAGCTATCAAAATGTGGCCTATTATTATTTTGTTAATTCTGATGACCGACTCAGGGAATTTCTTGAATAAAGCAAACTCACATGTGAAAGTACCAATGTATCTATCTACCTTAAACATTAGGTCATAAATCATTTTACAGTATTTGGTTATTCTTGGGCAATATCACCCAGGGCCGTTTGGAGGCCTCAAGCAAAATGAACATGGAGGCCCATCCAGCCCCTCCACCCTCCGCACGAACGCAAAGCCTACAGGAACCACCGCATAGCCATACAGTTTACGTTCACCCACACTTTATATAAATAAAAAATGTTTGCAGTGCAAATACTGCTGTTGCATATACTGTGCATAAATAAAAAATGTTTACAGTGCAAATACTGCTGTTGCATATAATGTGCACAATAACTAAATCCAACATACTTAAAACACACACTAACAGACACACACACACACTAACAGACACACACACTCCCTCACATTAACACACTCACGTTTTTTTTTTATTTAACCCCCCCCAGCCTCCTTACCTTTGGGAATACTGGGGGACCGGGGGGGTTTCTCCCTCTCCCTGGGGTCTAGTGGGGCTGCTGGGCGGTCGGTCAGTGGGCGGTGCTGGCGAGGGAGCACTTTCCCCTGAGTGCACTGCTCAACTCCCTCGCGGGCCGCAGAGTGATGCCAGGAGCTAGGCTAACAAGACATTTGCCCTGGGCATTTGGGGTGGCTTTTTTTTGCCGCCCCCTGGAAAGTGCCGCCCAAGGCAAATGCCTTTTTTGCCTCGCGGCTAATACGTCCCTGGTCATTGTCTTGGGGGCCTCAAGCAATTGCTTGGTTTGCTTGCCTTGTCGCAACGGGCCTGATACCACCATATGTGAGCCATATTTCCCAAACCGCCACAATCTCTCCAGCACCGGTCAGAATACATGTTGTTCATATTGTGAAGTCTGGACGGAGCTAAGTACCATCGATACAACATTTTAAAATGATTTTCAAAATGGTCAGAGCAAAAAGATGGTCCCTTTTAATGATTTACAAAAACTAAACCAATCCTCTAACTCATATTGGGTGCCCAGCTCCGTCTCCCAAGATAGCATGTGCTTAAGTTTAACAGTGAACATATTCTGTAGACTGATTGAATATGTTAAAGGACCGAGTTGACTTTTCCTGTTTGCAACGTCAGAGTACATGCTAATATTTTATTAGTATCAAGATTAGTTGATTTTGAAAGTACCCTTGTATGCTTGATTTTCAGAGAAAAGCACCTCTCAATACTTTTAATGACAAAACTGCATTAATATTAATGCTACAGTAGACCTGTGTAAACCATCAATATACAATCCATCCTCTTAAAATAAATATTACTCTCTGTTTTATTTCTATAAGGCATATTGCCTGTGCTTTCAGACAAATAAGGACTAAATTTGTGGAAACATTAAACCTACTCCTAGAGAAATTATTGAATTATATAGTTTTTTTTATAAAATAATGTGTGTGTATATATTTATATACTTTTCTATACAGTATATGTGTACCCTGGAACATGTCATTATTTCCCTGGTGGATTCAACATCTCATACAGAGAAAGCAATGAAAAATCCTTAATTTATACATAAAACCAAAGTATTTATGTTTTGAGAATACTGATTGATCATCATTAGTAAAAACTTGCAAAGGAAAAAAATAGGTTTACTTGCTAAACAGAAATGTTTTGTGAACTTAAATCAGTAGTCCAAAATTTAGACTGATTTGAATTCAATTTCTCTGCAATTCCAATATTTTACTGTAACATAAATTTGATGCACCTGCACTTTATTGTTATTTAAACACAACTTGCACAAAAAAATTCTTTACAACAATCATGGCCAGATTAACACAGGGGCTGATAGAGCTGCAGCTCCAGGCCCATGTCCATAGAATAGGCCCATTGATATAAAAAAAAATTCACCCACTACTCTTAGGCATAGGCGTGCGCACGGGGTGTGCCGGGTGTGCCTGGGCACACCCTAATCCCGCGGCACGCCTATGTATTGAGACCGGCAGGGGAGATCTCAGGATCTCCCCTGTCGGCTCATGCAGAGCCAGCGCTATCTTGCCGGCAGCTCCGCCGGGTTCCTCTTGCGAGATATGAGCGTTGCCATGGCAACGCTCAAATCTCGCGAGAGTGAACTCTAGCCCCACAGGGGTTAGAGTTCACTCTCCACTGGACCACCAGGGATCACAGCAGCAAGGATCCCCTCCTCCACTGGACCACCAGGGAAGGAAGCAGCAGCACGATCCCCCCTCCCTAAAAAAGGTAAGAAGGGAAGGGGGATAGCAAGTAATTTACCCCCACCTCCACCCCCACAATCACCCACCCACACACATACAGCACCCACAGACATATACAGCACCCACAGACATACACAGCACCCACAGACATACACAGCACCCACAGACATACACAGCACCCACAGACATACACAGCACCCACACACATACACCGTACCCACAGACATACACAGCACCCACAGACATACACAGCACCCACAGACATACACAGCACCCACAGACATCCACAGCACCCACAGACATCCACAGCACCCACAGACATCCACAGCACCCACAGACATCCACAGCACCCACACACATACACAGCACCCACACACATACACAGCACCCACACACACAGCACACAAACAGCACCCTCACACACACACAGCACACTAACAAACACACACAGCACACTAACAAACACACACACACAGCACACTACCAGTACCCTCACACACAAACAGCACCCTCACAAGCGCACACACAAACAGCACCCTCACACACAGTACATTAACAGCATGCTCACAAGCACGCACACACAAACACCCTCACCCACATATTACACTACCAGCATCGTCACACACACATCACACTAACAGCACCCTCACACAGCACACACACACACACACACACAGCAGTGTGTGTATGTGTGTATATATGTGTATGTATATACATACATATTTATATGCGGCTTGTGCTTTAGGGTGCACACCCTAATGCAATAGGCTGCGCACGCCTATGCTCTTAGGGTTGCCACCTGGCCGGTATTTATCTAAGGCAGCCTGACCGGTGCTGATATTGCAGTAATACCGGCAATACAAATTCCCGGTATTTTTCTTAGTATAAACAGAGGTTACTCTACAATACCAGCACCGGCCAGTAGGGGTCGATGTGTCTGTGGAGTGAGGCAGGGATAGGAAGTTACAGCATATACCTGCATCTCTTTACTCCCTGATCTGCGGAGAGCAGCTACATAGCACAGAGAGTCCAGACAGCAGCTCCCAGCCTGCAGAGACAGCCTACAGCTCAGGGAAGTGAGGGATGGGGTAAAGGCTGCAGGTAGACATGGGGATACTGAGAAACTAGGGGACACTGTGAGATATGGTGACACAGGGAGACCTCTGGGGATGCTGAGACACTTGGGGACACAGACACACATGGGGACACAGACACACATGTGGACACTGAGACTAGGGGACTCTAGGAGACACTTGGGGACACTGGGAGACATGAGGACACTGAGACACTAGGGGCACAATGTCCCCAAGTGTCTCAGTGTCCCTATGTCTCCCAGCCAGTGTCCCTGGTGTCTGTGTCCTTAGTGTCCCCATTTCTCCCAGTGTCCACATGTGTCTCAGTGTCCACATGTGTGACATGGGGACACAGACACTAGGGGACACTGGGCGACATGGTGACACTGGAAGACAGAGAGACACTGGGAGCAATCCATCTTTACAGTAGTAGTTTTTTTGTGATTTTACAGAATTTTCTCTTATGTTACTCCTTGTGATTTACATCATGTGATGTCACACATGCATAATTAGTTATGCAAATTAGTAAGGCCTGTATTTTTTTCCAAGAAAGGTGGCAACCCTAACTACTCTTCACATACTCTTGCTTAAGTATGGAAACTTAAGAGGGATATATGGAACAAAACTTGTGTGGTAATGCTAACTTTGGTCTCTCTAACACTATGGCATGTTCTTTCTTCTACACTCACTCCATCCACCTTTTCACTGTCCCAGACTATATACTAGAAGCTTCTGCCTGCTAGTAAGAAGGTAAGGAGACAAGTGGACATGTGAGTAGGACAAGGGGACAGTCCTTAGAAAAAGTCATTCGATGCATTTATGCCAAGCTCAGGATTCTGTTGACCAGCATGCATTTATGCCAGGCTAGCCTTCCAATTCTTTGGGAAGACACGCGTCCCTTTCGGGAGTTCTGGTTACATCATCCGCGTCAGTGGGGCCACCCTTTTACACCGCCCATTGACTTCCTGTTTCACTGGACACTGCTGTTAGGGGGTATGGATTTACTTGAAATATGAAAGCATTAATTTGAGAGATTAGCCTATTTTAAGAGCATTTGAAATTTCTTATACTGCTTCCTATGGGTTTCCCTCTGGCAACATTTCCACCAGATGGATAACGCTTAAGAGGTATGACTGTTTTAGTGTTTTTGGTCTATAAGATTCTGTACTTAGGCCCCTTATAATTGTCAACACCAGGCCCACTGTGCTCTTAATCTGGCCCTGAACTGGATGAACACTCACTACAAATGCAATCAATTCTGGTTCTTAGTACAAAATTTATTTAATTTTAAAAAGAATTGTAAGCACACTTGAAAAATGTGTAATTTGGATACATATTAAAGGGACACTCCAAGCATTATAATCACACATCCTTGTAGTGGGTATGATCTTATTTTATATAAAAACAATGCTCATTTCAGCACCCAGTGGCCACCCAATCTTCATCTTCTGCATTATTAAGCTGTGACCATTTTGTAAAAAGCACTGCAGCCAAGACTCGGTGGATACAAGATCCATTCACCATGTTGTGTGAATGCCATGTACAAAACTAAAGAGAATGCACATCCCAATTTTCCAATCTCCAAAATGGTCCGTGCCTTGTTTGCCCACATGTACAGTTGGAAATTCAGGTGCATAGCCCCAAAACAGACCTGTGAACAAATTGATAACAGCCAAGGAAAACAACTAACGACTTATTGAAAAGTTACATCAAATCTGATGAGTGAAACTGTAAGTAGGGGCTAAACTGCATGTCCCAAAAACACCTGGGCAAAGGCAGTGGCGTACACATGACCCATGGGGCCCCGGTGCGAAAATGATCCGTGGCCCCCCTCTCCTCCCCCCCCGCGCGTGCCGGGCCGCAACACATGACGGTGGGCACCTGGTTGCAGAGGTTACAGGGCTGCGACCCCTGCGACCGCGGTATGTACGCCAGTGCACACTTAAAGGACCACTCTAGGCACCAAGACCACTTCAGCTTAATGAAGTGGTCTGGGTGCCAGGTCCAGCTAGGGTTAACCCATTTTTTCATAAACATAGCAGTTTCAGAGAAATTGCTGTGTTTCTGAATGGGTTAAGCCTTCCCCTATTTCCTCTAGTGGCTGTCTCATTGACAGCCGCTAGAGGTGCTTGCGTGCTTCTCACTGTGATTTTCACAGTGAGAGCACGCCAGCGTCCATAGGAAAGCATTATGAATGCTTTCCTATGTGACCGGCTGAATGCGCGCGCAGCTCTTGCCGCGCATGCGCATACAGCCGACGGGGAGGAGAAGAGGAGGATCAGAGGAGGAGAGCTCTCCGCCCAGCGCTGGAAAAAGGTAAGTTTTAACCCCTTTCCCCCTTCCAGAGCCGGGCGGGAGGGGTCCCTGAGGGTGGGGGCACCCTCAGGGCACTATAGTGCCAGGAAAACGAGTATGTTTTCCTGGCACTATAGTGGTCCTTTAAAGGACCACTACAGACACAGATCACATCAGCTCAATGAAGTTGTCTGGGTGTCAGGTCCCTCTAGTTTTAACCCTGCAGCTGAAAACATAGCAGTTTCAGAGAAACTGCTATGTTTCACTGAGGGTTAATCCAGCCTCTAGTGGCTGTCTCACTGACAGCCGCTAGAGGAGCACACTGAACGTCCATAGGAAAGCATTGAGTAATGCTTTCCTATGGGCGGTTTGAATGCGTGCGCGGTCACATTCGGAGCTGAGAGGCTGAGGGATCCTCAGCGCCAAGGGAGTCCGGCGCTGGAGAAAGTTAAGTGCTGAAGACACACACACTTACAGACGCATACACACTAGCTAACAGACACACACATTTACTGACAGAGACACAGTCAGCGACAGACATACATACACACTCAATTACAAAACATACACTCACTAACAGACATCAAACAGACTCACTAAGACACACACACAGTAACACACTCACTGACACTCACTAGCAGACACACACTAACACTCACACACACTGACACTCACACTAACACTCACTCTAACCCTCACACTAACACTCACACTCACACATTTTTTTTTTTTTTTTAATCCCCCCAGCCTCCTTACCTTTTGGAGTGCTGGGGGGGATTCCCTGGGGTCCAGTGGTGCTGCTGGGCTCCTGGGCGGGTGGCCGGTCAGGCGGGCGCGCGAGGGAGCACTCAGTACTTCCTCTTCAGCTCCCTCGCGCGCCGCACTGATGCCGGAGCCGGAAGATGACGTCATCTTCCGGCTCCGGTATCCCTATGCGGCGCGCGAGGGAGCTGAAGAGGAAGCACTGAGTGCTCCCTCGCGCGCCCGCCTGCCTGCCCGACCGGCCACCCGCCTGCCCGGTATCAGCAGGGCCAGCCTCGGGGGGCCCTGGGGTGGTCGGCTCCTGGGCCCCTCAGGGGAAGAGGCTGGCCCTGTGCGTACATACCGGGTCGCAGGGGCGGCTGGGCCCCCTGGTGGGCCGGGCCCGGTCGCAGCCGCGACCCTGGTATGTACGCCAGTGGGCAAAGGTTTGTGGAATAAGAAAAAAAAAAAAGAAAAAAAACAAGATACTCTAGATGGGTAGTAATGATAGGGAACTGGCAGTGTTGCAAGAAATTATTTTTACTTCTGATACTGCAGTTTCCTTCTCCTTTTTTGTATAATCGTGCAAGTGCCAGATTTTAAAATCAAGTAGTTATGTTCTACTTCTTTATCTTTCCTGAAACAATACATTTTGTGCATACACACCTCCTATTGGCCCATCTTGGCTTCCGATCTCTTATATTTACCTATCTGTTCTAATGCGGTGTGGGTTTGCTAACTTTTCATGCCACAGACGAATGATAGGTGTAATTGAAGGAAGGGGAGCATTGAGATTGTTACTGCCTGCCTATTGACTTTTTGCTAACATCAATGTCTTGAGATTTCATGGCCCTATGCAGATGTCTGCACAAGCTATGCCACTTGATGTAAGTCCTGCTATGTCAGTCTATCTGTGAATCAGTGATGTTCTTCTGCAGTATGCCCTAGTCTTTTATAAAACATGCCATTTGTAATGCGGGAAATGGTCACTCTCAAAAATTTGCCATGAATGTTACCCTTCATCCCTGTATGAATTTGTAATGTAACATTAAATACCTACGTGTATACCCTTTCTACATATGACTCTTGATTATATGCTAGCTGGCTATAAAAAAAACAATAACAACATATATTGTATGTGCATGTTTATCTGTATTCATTTTATCTAACAATAAATAATTTGTGGGTGCCATTTTGATATATCTAAAATTCATAGAGGTTGTAAGGTAGTACTTGCTCAGTAGATGGCAGTCATTCTATGCTATTTTTTTTTTTTTTTTAGTGTTTTCAGGTTTTAATAGACTTCAGGTCTTTTGAGTGATTGTTTTTCAAATAGTGCTGTTGTCTGTACACGTTTAGTTATTTGAAAGGCATGTCCATTAGCATCTCTGAAATAAGTGCACGTTTCACGTAAATGTTTGACCTCTTATAACTTACTGCGGTTGTACATTTTACATAATGAGAAAGTGATTCTTAAAGGGTTATAGTCTCGTTTTGATTAGCATTGCACTCCTACTAAGTTTTTGAATGCTTCTATAATATTTTATCAGCGATTACCTTTTATATGGAGCATCAGAGGTTTTAATCCCTTGTTTTTAACCCGAGAATATGTTTCAGAATGCATTATAAAGACATCTCTCAATGCAAATCTGAGGAGTCTGATGAAAATCCATTCTCACCCAGTAACCTCTATTTTTAAATAAAACATTCTGTGGTCTCTAACATCACATAACATTTATAAAGACTGGCTTTAAACTACTTCAGCTAATTGAAGTAGTCTGGGTGCTGTGACCCGTTTGCACTTAGTGGTGCAATATAAAACATTGCAGTTCCAGAGAACTGCAATGTTTACATTGCAGCTGTAAGTCTGTCCTCTGTGGTCCGTTATCTGACGCTGGATGTCCTCATGGATCTCCAGCATCACTGGAATCCGCATAGGAAAGCCATTGCCATTGCCGCGCATGCACTTTAGGTCTCCCCCCCCGTTGACGTCAGGAGGAGCGTGGGCAGAGCCTGACCCAGCGCAGAGGGACATCGGCAGTGGATTCAGGTAAGTGGCTGAATGGGTTTTAGGGGGGCACTCCAAGAGCCTATAGTGCCAGGAAAATGGGTTTGTTTACCTGGCACTATAGGATCCCTTTAAGTGCAGCAATTGTAAATGTGCTCCTTTCACACTGTGCAACTAGTGTATAGTTTCCAACACACTGTCTGGATCCCTTCACAAATAGCAAAGATGGTTAAAGGAAACTGTTTTCTAAGGGTTACTCCGTCCAACCACCATTACTACTTCAGTGATTTGACGTTTTCATGGTGGTAGGAGTCAGTATGCGCAGTGTTTCTACTTGAAACACTGCACATACAGACATATTGGTAATTGTGTGCTGGGACTAGTTGCAATCCCAGCATATGTGACATTGACAACCCAGAACTCTGGTCCGAGCTGCTTAATGTCAATTTAGTGCATAAATTATGTCTGTTGTCAAGACGCCCAGCACACTGGCAGCAGACATGAAGATCTTACCAAGCTATCTCTCCTGTCCCACTTTCCCTTCCATGTTGCACTCCCTCTCTCCATGCAGCCTTGATTATTAATTTTATTTTTATTTTTTAAACCCTTCCTCCTCCCTCACTCCGGCTCCCTTCCTCATCGGCTTCTGTGAGAAGCCTGTGATTGGTCCATGCGTGTACCAAGTGTTGTCAGGAGGGGGGTGCGGAGAAGCAGCGCTGGGAGCTTTGTTTCGGCACTGTGTTCAAGGTGAGTAAAATCTTTTTATTTCAGGCTTTACTACAGATTGAGAGGGGGACTTTCTCCACATTGCCCAGTAGGGCATATTATACCGGTTGAAGGATTATAGTAGCCCTTTAAATGTCCGCTTCTACACAACCAATTACCTTTATAAAATACATTATTTCTTTCTTTAGGTCAGGACTCCCTTTCTCCTGGATGCAGGGAATTGACTCAGGCAGTGCGTATCCAGCAGCGCTCTCTGGAGCAGAAGATGCAGAGCTGTCTGGAAGAGCTGCGCCTTCTATGTTTGCGGGAGGCAGTAAGTTCATCTTATCCAGTCTAAAACACCAATTAAATGTAGTGCTTACAAATACTAGATCCTGTTCCAAGACATTTTTTTTATTATTATTATTATTATTATTATATTATATTATATATTTATATAGCGCCAACTGATTCCACAGCACTTTACAATATTATGGAAGGGGTGGAAATTTACAATAAATGACACAGAAACAGTAGGTAGATGAGGGCCCTGCTCAAATGAGCTTACAGTCTAGACATGACTCTTTCTATATCAATCATTCTTCATTTTCCTCCCTTCTTTTGCTTTATCTCACTCAGTATTCCTTATTCTTTACCATCTTTGTGTTCATATATTATGTGTAAATATGTCAACATTTCCATCTGTTACTCTTTGGGTTTTTTTCCCCCCCAACCTGTGTACCTGCAAATCATGCTCTGTCTTTCTTACATAAAGACACTTATTTTCTATTTATCTTCTCTATCCAAGGAGCTTACAGGTGTCTTCCCTAAGGATTACCCACTAAAAGCTGATGAAACACCCCCCAAAGTCCGGCGAAGGGTTGGAGCTCTGTTTAAACTGGATGAGCAAGCAATTCATTACAGGAAGGAGGCAAGTGATGTTCTCTTTTTTTTAGTTAATCGTCTAGAACACGGTTTCCCAATTAATTTTTCCTGTGGAACCCTTTGACATGGTATGTGCCGTAGAGTAGCACAGCACAGCGCAAACCTTTCAGTGAGCAGAGAATAATGTTCTCTTTTGTTGGCATTTTCTTTTTATATCTGATTCAATTGTTGACAGTTATATTCACATGTCTGCAGTTGCGTCAAACTTTGTTTTTGTTGCAGATCTAAGTGAGAACCCAGTTTCACATAAGTACGTTCTGGCGAATACAAATACAAAAAGAAAAGTCATGCGCTCACTCCCATCACTCCTGGGCGGCAGCAACAACTACAGTACACATCAGCTAATACATATAGGAGGGAGGAGGACCTAATAACCCTATGGTGCCAAGAAAATAGGTTTGTTTTCCTGGCACTATAGTGCTCCTTTAAGTGTTGGCAAAGAGTTCAAATTATTTTACTCAACAGATGAGGTCCAAAACTGCAGTTTACGAGACAGTGAAAATATTTTAGCTCTTGCATTAAAAATATTAGTGTTTTTTTTCCTTGAAGTGATAAACATACATCTAATTTTGTGAATATGTCTGCAAGATATGCTACTTTGGATAACCACAAAATGTTTGTTACTCGATCAGATAATCCAAATTTATGATCCTGGAAATATGCAAACAACTCTTGACGCAATTCAAACATTCTAACAAGGACTTTACCTCATGATCGCCAATGGACTTCTGAATGCAAAAGCAGTGCACAGTGGTGTCTACCCATATCTTCACATATAATTTTAAATAGTCGTGACTGTAATGGTCGCCTTTTTATAAAATTAATAATCTGGACCGATTTGTCTCGAACTATTTTAAGTGAGATTGAAATATTTTTAGCTACCAGTACATGTCTGTGAAGAACACAGAGAGAACTGGTGCTGTTTTTTGCTACATTTCTTATTCGTGTCACAGCGCCTGCCACTTTCCCAACCATTGCTTTGGCACCATCACTACACACATCTACACATTTGTCCCAATTTATATTGTGTGTGTGTGTGTGTGTGTGTTCATGAACTTCTGGAAACAGTTAAAGATGTTCTCACCAGTGGTATGAGTTTTCAAAGTTTCACACAGAAGCAAGTCTTCTTGAGCCTGTCTGTCAAAATTATATCTAACAAAAACCAACAAAATTGAAAATCCTGTAAAATCTGTGGACTAGTCTAATTGTAGTGAGTACCCTTCACATTGATGCAGTCGAGAAATTCGTTCAGTATGGATGTCATCAGAAAGATCATGAATACAGAGCAAAACTGTGTTGTTTGACAGTGGCACAGCTTCCATTTTCTTACTCAACTTCTCACTTAAAATAGATGACACTATTTCTTTTGCACATGGTTTTATTAGTGATTCCCCAATTGTGTGTGCTTCTCCGGCAAGTGCAATGCGGTAACACTCTGTAAGAAGCCTTTGTGGCTTTTGCATTAGCATTTTGAATTTTTTTTTTGCTCATAAATTGTTTACTCTTCTGATACTCCTTTAGCTTTTGCTTAAAAAAAGTCAATGTCTTTATCTTTGTACTCTGTTTGGCAAATTTTTATTGCAAAGTAAGCATTGTGCTTCAGTACAAACTTAATTTCTGGCACTTGTGAATCCAAATGACAAGTAGCTATCCTCATATTTTCTTTTTTTTCTTTGACTTGTCATTTGTGTCTGATTTGATGAACAGTAGATTCTACTATTTCGGTCATGTTTTCTGGATTTTAGTTGTATCTGCTTTCTCAGTTTCTATAAGTGCCGAACAGGTAGAAGTAGTAATAGTTTTTATCTAAAGAGTTCCCTGCTTTAACTGGCTTCCCAAATTCATGGTCGTTTATTGATTTAAAAAAAAAAACTTCGAAAAAATACAGATCTGAAAAAAAAAAAAAAGTACACTACCTGACTGAAAAGGATGCTGATTTTGATAAAGCTCTTAGAAAGATCTGAACTTAAGCAGGATTTTTGTGTCAACTTGGAGCAAAAAGATTTGAACACTGAAACATATCGCAGTAACTCACTGCAAACAATGCTGTGTTTTACAAAGCTGTTAGAAAGAATTTAAAGGACCACTATAGTTCCAGGAAAGCATACTCGTTTTCCTGGCACTATAGTGCCCTGAGGGTGCCCCCACCCTCAGGGTCCCCCTCCCGCCTGGCTGTGGAAGGGGGAAAGGGGTAAAAACTTACCTTTTTCCAGCACTGGGCGGGGAGCTCTCCTCCTTCTCTCCTCCTCTTCTCCTCCCCGTCGGCTGAATGCGCACGAGCGGCAAGTTCTGCGCGCGCATTCTGCCGGTCGCACAAGAAAGCATTCTCAATGCTTTCCTATGGACGCTGGCGTGCTCTCACTGTGAAAATCACAGTGAGGAGCACGCAAGCGCCTCTAGTGGCTGTCAATGAGACAGCCACTAGAGGAAATAGGGGAAGGCTTAACCCATTCATAAACATAGCAGTTTCTCTGAAACTGCTATGTTTATTAAAAAATGGGTTAACCCTAGAAGGACCTGGCACCCAGACCACTTCATTAAGCTAAAGTGGTCTGGGTGCCTAGAGTTGTCCTTTAATGTAAATGCCTCAGTCTTGGAGTAAAACGAACACTTTAATACAGATTTCACTACCTAACTGCACTGTTTTGCTAACAGTTTAGATTTTTGTAGCAAAAGCAATGGGTTTTTTTTGTGTGTATAGGACTGATAGATAGATAGATATATATATATATATATCTCTATCTATCTTTTTTCCAGTTAACAGTTTTTTGCCCCTCACAGAGTCTTTTGATGCCCCTCACAGAGCATTTAAATGCCCCTGACACAGCCTTTTAATGTCTCTAATAGAGAATTTCAATGCCCCTGACAGAGCCTTTCAATGTCCCTACCTAACAGAGCTTTCTATGTCCCTAACAAACAATTTCAATGACAATAACAGAGCTTCAACTTTCAGGTCTACTCTCTATCACTCCTCTACCATGTTTGATAGGAAGTGGCTGATGGCTGGGCAGGCTCTCTGAAGGCAGGACTGGCTTGATATCGCACTACCGCGATCTCTGCTGTTTCCGACCTTCCGGGTACAGCAGGTAGCGGCAGCCATCTTGGATGTGGTGAATTGCTGCAGAACCCCAATTTTGTTCTCGTGGAACCCTAGGGTTCCGTGGAACACCAATTCGGAAACACTGGTCTAGAATAAGTAGCCTGCATCAGACTGTAGAATGAAAGACCCAGAGGAAATTTTGATGTTCAGCATTGCTGAGTTTAAATTGAAGGAGCACTAAACTCCAAATAGCAAAATAGAACTTTTGTATTTAAAGGAAAAAAATTACACTTAATATAGCCTTGTGGTGCATTATTATGTAATGAATATAGATAAGTTAATAATTATTTCTAGAACACTAAGGTACTGCTTCCTAAAAAGAGGTCATGTCTGCCTGGCATGCATGGCTGACAAACCCCCCTTAGGGTTACACATGCACAGAGCACTTTTGAAGCACTCTGCCATAAGCTCAATTACATTGGATAAAAACACCTTTCTTACCTCAGACCCAGACCGCATTTATAAGAACTGCCACTCTTGATGTCATAACTTGTGAATGTGCACGAGTTACTGATTAATATATTTATGGTGAGATAAGTGGTGCTTCTGACCAGAGGACTTAACAATGGCTGCCCTGTAATATAAGGAGTGCTATGCTATGTTAAAGGAAATAAGAGAACATAAAAGGCTTTTAATATAACTAGCATAACTTACATATTGCACGTAGCATATGCATACCTCACAACAGTCCTGGTTTTAGCATATTTCCTACTTTTATTTCATCGTTATACACAAAAAACAAAGTGTGCGCACATTATTAGACTTCCTTGCACTACACAGAGTCACCTAAGGTAATTTAGCTTATGGCAGAGTGCTTCAAAAGTGCTCTGTGCATGTGTAACCCTGAGTGGGGTTTGTCAGCCATGCATGCCAGGCAGACATGACTGCTTTTTAGGAAGCCTGCTTACTTTAATGGTGGATTTGTCCTTCATTGTCACCTCGTCATGGAATGCTCCCCATCCTACATCCTTACAATTTAATGTTGAGAGGTATGCATATGTTTGATGTGCCTCTTTAAGACAATTGTGCATGTAAGACAGAAAGAAAAAGGAAAGGAAAAAAGAAATAAAATGTGTGTTGGTTTTGGTAAACTAAAAGCAACACTTAGGCCACCACATCCTCAAATGAGGTAGCTTTATTCTAGTTTGTATGTTTTAACTTAGATTTTGCAATATATTTGTACATTAACCAAAGTTAATGGTTTACAAAATAAACTATAATTTGTTCTGCTATCTACAGCACTATCATGTTGCTACTTTGAGAAACAGAAAGATAATTCTAGCTCCATAAAGTGAGTCTGCTACAGCAAACACCCTTCAGACAACTACTAAACTACACAACATGTCCTCTCTGGAGTACTTGGTAGTAGTGTTTTTATGTTAGTTCCATGTAAAACAGGTACAATCAGTGGAATCGTGAGACTCAGTCCGCCATTAAACATCCAAATAAATGTACTATATTGTATACAAATTGGCTACTTTTTATGAAAAAAAAAAAGTAAATATTGACCACTTTTCAATTATTTTAGAATACTGTGGCAAGGGTAGCTGAAGATTCTCAACTGTAGCACTACACCTCTTATGATGCTATGCCAGCCTTAAAGCTAGCAAAGTATCAAGAACGAGCCAAAAAACTGAAATGCAAACAGAAAAGGGAAACATTATTGTGATCACAGGGAAATCACAACAGAGGAATGTGTCTGAGCATGTGAGAAGTTTATATAGGTATGAGTCCTTTAAATAGACTTGCATTATACCTGAGTGCCCAAAACATACAAGTTTGTATCGGCCGGAATGATGCTGTAACAGTCATGCCTGTAAAAAATGCAGATTGACATCATTGGGAAGGGGATGCTGAACACATTGAGCTACATTAGATTGTATTTAAACCTAAATATGTGTATATTTTGATGATAGTATACTTAAAATCACTCGACAGGAACTCTTAAGTGTTCTGCAATGAGTAATGAAAGAGTACTTTTAGGTCTGGGTTGACCCAGATGTTAGTATTATCCTTCTCCTGAGAACAGTAAGTAAACTTTGTTTATCCCTGGGGTGTGTGACATTCTACAATAGCATTCTTTGCTCCTACTTGTATCATTATGAATAATAATACTGGAGTGGAGTTTCTCTGGAAAAGAGTACGAGTTTCTTTTATTTCTAGGGGATTCTGGGTTTCTAGTACATGTATATAGGAGCTCACCAAGTTTGTGATTCAGCTCACGTAATAATTTGAGTGGGATGCATTTCCAGTTTCTAACTATTATATTAAAAAATATACACTTATTAAACCTGAATACTTTTGTTTCTTAGTTTCTTATAAACGTACTGTACTTTTGTTAATTTCAGTTCTATACTGTAGTTGCCGATGTACCAATATTCTAGGCCGTAACACCAATAAAATATATTTATGACCACTTGCTTGGTATATGTGTGAGCCAATAAGTGTTGCTCTTCAATTTATTTCAAATTTCTGTAATTGTTCAAAAGAATTACTCCTTCTATCCCCAGGATCCACTCAGCTCCTTGCAAACCGATCTTGCTCTGCAGAGACAGATTACTGAGGCAGCACGTCGTTTGTACATGGAAGAGTCTCTGTCTAAACACGTTCGGCATCAGAGAAAGGTAGCATTAAAAGAGGCAGAACGGAAGCTTTCATCTTTAGAAGACCGGCTAAACCAAGAACGCAGCATTCGATTAGAAGGTGAGAGATTGAAAAATTGGTGATATGGAATTTATGGACAGGTTTTAATTGAATAAATACATATTTATCCCCCTGCCACCTCTCTGTGGAGCATGGAGACGCTGAATATAGATGCTGCACACTGTGCAGCACTGACCCAGGAACCACCTCTAGTGGCCGTCTGAGTGACTGCCACTAGAGATGTTACTAGGCAGCAATATAAACACTGTCTTTTCTCTGAAAAAGCAGTGATTACAGTGCTATGGCTGCTAGGACATGCTATAGAGACCTGAACCACTACATTACGCTATGGTGGTTCTGGTGACTAGTTTTCCTTTAAGGGAGGTATTTTGGGAATGTCAGAAATAGTGGTGATGGCAAAAATAAGTGTCCGAAAGGAGAGTTTTAGACCAGTTTTAGAGAATTTTAGACCATTTAAACAAATAGTGGGGAAAGTTGGAATCTAAATAAAGTGAAAGACTGTCAGAGTAAGACACATAGGCAGCTTAGTTATGTACTTATGGTAAAGTAAAATATGATTATTCTGATTATCTAATTAAATATTTAAATATTAGTTTATTAATCAAATTAGCTGTTGTTTCATAGCTCCATTAAAATTTAGCTGATCTCTATTAACCAGACCTAATCATTTGGTTTTTTTATATACAATATCGTGCAAGTAATAATTTGCTTGTTCGTATTTATATAAGACAGAACAGTTATTACTGCAGTTCTAACAGGCTATTTCTTTTAAAAAAATAAAAATTGAACTATTGCGTGCATGCTGCTCAGAATCAAAGGGAACGATAAAGACTGCTGAGAGATGTAATGACATTCAGAGGACAAGTGTGAATATAAGGGAAAACCATAAATAATTTAAATAATTTATTCTGATTTTTTTTTCTTTCTGATCTTCATATTTAGATAGCAGTGTCTCTGAATCCAGCTCCTTGTCGGATGTCACAACTTTGGAAGAAGGTGAGTGGGGAAAAACTGTCTTTTTAAATCTACACATTTGCAGTCTTCCAGTGGGTCCAAATGTCTGACATTTGCTTGTTTTCAGCAGATGAAACCCATCGAGTGTCTTTCTCTGTACTTTCTTCTGTCACCCGACCCCTTCCACCACAGACACTGGAGGGACTTTGCCCTGCCTGGATTGCAAGTGAAACTGAGAAAAACCCACTCCAGAATAGTCCCTGGAGAGAATCTAGTCTTGATCTGCCATATGAAAAGCCAAACAGGAGTTTAAATAATTCTAGAAGCCACAGCAGGTGATGTATACAGAAATTTTGTAATTTGTTAAACAGTCAAAAAACATAAATACATTCTACAAAACCAAATAATGTGGATATTCACCATTTTATATAGTATGGGGGCAGGAGTGCATGAGAAAGACAAAATAAATGTCATAGAGTCTGGATATCAATGGGGAGGTAAAAATTAAAGAGAGAATTGAATATTCACACAAATAGCCACCAGATTGTGTAGACCCAGAAAGAAAAAAAAACATAAAGACAATATAATGCCATCTACTGAAATATAGAAAAAAGGGGAAGTTCTGCAAGAACATGGTGAACAGAAAGGAAGGGATATAGAAGAAGGCTTTAATAAGTAGAACAAACAGGCATCTTGATTTACCTAGAATGGTCTCCGTCAATATCTGAGATTTAAAAATGTGGAATCTAGCCTTCCTTTATGTGTGCTGCACAACACACAATGTAAATATAACGTTTTGCAGAAAGCTGTATATTAATAAATTGCTATTGATTTAAGTTATATGTAAAAACACTGGACTATTTTACACATATACAAACACCTGGCATCGTAAAAAGTTAGGTAATGTGTAAAGCTTTCTTGGGTTTAGAATGGGGAAAGCAGAAAATAGAAGTTATCTGTAAGTAGAAAAAAGGCAATTGATGTAAAAATGTATGCCATTTTGCACTATATTTGAACTACTGATTAGTTTTCCATTGTGATGAGGGTTAACCTAATTTGCCTAGGGCTTGTAAATGGCAATACGTGGGGATTTTGATGCATACTGTAGAAGGCACAAATTTTGTGCAAAATTTGCTGCAGGACTCAAAACGTGAAGTAAAGGAGCACTCTAAGCATAATCACTTCAATGTTCTTACACTTTTGTTAAACCTTTTCAAGTGTACCCTACTATAACTTCTGTGACAGGGAAAATATTTGAAGGGCTATTAAAGGATAATATTCAGGAATTCATTGGGAAGAACTTTATTAGCAATAATCAGCATTGTTTTATGAAACTAAGGTCATGTCAAACTAACCTAATTGCTTTCTACGAAGAAGTAAGTAGAAGTATAGATCAGGGTGTTGCAGTGGATGTGATCTACTTGGATTTTGCCAAGGCATTTGATACGGTTGCTCACAATAGGTTAGTCTTCAAACTAAAAAAAGAATTGGTCTAGATGATTATTCTTGTTCTTGGGTAGAACATTGGCTTAAGGATAGAGTACAACGAGTTGTCATTAATGGTATATTTTCAGGCTGGACAAAAGTGGTAAGGGTTCTGTTTTGGGACCACTTCTATTTAACATATTTATAAATGATCTTGAAATAGGCATTGAACGCCATGTATCAGTGTTTGCAGATGACACAAAACTTTGTAAAGTACTAAATGTGAGCAGGATATTGCTTTGCTGCAGAGGGATTTGGATAGATTGGGGGATTGGGCACTAAAATGGCAGGTTAAATTTAACGTAGAGAAATGCAAGAATGCACAAGCAACGTACACCCTAAATGGTAGTGAATTAGGGATAACCAGACACGAGAAGGATTTGGGAATTGTTATAGACAACAAATTAGGCAGCAATATGCAATCTCAATCTGCAGTTGCTAAGGCCTTAAGGTTTTGTCATGTATAAATAGGGGCATAAATTCTCGGGATGAAAATATAATTTTGCCTTTTTATAAATCGCTGGTAAGACCACACCTTCAATATGCTGTGCAGTTTTGGGCACCTGTTTTAAATAAGGATATCATGGCACTAGAAAAAGTGCAGAGACTAGCTACAAAATTGATAAAAGGAATGGAGCATTTTAGTTACGAAGAAAGGTTAAACAATTTAAATCTCTCTAGTTTGGAAACACTGCGCCTCAGAGGGGATATGATAACATTATACAAATATATTCAGGGCCAGTACAAACCTTTATCTGGAAATCTATTCCTAAACAGGGCTATACATAGGACACCAGGTCACGTATTTAGGCTGGAAGAAAGGAGATTTCATCTAAGGCAAAGAAATGTTTGTTTTTTGTTGTTTTTTTTTCAGTAAGAGTAATAAGGATATGGAATTCTCTGGGTGGTTTTATCAGAGTCCATACAGATGTTTAAACTGAAATTGGATAAATACTTACAAAAACATAACACACAGGGCTATAATTTCTAATTAGTGGGGTAATAGCTGCTTGATCCAAGGAGACATCTGACTGCTATTTAGGGGTCAAGAAGGAATTTTTTTTTTCTAGTTTGTTGCAAAATTGGAAGCGCTACAGACTAGGTTTTTTGCCTTCTTTTGGATCAACAGCAAAAACATATGTGAGGAAGGCTGAACTTGATGGACGCAAGTCTCTTTTCAGCTATGTAACTATGTAACCTAGCACTCACAGCCACTCATGGTATATATAGTGTTGGCACACAATGTGTGCTCATGCTGTTCAAACATTTGTTTAAGGGTAATGAGGAAGTGAAATTCATCATTACTATGTTGGATGAAGAAGGGTAAGAGAGTCCCCTTTTTTTTTTTTTTTTTTTGTAAAAGCGCTTGAGTGGTTTAACAAAACCTACACCTATATCCTGCTTGCACTTTAGCTGCTATACTAAGTTTTTGTGGTAATAGTGCTTAAGAGTGTCCTTCATAGGTTTCTTGATATGAGGCATGCATTATGTACCACCTTTTACACGACATCTAAAGAACATTCCAGGCAGCATAACTAGAGCACTTTATCATGGTTATGGTGCTAACTGTGCTCTAGCATCCCTCCATCCGATTTTATGATGGTATCACTGCTTACCAGATGTCTTCTGGGCACTGCTCTCCACTTCCACTACTTCCCGTGGAAATCCAGATGCTCTCTATCTGAGCAAAGCCCAGCGGTGCAGTTTTGCCAACTTAAAATGGGGAGGAGCCAGGACACTCTTATCACACTAATGACTACAGCGCAATGTAGCAGTTATGGTACTTGACATTTTTCTTTAAAGAAATATTATTAGCACCATTGTAGTGGATTTGGTGAAAGGTAGTCTTTGGGTGCCCACCCCCCTAGTTTATGACATCAACCTGAGCGCTGCAGGCATGTAAAGCCTGGCCCTCTGCTTTGTGCTTGCATTATGCAATACTGAACTTCACATTATCAGATCAATTTTAGACCGCAATAGTAGGCTTCAGGGGCTGGGGTGGGTTAACTACACTTATTAGCCACACAAAGCTTACATATATTTTTATTTTACCATATAGTAGTCCTGCTGTTACCCCTTTACCGAGTCCCCAAGAAGTAACATGTGACAATCTAAATGGCTCTCAAAATATGAACAAAATTACATTAACTATACAAAGCAGCCCTGAAAACAACATCAGGAAAGGTGTCTCCCAGTCTATTAGGTAAGAACTTTTTTACATATATCTAACATTTAAATTAAAAACCTGAAACAAATTAACCTTACATGAATAATTTTTATTATTACAGAGTCCAAGGCACCCAAGAATTATGTGAACCAAGAGGACGCAGCTTATGTCGTCGGGCAACTAGCTTTAACACACAATCTAATTCTTTATACTCTCTCTCCCTCTCGAACCCTATGTACACCTCGTCTAACCCTGTGTACTCTGCCTCCTCTGAAACACTTTTTGAGTTACCCAATGCACCACCTTCCTATAAATTAGCCTACTGCCCTGTTGCCTCTCCTGGAGAGTTGCTTAAAGTTGTCCACATACCTTCTGGTAGGGAGCACTTTACTTTGGAGGAACCACCAAGGCCTGACATTACTGAGGAACTGCGTTGCTGGCAAATCAGGGCCAGTATGAAGGGAGCCAATGCTTTAAGGCCAAGGTCACTAGATAGACAGGGGGCCATAAGACTACGCAATCACTCATCCATGAGCCAGCTCTCTCGTTCACAGACACAGAAAGTACAAGTAAGTTATTGTATATCTTTAAATTATGTCCACATACAGATTTCTATCTAAGTACATTTTATTAAAACCGTGTATGTATACAGCTGTGGATATATACACTTGTGTGCTCTAAGTTCCTAAATGCAGACATTTTTTCCTCTTGTATTACTTTCCATTAGTGAGTAAATGATGTTAAAAATATATATATATTTTTTTTTTGTAATAATGGCAGGGGGGGTAGTAATACAAGATAGAAATATAAACAATAGAGCCAGGTTATCTAGAAGTGTGAGAATATTTATGGGGTGATAAATATTAAAAATAATATTTTCATAAAAATTATCAAAAATGTATTCAATAATTTTTATTATATCAAAATTTGATATCTTGGCACTGTTTCCCCGATTGATTAATTATTTAAAGCTGATTATTGCCCACTATTTTAATTCTCCTAGATCCTAGAGTAAGTTTTCATTAGAAGATTTTATTTCACACATTAATCACAAATTAATTATAAAAATATAATTTATTGTGCCAATAATAATGAAAATAATATGTAACATGCGTGACAATCAGTGAATATTTAGGTATAACAGTGGTTAAATACAACATAGACCGCTAAAAGCAACAGTTATGCATGCAGTTTCCAACAAGATTTACGATAGGACAATACATTTCGAATTTAACTTAACAGAACACAGCATTTCACAGCAGCACAGCGTAAAGCAGTAAAACTTTGGCTGACAGTCAGATCACACTGAATTAACTCTTTCACTGCTTGCTACAATCTACATAGGTAAGATGTCCTATTATATTGCAATTTTACAACTACAATAATTCTCATACAAAATCATTCACCATTCCTATGTCCATCAAATAAGAATAATTCTAACCAGATTTTACATCTGCAGAATTTTAACTTTCCTAATTAAGATTCACTATTTCTAGATTACGTAAGCTAATATATCTAGATAATTACCTGGTATTTTATTTTTAAAGTTAAAAGTAATATAGAGTTCATTGGTCCACCTGCAGGAATGGAATTCCGAATTCTATATATTCTTAACGAATCATGACTCCTTAATGTTTGGAATCACCAGCTTTTATCCAAGTATATTCTGCCTTTTAGTAAAATTTAAAATTTAAATTAAATAAAACCAGCATAAATACCAGTTATGTTGTAGATTTTCTATCAGATGTGTAGATATGTCCCAGGAATTTTGAATGCAAGTATGATGAATAGAGAATTGTATGAAAATAGAAGAGTTTTGAAGTTGTGTTAGTTGGAAAGATACTAAGAATTAGGTATGTCCAGCTTTGGCTCCAGATTTTAGCTGTTAGGTGTGAGTCCATTCTCAGAGTGAGAGTGTTTAGAGAGTATGAGTCTGAGTGTTTGAGAGTATTTGAGAGTGGGAGTCTTGAGTCCAGTCCAAGAGTCCTCTCTCTCCTTTGTCCTTAATTTTTAAAGCACTAGTTACCCTATACGTCACTAGTTGATAGGACCAATAGGAAACTGTGGGTGTGTCTTCCCTACAGACTATCATCTAGATTTTGGTCAGTAGATGGTGCAATTACATCACCAAAAAAATATTGTCAGGGGGTCCATTTACCTTTTTGTATAATGGGTTAACTGAATTTCGTGATACGTTTTACGTCATTTTTGTTCTCTCTTGTGGCTACTATACATCACAGAAGCTGTCATCTTCAAAGCGTTTGGTTCACTCTTACCCAGACAGAGCGTCTGCATTTTCAGTCATAATTTTAGAATTGGCACCTGTAGCCTTAGTTTCACCTTTTCTTACAATGCCTTGTATTTTAGAATGTAAAATTAATTACTTAGTGTTATCTGTCATTTAGTGTCTGGTTTTCTTGTGTGAAACTGTAGTTAAGATTACACATATTCCACTAACATTAGTAAATAACATGACATTTCTTCATTGATATCATATCCATGAATATTCTATATTAATTTAGTACTAATTATATATGATTAATATAATAGTAAGTTATATGTGGATATATATGTGTGTGTGTGTGTGTGTATAAATATATATATATATAATGTTTGTCTCTGGGTTGTAGCATTCAACACCCCTTTTGCTGTTAGACATCATGCCTTATCTCAGGTTTTATCTCTAATGTCTCTAATTAGTCGCATTCTTTACCTCAGACCTGAATGAATAGAGTTACAAAGAAACTTGTGTCTGTCTTAGCCTTGTAATACAACATGGAGTCACCTCTGTTCTGATGGTGACTTACAGTATACACTTTTAATTTCTGTCTTAACACAAAATTTCTGCCAGTATAAATATACTGACAGTAGAAGCTAGAAGAACAGATCCCAACAAAAACGCAGGTAAAAGAACCAATAACCTCTAGTGTTTTATCATATCACAGGAAAGAGAAAAATTTAGAACTCCTCAAGCAGGCTAGCAGCCCAGGATATTAAGAAAAGAAGAAGAGTAGACAGTTAAGGAAGGGAAAGTGCAGCAATTCCCATCCGTGACAGCAACTATTCTTGACCATGCCCCTCTAACCAAGACCACTACAAAGAGGTTGAAGGCAAGGGCTTGAGGAACTTATGCCTTCATCCAGGGGCACTATGTTTTTAGGAAGGATCGGTGGTTTCATGAATGGTGGCCAACAGTTTTTACATTTAGATTACATACCAAAGCCTAGCCTCGACTTGGATGTGTGAGGTCAGAGCCACCTTTGCCTGACCAAGTCTTGGCCAGGCAGAGTCGCAAAGCCAAAGATATGCTTGTGTGCTGCATGGTAACAGAAAGTAGTCCAGGCACTTAAGGTCTTCATACATCAGCAGATTTATTGGAAAAACATGAGATACAGCTGCATCTGTCTTGTTTTTCCAATAAATCTGCTGATGTATCTGTCATGTTTTCCAATAGATCTTCTGATGTATGAAGACCTTGAGTGCCTGGACTACTTTGCTGTTACTATATGGATTACGGGTTTGTCAGCCCTAGGTACAGTGCACCGAGGTCTACAGGTGATGAGTGTGGATCCCTCCCTTTTTTTGCAATCTGTGTGCTGTATGGGTGAGATTGGCTTCCTGTGCTCCCTATTAGCAAGGCTTTCAAAGGTTTGGAGGAAGGGTCACATTGTGACACCTAGACAATTTATCAAACAAAGCTTTGGGGCAGGACTAACAGATTTTTAGGTAAGTACCTTCTTCCCTGCAGCCCTGAAAACAATCAGAAGGCATTCCTGGTAGAATCTTGAGGGGGATGTATGGACCATCACACTAGCATTTTGTAGCAGATTTTTTTTTATTTAAAATGTTATACTTTATTCAAAGTAGATTGCACCAGTCTGCCCCCCTAATTCCTCCTTCAAGTCTTGTTCCCATGCTGAAATGAAAGGTAGACTATGGAAGGTCTAAGCAATAAAATGCGATTACAGTGCAAAGAAGAAGCCCTATTTTTTTTGTACCCTACAATTAATGTCATATGAAATGAGTTCACCCATGTGTAATCATTTTAAAGAAACAAACATTTGTTGGATAATATTTTTGGGATCACCCATGCTTGATTTTTTTTTTTATTTGTGTATTTTGGGTTGGAACTGAATGATATATTCAGTGGCAGCTGATGACGTTTGAAATTGTGGGGCTCTACACTCTGAAATTTGACTCATACCCCTGACTTATTGGACTCTGTCCATTTAACCACATGTACCTCTGACCTAATGTGATGTCATGCCGTGTTCATCAATCTTGAGTGGGATGTCTGTTTTAATTGTGATCTTGCTGTTTAGAAAATTACAATAATATATGAAACAAGGGTGAAAACAGACACTATAAGATCCCAATATATGCTCTTCAGATTGACTTAGATGTGTGGATAAGCAGATCTGCATGAACATTTTGGCAAGGACACACGAGTGTTTTGCTTGGTTCAACTTAGAACTTTTAGTGGGTGAGAATCATGCTTCCACTCCAGTTTGTCTCAAAAACATCAATTCCGAAACCAGGTATATATCCTACCTCATTAGAGATTATTACTAAATTATAATTGCCTTCAGGTCTTCTCTAGTTTCCAAACTTATTCAGTTCTTTGTTGTTGTCTCATTCTTTTTTCACATTTTACTGGGACTGGTTATTTGGCTGGACACAGAATCAGTCAACTGAACCTGATGCAAATCTAGCACCCAATTCTTACTAAAATGCAATTTAAAATTTTTGTTCTGTGGCTATTCTGCTTGAATGAAATGTAGATATACTCCTCAGCTTTTAAAAGTAATAGTGATATCAAATATATTTATGATCTGTAAACAATATGTTGGCAAATATTCTGTAGATTATTGGTAAGTTTATTTGTTTAATCTGTTTGATATCCTGGACTACCAACCCCTAAAGGGACACCCAGTCGTTTTAACCCTACTACTGGAAACATTGCTGTCCTGCAGGAATGGCATTTTTGCATTGCAGGGTTAAATTGCCGCTAGTGGCTGTCACACTACTTGTCACTGTCACAAGACTTGGCTATTTTAATCAGATGGTCTCAGAGAAACCATTTGATTGGTGCAGCGTAAAAATTTTCCACTCATGCGCCCTAGCCTTCCAATACTTTACTATGCTGTCCAGCACTATATCATTAGAAATGTATGTTTGTATTCCTAACAATATAGTTTTAGTTGGATGGGCTAATGCATTTGATAATGCGCTTCCACATTAGCCGAGCAGCAGTGTAGAGACCAGACTGGGTTTTGTCAAACTGTTCAAAAGCAGTTTAACTTAATCAAGGGTTATGCACCTACCTTTGTACAGTAACTACTACAATGATCTATAGTCATAGTGCTTAGAGAACCCCTTCAAATTGTCTCTTTGGAGAATATGATATTTCTCCTACTACTCCTGCTCAATATTTACTATGTTCATTTTCAAAATGTCAGTCTGCTTTTGAAGCAAGTTTGCATTCCCTTTGACAGGAGTCCACTTCTCTTTTTTGATGTGAAATCACATCCTTTTTTGTTGCTTGACTATACACTTTAAAATGGTTTTCATATAGTTCAATGAAGTCATGTACATTAGGTCCCAACTTGTTCCATATCCTTCATATTCAGTATCTTACTCCTGTTTACTCTGCTTGTATTTTGTAATGTGTGATGTCAAACCATCCTGTACAGACATGTTCATGTTTTTTCTATGAGGCTTGTGTATAATTCTAGGTTTTGTTCTTCCCCCTCCTTCATCAGTCACACCTTAAAGGTTGTATATATCTGCATGTATCAGTTAGTATTTTTATTTTAGGTCATAATTGAGAAATAACAAGCCTCTAATTGAGCCTATTTTTAATCAAACAGCTATTTTCTTATTTACTTCTATTACCGTAGGGTGCAACATGATTACTCAAGAGGGAAAAACACACGCACCATCAACTGTCACAGTAGTTGGCTTCTATCCAACAAAAGATGTACTTAAAGAGGGAACTCACTGAGTTTGAACAAATGTGCTGTGGGGAATCGCCCCTGCCAGTATGATATCCCTACTGTATGGAATACTGATTTAGTATAGGTACACATTACCACCCCTTTTATGGTGGAAGGAGGCCCTGGGACAGTCATTCATGGAGGCAGAATGGGACAAAATATAGCTTAGAAGCTCAAAAGATGCTAAGACTCAAGGACTATCCTATAAGATCCGGACACACTGGTATTGTACAGGAGGGGGCGCAGAGAAAACTCCCCATCCATCCACATCTGGTGGGACTGTTCAGGGATCCAGGATTTTTGGTTCAAAATATACAAAGTGGTGAAAAGTGGAGGGTCGATAATGCCTCTCCTTCTGGACTAGGCGAAAGCTTTGATTCCAAGGTTTTATAAACAACAAATGTCACCACCTCTGCGTTGGTGGGTGGCTAGATTTGAGGAGATGAGACAGATGGATGTGTTTGGAGCCAACACTACTAGGAGGCAGGAGGCCTGTGGGAAATTATTTTTTTTGGCTAGAGTTCTCATCTTCTCCAGACATTCGGGCATATGGGAGTTAGGTGGAGGACGCGGAGTATGCTGGGGGAGCCGATCGGCCAAAGGGGAGGGTGTTTATGTACTTTATACTGAGCATATCCTGTATATTTCTTTTACCATTTTCTACATTTCACTTTTTACATGTGCTTTCTCAATGTTTCACCCCTCCACCCCCCTAATTTTCTGTGTGATTATTTTCAAACATTTATTGAATATAAATAACAGCACAGCAGAATTAAGAAAGGAAGCAAAAAAAAAAAAAAAACTACCTCTATAGATGTATTTATCTCTGGTTTAGTAGTATGTGTTTAAATGTTATGTATTATGTATATTTTCTCCAGCAAATGTTATGTATATATTATTCACTCTTATCCTGTACTTCTAAAACATTGTCTAATTTTTTTTCCATCAGGTATCTCATCGGCATGTACTTAGGAGAACAGCAGAAGGGGCTCCTCTTCAGTGGTATGATCCAGAGGAGGCTCAAATTATCAGTCAGGTTTAGAGACTGCACAAATATGTGAAACTCCAAAGAGATGTCTCTGCAGTAAAATTGCCAGGTTCTTGTATGAAAAACTATTTTTCTGCTGGACAGAAGAATTTTTTTTTACCTGCTTTTCTTGCATTGCACAGCACTATTGCAGACTCTTAGCATAGCGGTATGGAGTAACTGAATGTTTGTTGATGACTGCTAGCAATTAACAAATTTAAAAAAACTACTGGTGAATATTTGTGCTACATTCAGTCAGAAGTGGTATACAATGTATAATGATTGAATATTGCAAATAAATATAAATGGAGACCAATATACATGACCTCACGTTTTATGAATTTGTATCAGTTATGTGATAGTAATGCATATATTTGGATGTTTTGCTATCTCGAGAATTATTGGGTAAAATCATTACTACTTATTATCACTTATGTAAAAAGTTAATTTTAATAGTAATCTGTGTTGTCTGGTAAATTACAGTCTGTAGGCATAAGCACAAAGAGCAAAAAAAAAAAAAAACAAATCTCCATTTCAATTATTTCTAACTTGACTATTTGGGCCTAAATTTAGGAATATGGTCTTCAATTCATAATGTTTCACTTACTAGTATATAAAGATTTTCTAATAATACAAATAAAATTAAATTGCATACTTCTTAACATTGGCAGGTATGATTTTGGGAGAGGGGTGAGTGAGCAGGTGTGTCAGTGACACAACTTGCAAAAGGGGTGGGTTTACCCACAAAAAAAGTGTCAGCCTGGTGTAAGTGCACACCAAGTTGAGTGACAGCCTCCTGGCAGGCCATAGCCAGAGGCAGATTATGCACCTCCGCTATTCTGGCTGGAACAATTGGTGTTCCCAGATAAGGGACACCAGGGAACAATATCAGGATGGTGAGACAGAATCCTGAAAGTGGTTCTGCCCCTCCTAAATCAGGACTGTTGAAAGGCCTGAAATTGGTTAAGTAAAAACACTTATTTCATGATCTGTCAATACTCAGTTTCTATAGTTGGAAGTCATCAATTGGTTAACCTCCAGCTGAAGGAAAAAAGTGTGTATATATAGGGTGAGATAGAGGCAAAAAATGGCTACAAAATTCAAAGTATAAACAAAGAAAAATTGGACCTGTGCTGCAGATACTCCACACTGAAGTCCCAACAGTGTATATACAACCAAAAAACAAACAAGAGTCCTGTGCATCCAGTAGAGGAGTGCACACTCAGGTGCTACCACAATTTATTTGAGGACAAAGTTAAAGCCGCAAATGTTTCGAGCAGCAGCCCTTTCTCAATGCTAGCAAATGCCTTCTCTAGTCATATAGTTTATATAAATAACAAACACAATTAATATAAATTGCTAGCATTGAGAAAGGGCTGTTGCTCGAAACATTTGCTGCTTTAACTTTGTCCTCAAATTGTGGTAGCACCTGGGTGTGCACACCTATACTGGATGCGCAGGACTCTTGTTTGGTTTTTTTGAAGGAAAGAAGTAGGAAGTACTTGATCAACATAAGAACCTAGTAGCCTCTTGAGCACACTGATAGTTGTGTTCTTCAATAAACAGAATGTACTGATTTTTGAAGACATGGCAATATGTATCCCTCTTCCTAATACTACAAATATTAATATATAAACATATACACATTGGCAAATAACTAACTTCCATTCCTGCAGATGTCTACCCCTGCTTCATCCAAACCAACTGATCAGAATGATCAAATGCCTTGTCTAGTCATACCGGTATAGTTTATATAAATAACAAACACAATTAATATAAATTGTTAAATTGGCACTTTATCTTCCCACTGTGTACAAAAATGAAATGTGGCTGGACCACCTCAGCATATTGCACTTTTTATAAATGTACCCCCATTTCCTTGTAGATTGTAAGCCCATTTGAGCTAGACTTTCTCAAATGTTGTTCCTCTGTCTGTTGGTTTTAAGTGGTAATCTATACGTTTGTCCATTGTACAGTCCTGCATAATGTATTGGTACTTTGTAAATAAAATAATATATCTGAATATCATGTTTAAATTATTAGTGCCTTGTTCATCAAATCCATAAATGTGAAAATAAAAATACAGGGCTATTTTTACGGGAGGGAAGAACATATCATTCACAATGGGTCTGGAAATTGTTAAATGTAGGGGATTCTAGAATGTGCTGATTCTACTTTAAAGTGTCATAGGAACCTAAGCAGAATATGAATTTAGGGGCCTATCCTATTGTCTGGTATTCCCTTCCTTCTTATCCCAGTCTCCAGATTATTATAAAGGGTTACAAGCATCCTAACCACTACAGCCCACTATAGTGGTTATGATGCCAGGAGTCCCCTATCCTGAGTTCCCCAGCAATTGCAAAAATGTTAAGGAAAGATTTACCCCATTACCTTGGACCACTGCAGGCTCTGATGCTTCCTGGTGAATGGTGATGCCCCTTTGTAGAAGCCGGAAGCTACAGCCATCACCATTCATTGGCCAAGAGCTGCTAAGCAAATGACTGACATTCTGTGCAACAAAAGAATTGACTAAAGCCAGCCCAGAACTCTAGTTCCAGGCTGGCTGATGACACTTCAATGATGCTGCCGGAGGTGGAGATAAGCCTCTACCAGCTGAGGTGTTAAACTCTGTATGTGCATAGTTTCAAAGTGAAGTGCTGCACGTACAAACTCCAGGCACCAAATTCCTGAAAAAGTCATGATGCTTGAATTAACCTGTTAATCTGGCTCTGTATGACATTTTTACTGACTTTTACAGTACTTGATGTCACGTCTGTGGCATTGACAACATCTTCCTCCTCCCTTTATTCAGACTACTGATGAAGGTACACTCTTTGTAATGGCTTGCACCCTTGCATTGTACTCTGCAATGTTGAACTAAGGCCCTGTCTGATGACTGTGTAGTGACAGGCCAGCACTGCCCTCCCTGGTAACAGTGTAGCAACAGACCAGCACCACCCTCCCTGGCCTTCCAATGTATGAGAGAGATACCCAGTCCCACTCCCAAGTCTCCTTTCTTCCATACTTCTGCGGCTTCCATTCCTTCTCACATACACTCTCCACTACACTCCGGTCTTCTCCCTCTCCACTCCTCACTTCTTCCAGCTATCTCCAACTTTTATCCTCCAATATTATTTTTAGACATTTTAACATTTACTCTCCCTTTCAAACAATCAAACATGCAATCACTACCTTACAAACTGCCAATCTCACTTTCAAATAAAAACCTAACTGTGGTATATGAAAAACAAAAAAAAGTGATGTAGATCTGTATTATGAATGTGTGCATGCAATATGTGCAAAATGTGTAATATATGTGAAATGAAAAGAGAACTCTCAATCAACTGGTCCATGGCGCCTTTTCGTTACACGGACTACAGTAAACTTTGCAGGTACTGGAGCAGGTTTTATGTGCTGGTTTTATTGTTTGTTTGCAATAGAAAATCCTCTTTTACCCACTTTAAAAGTTTCTAATGTTTAACCCTTTATTTCAGGTTGCTAACGGTGCCTAGAGGGATATCTGCTATATCTCACTAATGATGCCTAACAAGGATGAAACGATCATCTGGGGTTGCTGAATCTCTCTTGCAAAGAGAGCCAGTCTGCATTTTGGATCTGTTCTGCCTTTTTGGGTTGAATCAGACTGATAGCAAATGGCATGGCTATTTTTGTAATGGCACAAGCTGAGCTAAAACCAGCTTGAGATCTGAGCGGGGACCCACCAAAAGGCAAGCTGTTGTCTGTTCTTAGTAGTCTTTTGCACCTTGTTTTTTTTTCCCTCAGATGCCCCTAAAGCTTTACATATTTTTGTAAAGTTTAATTCTATATAAAAAATAAACTTTACTATATATATATATATCCCAAACTATTGGATCCATAAGAACATCTAAATGGCGATGTTACTGCTCCTCTTGATTAGGCGAGAGGTGGGCTGACGTGCCTGGAGATGCTTTGTCCTGGTCCGGCAGGTCATTCTGGAGGATCTCTTACCTAACAACAGAGGAGATGGTTGTGATTGGCAATTTGTAAACGAAGAGTGGCAGAATAAAGAAGGGCAAAGCTCTTTTAGAGTACTGAGCAGATAGGTGTAAATGCTTTGTGCCATTGGGTGTCCTGTGCAAACACAGGCCAAACCTGTGAGCTTGTTTGATGACCGGAGAAATGTCAGAGGTGGTCGCTGTCACGGCAAGGGTGCATAATTTATTATTACCCTATGGAATATTATCATTTAATGTAATTTGTATAGTAAATGGCACAAATTACAGAGATGGTATTGTTGAGGTCAAAAGGGGTTACATCTTTTGAAGCTGGGACCCCCACAGAGGTCAGATGACAGAAGGGGTAGTGTGAATGGCATAGCAATGTGAAAAGGATATTACTAAAAGGTTGGAGGAGATTTTAAACTAGTGTTAGGGGGGGGAGGGTCAAAGCAATCTAGAAAATGGAGATGAGATGGGCTAAAGCTCAGAACAAAGGGGGTGGAGATGGGGGGAGGGGAAAGCTCAGAATAGAGGATGTATGTAATATTGATAATTCACAAAAAGTACAAAAGACTCATGATAATATTAAATGTGTGCTTACTAATGCAAGGAGCCTAAATAACAAAATGGGGGAACTAGAGGCAAAAGCATACACTAAACAATATGATATAATAGGCATAACAGAAACATGGTGGGATGAGACACATGACTGGGCAGTTAATTTAAATGGGTACACGTTATTTAGGAAGGATAGGAAAAACAAGAAGGGTGGTGGGGTATGCTTATATGTCAACCATGAGTTAAAGTCAAATCTTAGGCATGTAGAGTGTGACGAGGAAAGGGTGGAGGCTTTATGGGTAGATATCTGCTTGGGGCAAACAAAGGGAAATTAATTATTGGTTGGGATATGTTATAAACCACCTAATGTAAATATTATTGAGGAAGAACAGCTGTTAGAGAAAATTGAGAAAGCTGCAAATCGAGGTAACACGTTAATTATTGGAGATTTTAATTATCCAGACATAAATTGGGAAAGTGGGACTAGTACTTCAGCAAGGGGCATCAGGTTTTTGAATGTGTTAAATTATACCTTTATGTCACAACTGGTACAGGCACCAACTAGAAAGGATGCTTGTCTGGATCTTGTCATAACAAACAATGTTGATCTTTTAACCAACATTCAAGTAGGGGAGCATTTGGGAAATAGTGATCACAATATGGTAAATTTTGAAATAAACTCAAAAAAGCAAAAGCAAGTGGGGTATACTAAAACATATAATTTTAAAAAAGCCAATTTCAATAAGATTAGGGCAGCTGTACAACATATCGACTGGCATAAACTCCTTAGTGATAAAAACACTGAGGATAAATGGAAACTATTTAAACAAATATTAGAAAGGTACATATATCAGTATGTACCAATGGGTAATAAACATAAATGAAACAAATTAAAACCAATGTGGCTTAGTAGAGAAGTAAAACAAGAGATTAAAAATAAGAAAAGGGCATTTAAATCAGACAAATCAAAGGCATCCTATTTAAGATATAAGGAAGCCAATAACGCTTGCAAAAAGGTAATTAAAGTGGCTAAACTAGAAAATTAGAAATTGATAGCTAAAGAATGCAAAACCAACCCCAATTTTTTTTTCAAGTACATCAATTCTAAAAAAATAAAAAAATTAAAGTGTAGGTACACTTGAAACAGAGTAGGGTTTATTAGCTAATGAAGACCAGGAAAAAGCAGAAATTTTAAATAACTATTTTTCTTCAGTATATATTAATGAGGATCCTATGGCAAGAGATATGCAAATGATTGCTGCAAAAAACTTGCAAATAACTTGTGATTGGATAACTCAAGACAAGGTGCTACAGCTATTAAAGAAAATTAATGTAAATAAAGCTCCGGGGCCTGACGGTATTCACCCACGAGTACTAAAGGAGATAAGTGGGGAAATAAGTGAACTTCTGTATTTCATTTTTCAAGATTCTTTTGTTTCAGGTGTTGTACCGGAGGATTGGAGGAAGGCAGATGTTGTTCCTATATTTAAAAAGGGTTCAAAATCCTTGCCTGGAAATTATAGACCTGTGAGCTTAACTTCTGTAACTGGGAAAATATTTGAAGGGCTATTAAGGGATAATATTCAGGAATTCATTGGGAAGAACTTTATTAGCAATAATCAGCATGGTTTTATGAAACATAGGTCATGTCAAACTAAACTAATTGCATTCTATGAAGAAGTGAGTACAACGAGTTGTCATTAATGGTAAATTTTCAGGCTGGATAAAAGTGGTAAGTGGTGGCCCTCAGGGTTCTGTTTTGGGACCACTTCTATTTAACATATTTATAAATGATCTTGAAATAGGCATTGAAAGCCATGTATCAGTGTTTGCAGATGACACAAAACTTTGTAAAGTAAAAAAATGTGAGCAGGATATTGCTTTGCTGCAGAGAGATTTGGATAGATTGGGAGACTGGGCACTAAAATGGCAGAAGTTATGCACTTCGGGGTTAAGAATGCACAAGCAAATTACACACTAAATGGTAGTGAATTAGGGATAACCACACACGAGAAAGATTTGGGAATTGTTATAGACAACAAATTAGGCAGCAATATGCAATGTCAATCTGCAGTTGCTAAGGCCAGTAAGATTTTGTCATGTATAAAAAGGGGCATAAATTCTCGGGATGAAAATATAATTTTGCCTCTTTATAAATCGCTGGTAAGACCACACCTTGAATATGCTTTGCAATTTTGGGCGCCTGTTCTAAAGAAGGATATCATGGCACTGGAGAGGGTCCAGAGACGAGCTACAAAATTGATAAAAGGAATGGAGCATTTTAGTTATGAAGAATGGTTAAAAAAATTTAATCTTTTAGTTTGGAAAAACGGTGCCTGAGAGGGGATATGATAACATTATACAAATATATTCAGGGCCAGTACAAACCTTTATCTGGAAATCTATTCATAAACAGGGCTATACATAGGACACGAGGTCACACATTTAGGCTGGAA